CTGTTTTAACTGGGGACCATTACACCAATTGGCATTATATCAATCAGGCAAAAAGAGGCCAGTGATGTGAAAATAGTCAATAGCACGGTGTTATAGCATGACGGTTACGCCACCTCTGAAAACGAGGTTGGACAGCTACGTTCACTGATTTATCCAATAAAATGGCCGCGATGGAAGAGAAAACTAAGGTTGGCGCATTATTTTCTACTTCTGTGTATCAATGAAAGGATGAACGATTTATGTAAGAATCGCATTCGGTGATACTTTCAGTAATGTATATTTTGAACGTAGCCTTTGCAAATTGATGCCCGGGGATAACATGAAATAAGAGAAAAACTTTGATATCTCAGTCGGTAGGTTTACAGATTATATTCTGTTTCTTGTAGACCACCTGGCAGATTTGACCCAGTCTTTATAACCAGCCATATATATGTCACCGAATGGAACTAGTTTAAAAGGAAATCTTATCTGTGAATATTGCCTACAGGTGAGAAAGAGGACATGCTGCCTTTCCCATCCGCCATTTTTTGTTATCGTTACCGCAAAATTTTGCAAATCGCCTTGACGTAACCGTCATGCTATAACACCGTGAATAGGGGACCATAAGTTTACACATTCCATGTGTACGTTCATCAAAAGAGTGCGATCTTAACCTCCCTAATAACTGAAATTGTTGACTCAACCAATAGAATCATTCTATGTTTGTTTATATTTGTTCACATTAATATGGAAGAAAATTGGACATTTCGCTAAAAAGATGTTATTGTTAAATCTTAGAAATAATGATAAAGGTAGTATACACCACACACTCAATGGTATTGATTGTGGTTTTCAGAGACTCTCAATAGGGACTTTAAGCTTGCAATGTTTTTCACAACCTAAATGTGAATGGAAAATATTTAGCGATGCATGTGTATGGGCGATTGGTCATAGGTTGGCGTTTCGATTTTATATGCAAGCTTAATCTCCCTAATGTTAACATTAAGGTAAGAGTGTATGTTACTCATAACATTTTCTTAGGATAACATTTCTTGAATTGATGAATATGCAAAAATTATTCTTAGCATATCATCCTTCATTTCATTATTTGAATAATCAATCTGGAGATAACACATCATCATATAGAAACATGTTCAATGTTTTTTCAGAAGCTGGATCAAAATATTTGTCTTACTAAAATTATTGGCAAAGGTATTATGTACTAAATTCTTGTACTGTATTTATGATTTTAATAGCACTGTACCTCGTGAATCATTACTGATAAACAAGATACAGAAAACTTGTTCAAAGTAAATGCTATAATAAGGCATCATAGAAATTATCATAAAGAGAGGTATTTAGAATTTCTTAGCAACTTACATACACACACAGGTTTAACTGCACTCAAACATTAAACAGTCAACTTGACAGGTATTCAGAATTTTTTGGGAAATGCTGCGGTTATGCTCCATTGATTAAACAGGGGATCAAACAGCAGGGGATCAAACAAGTCCAACCATTCATTTATGAAAACATTTTGAACTAACTTTATGGCACACTAATGACATCTTATATGAGTGTGCTGTACTAAAAGCATAGCCTCATTGGATCCCCTTATATTGGATTATCATAATCCTAATCCACGAGGAGTTCCTTATATATTTTAAGTGATGAAACATGTGTTCAAGTACAATGTAACTTTGCATGAAAATTGTAAAAAAAAATGAGGGACGATGGTGAAAATGACGATTGTATTTTGAAAAAAAGCTTGTTGATGGGTGGATTAAACATGGCTTATGAGATAATCCAATTGATCTTGAAACCATTCTTTGAATTTTTCTTAAAGATTATACATTGGCCTTTCATATGCATTCATTTTTGTACAGCCAGAAACTACTAGAAAAAAATTATTTACTGTCAAAAATCTGTTGCGATACTTTCCCTCGCTCTTTCCTACATAATTGTCGACTCATGTTTAAAAGTCATGAAAACAAGGTTGAAAACAAAACAATGACCCAGTTACTGTCTATTTAGCGTGGGATCACTAAGGGAAATATTATTAATGACTTAAATCGTTTACGGTTAAGTTGTATTCCAAGAAACTTATCAATTTAGAAATGCAAAATGTTCAATTTTGTTTTTCAATTATAAAAAATGTCACCTGAGAACAACGTTTACAAATTATTTAAAACGGAGATATTTACTTATGTAACATTAGTTGGCATGTGTCAGGGAGTAAATAAGAATAATATGCATTTGATTCTATATCTTGTTCCCAAAGGAGTTTGTTAAGGAGCGGTATATCTTAACGTACTTTTATCATCCCGAACTCAAATATTTCGAATACTTATTTCGAGAACGCTTTGTTGAGAATGGATTGGAGATGTACTCAAAATAAATACGTTAAAATGCGTATTATCATCTTAATAACCACCTCACAAAGTATTTTGGAAATCAAAGATGTACTGACAACGGTAAAGTCAGATACCGTTGTCACAAAATGGCAGACACCCGGGGGGTTCACTATATATAAACCTTGACGGGGATCCTCGGCGCATGTGGGGTACCTTTTTCAACGTTTGGTATGGCAATGGACCCATATTTTAGGATTTGGTATGGGAATGCCCGGAAATTTCTGACTTCTGAGGTATGGCAATGGTCGGACTTTTGCTCTTCTGGTATGGGAATGGTCGTTGTAGTAGATACGTTACCTAACATTCGTGGTATGGCATTGGTCCAGTAGTTGCAAATTTGAAGTTGTTTTGGATCGTTTCCCGAAGTATCTTCTTTTCCAGGGCCTTCTTCAACTTTTGAATTTTAGCACTTTTCCCGGGAAATGAGGACCAATCATAGGCTTTGATGAAGTATCGCGAGATTTTTCGTGATTTCAATACAAAACTTGCCGCCAAGAAAAATGGACGCTCGATCATTGAAATTGGGCCAAAGATAAGAGTAAGATGTTAAAATAAAATATATTTAACTGCATCCGAACATTTTATGTGATCGCTATGAGTAAAAGTGTGAGTCGTGTTATTTTGGTCATTTATGACCCTAACCAAACCCGTCTGGCCCAGTTATCTACTCGCGACCTCGTAGATCTGGGCCAGACTAGCTCCAATGCAACAAAGGGGGTATTTACTCCGGAAAAAACACACTGGTTTTTCAATGCATTGAGGTAGGTATCTTAAGTGTAAGGGGCGTAGATAATTCTCCCAAGTTGTAATCGTACAGGCAAATGAATGCGATCAGTGCAGGACTATAGTCCGGGAACGGGATAAGTTATTATGACCGCCCCAACTACAGTATGGCATTTGACCTTGATTTGAGGTATGGCGATTGGTCCTGTATTTGCACATGTGTATGACATTGATCCTAAATTTCATTTTCTTTGAATTAAGGTGTGGCATTGGTCCCATATTTGGACATTTGGTATGACATTGGTCCTACATTTTGACATTTGGTATGGCATTGGTCCCATAATTGGGCATTTGGTATGGCATTGGTCCTATATTTGGACATTTGGTATGGCCTTTGTGTGTTATTTTGGTTGGTATGGGAACATATTGAAATTTAACAGATTGGTATGGGAACATATTGATATTTGAGGCTTTAGCCTAGGACCCCCGTCTAGTTTTATATACAGTGAACCCCCCGGGGGCAGACATAACAGTCGCTTCAACTGTTTAATCACTTGGTCCTCATTTCATGGGATTTTATCGTCGCTAATTATGTGCATGTATTAAGCTCTTGTGATAATGTATCGTATGAAATCCCATTTTCTATCAAATTTGGTCGTGAATCGCCACAACATATATATAGCGTCTTCGATATTATTAATGACAACGGAATCTGAATTTGAGTAATTTAGAAAGATAACGGCATATGGTCCGTTGTCCCGTATCTCATTTTGACCTGTTAAATTAAAAACTTAATTTCGATGGTAGAACATTATTAACTGTACAATGAGTAGTAAGAGACTTTGATTGATTGTTATTCCAAAGAAATTTAGTCTAGGTGCTCCATTAAACATACAGTTCATGAAAATCTAATCTAAGCTACGGTTATGTCCGCCATTTGTGACAACAGTATCTGACTTTACCGTTGTCAGGCTATTCCGGGGTGTTACTCTTGGGACCTGTATTAATCATTTTGGAGAGGGTAAAGTATACATTAATATGATTAATGGTACGTAGATCAGTTGATTGAAAATATTTCTTGCAACTCTGGCACCCCTTTATGTGAAGCTAGTAAGAGCTTCAAGTTATAGTAAATAAATATACAATTACTATATATTGTTGTTTATTTTGCTAGAACATTATGAAATGAAACATTCTTTACACCTTACTAATATGTGTATATTTTGTAAATTGGCAACAGAGACTAGAGAGCGTGTTTATTGGAAGTGAACTTTTCAAAAATATGCAAATGCGTCCCTTTTGCAATCCTAATTTGATATAGGCCTATATTGAAAAAAGAATCGAGATAAATATAGAAGTTGATAAAACCTTGAGATGCAAAAATGTCCATACTCAAATGAATTTAACACAACCTTAATAAGGCATAAACATGCAAATTGTCATCACCTGCCAGACGCCAACCATCGAACGCCGAACACAAACCGCCATCCACAAAAAGCGATCATCTCTGGTCTTTGCTGCCACTTTCAAGTTAGTTTGACGATGATAAAGATACTTACTTACCCGTGTTGAATACTGTTGCAGGATGAGCACAATATTAATTATTCCAGTTTAAGTGTTTTATCTACATGTATGCAATTAACAGGCTCGAAATTCAAACCAGCCCTAGATTAAACAAGATAGCTCGTGTCTCACAGTCTCGTGTCCAAATCATATACCCGAGATAGAATATCTCACACCCCGCAATTTACACCGTTGTGTATCGATTTCATCGATCGTCAAGCTTGACAAAATATAGGCGGGAATTTTAAAAATCACAATAATGCAAAATAAATATCTGAGTACATTTCTCAAAGTGATATTGCATTTAGGTCAAGTATAAGTGACATGCATATGGAGACCACGGGGGGGGGGGCATACATGAATTTACTAATATTTGAAAGCCTAATTATAAAAATGAGCATTTGTTCCATGTTATATCATGAGCATCCAGCGATTTCCCTACATTTGACAAATGATCGTAAATCCTCGATTCCTAAATTTATCGTATTGATACCATCCACCACCTTCATTAATACGCCTTTGTTTGTACTCAAAACAAATTAATTTTCATATACAATACATACAACAATTGCAATATAATGAGATAAGGGTAACGATGTGCGTATACAGCCTCAGCATCAATAATTTGAAACAGTATACGACATGTTAACAAGGAATTGCGATGACGTCAATGGAGCGTATAATTTCAAAGCTGGACACTCTTAGAACTTTCATCTTACGTGCCTAGCTTTTGAACTAGATGTAAACAAGTAAATATATAGGGTGGTTCAGTAAACTGAGAACACCTTTACATTTATCATCTCTTTCTAACCATTCCAATATATTGATAGTACATGATGTACCTTCCCGTAGGATAATTTCCCCTTGTAAGGTTTGAAAATATGTTTTTTCATTTACTAAGTTATTTTCTGAGAAAGAGAAATTGAAAAAAGTTGTCAGCTTTTCATTTCTCAAACTGTCAGATATACTCGTCCTTTTTCAAATAAAATTTGAATTTTTAACCATCAAATAAAAGTTATTTATTCTGAGATTAAAAAAAAGTTTCACATATTACATTTTGATAACATTGGGCAAGACTACGCTAAAGTGGTTTAAACTTTATATAAGGGCTTTAAATAAATATTTAAGTACTAAATCTTTAAGCAATTCTTGTATCCATTGATATACCATGTGTTAGCAATACTATAAGTCTTAAAGAGAGAATCAGATAAAGCAAGCAGCCTAACAAAAAATTGTTTCAACCTTAGAATATTTCTGGCTTATGTCATTCCTTTTCATGTCTAAAAATCCCCCAAAATATTTTTACAATAACGTAGTATTTTTCTATAATATTATTTAGGAGAATTTAAACATTTTCACCCATTTTTGCACTTATGAATCCATTATAACTTCACCAATCTATAACATATTGTGAATCTTTTTGGAGATATTTTTTTGAGATTGTAAAGAATAGACTGGTTGGCCAACTATACATGTTGCTTGTAATTATGTCACCCCCATAGATCTGATTGCCTTTAGTCCTATGTGAGAGTACTCATTTTTGAAACACCCTACATGTGTCATACAATCTATCGGTAAATGACTAAACGTGTATATATGCAAATATTCTAGTGTTACCTTTCAAGGTGATCACTCTGTCAACAGGTCAATTCTGATTCATATTTCATCTAAAAGAACTCCAAATGCGCTGCTTCTAGAGCATTTTCTTTCAAAGCCAGACACTTCAGACAGGTCAGATCCCTAAAGGTTCATATTTAGAACTCGCATCATCCGATCTTTCTAATGGAACGTTCATCTATTCGAAAGACCCTTGAAAACAGATATCCAATATTGTCACCATGGCGATGGAGATACTGTCACCATGAGACCATTGTGTCACCATCGAGATAAATCCTCTTATTGTGGATACCCTGTGCGTGTGTAACGGACCTGAAGTGCCACTGAGTGTCCGATGATAAAACTGATTAACACCTACGGCCAAAAGGCGGCCTTTCATTAGGAACAATAAAAATGTTGTATATGTAGTCATGTCACGTTGTTGTTATGTCTTTCCTCAATTTTCTCTCCGATCTTGGAACGTCAACATTTTGGTTTCTCGTCACTAGCTAAACAATATACAATAACCTGTCGCTGTCGTTGAAACATTAACCTACATGTACTGATGACGATGACTCTTTAACGATTTCCGGACTATCTGATACACATTAACGCCATGTTTTAGATCACCATTAAGTATATTATCGAGATCTGTCTGCAATACAAAAACAAAATTGCGCCAGACGATGATTTATAGGAAATGTCAGATTAGAATACAACAGGTGTACTTAATTTACAAACAATTAAGCAAACCTGCTGCTAAGCCCAGTAAAATTGCATTAATAAGTATTGCATGGTGGAATTGCATTAATAAGTATTGCATTGTGAAATTGTATTAATTAGTATTGCCTTGTGGAATTGCATTAATAACTATTGCATTAATAAGTATTGCATTGTGAAAGTGCATTAATAAGTATTGCATTGTGAAATTGCATTAATCAATTTTGCGTTGTGAAATTGCATTGATAAGTGTTGCACTGTGAAATTGCATTAGTAAATATTGCTTTGTGAAATTGCATTAATAAGTATTGCATTGTGAAATTGCATTAATACGTATTACATTTTGAAATTACATTGATAAGTATTGCATTGTGTAATTGCATAAATACGTAAATCATGCATAAAAATCTACATTGATACGCGTTGCATCGTGAAATTGCATTTATAAGAATTGCATTGTGAAATTGCATTTACAAGTATTGCATTGTAAAATTGCATTAATACGTATTGCATGGGAAATTTCACTAATACGTATTATTTTGTGAAATTGCATTAATAAGCATCGCATGAATTGTGAAATTGCATTAAAAAGTATTGCACTGTGAAATTACATTAATAAGTATTGCACTGTGAAATTGCATATATAAGTATTGAATTGTAAAATTGCATTTGTAAGTATATATCGAATTGCTTTAATAAGCACTGCATTGTAAAATTGCATTAAAAAGTATTGCACTGTGAAATTACATCAAGTTTTGAATTGTGAAATTGTAGTATTAAGTATAGCATTGTCATATTTCATAAAAAGTATTGTATTGTGAAATTACACTAATAAGTATTGCATTGAGAATTGCATTTGTAAATTGTGAAATTGCGCATTAATGTGTATTGCATTGTCATTAAAATATTTCTCCTAAATTATAAGAGATTCGTGTAAGGACAGGATTTTTACAGTACCATGAAATGAGAAAAATGTAATTAAGAGTTAATGCGACGGTATCGTTTGCCATTTGTGACAACAATATCTGACTTTACCGTTGTTAGGGTGTTCCGGTATGAATTCTGAAGGACTTTGACACACGTCGATTTCCTGACGTTTATGAAAGATCGTGGTGGGTCGTTATCAGATCTAATCTTTTTTAGTAGGATGGTGTATTGATGGACGAGATAAGACTATTTGAGAACTATTTTTTGGTAAAGGATGTCATTTCTCATTCCGAACCTTCGCATAATCTCCATCAACAATTATTTACCTTACTCCTGGATAATTGCACAGGAATTACATTAACCCATACCTTTGTTAAATAAATAACATTAAAAGCACTAATGGGAGCTAAATGTTATTTTCGATGACATATTAGTAAGTATAAGCACCTAGGCTTTGAGGATACGGCTGGTGGAGAGTCATCGCTAGTAGACGCTATGTACATGTTTATTGGATAAGTGGAATAAACCATAGAATGAATCATGATCCAATGAAAAATACTGAACACGAAATGTTTTGCTGAATAATAGATTATTTTATTTTACATTTCAACAATCCAAAGTAAATAAATAATTTGCATTTCACATAACAGTTAATCAATCCATTTCACATTAAGCTTTTTTCTTTTTTTTACTAACAATCCATTTTACGGTTGTTCTTGTTATAAATTCATGGCACTCATCGCAAAAGCTTTCTTTTATTTTGAGCAAAATAAGAACAGGACCAGTTAAAGGAATACAAGACAGTGTGAAATAAAGGAACACACCAATTAGTACAATAAGGAGGATGAGCCTCGCAATACTTCTGAACAGTTGTGCTGTAAAAACTGGATGTTCGCAAAACCTGCATTTCTTCTCTCGTTTCCTCACGTTCATTATTTTCTTCTTTTTCAAATTTGTTATTAAGCGTCGACAAAATTGTATCTCATATGATTAAAAGTCATAAATTTAAATTGGTATTATTAAGAATTGATATATACATCTGTCTAGTTGATTGAATATTGAGCTGTCTTATGTCAATCAAAAAGTACTGATGATTTAAAAAGACAAGTGGGAAATATTGAATTGCATTATTTTTTGTCTACCACCAATGAAGATGAACAATACTCCATGGGTATATCCCGTATATGTGCGATCATAATTTACAAACAATTGTGAAACAATCCTGAAAGACACACACAGAAAACTCTCCTCGAAGGAGTGTCAGGCCAGTAGCCAGGGTTCGCAGGGTTCGGGCGAACCCCCCCCCCCCGGCCAAAAATTCTTTCAAAATCATGCAGTTTTTCACCATTTCACCAAGTGAATTTAGCCATATTTGGGCCAAAATTGTCAAATGTGAACCCCCCTGGAATTTTTGAAAACTGAACCCCCCCCCCCCTTGGCATATCCTGGCTACGGGCCTGAGTGTTGTGTTCTTTTAAGTGCATTCATACAAAGGCATACAAGTACACACCACAGCCTCTTTACGAGTCGTGGACAACTCAGTCAAACACCCTGAAGTATTTTACACAAGCAATGCCTGAACCGGTGGTCCAATCCATATGCATAAATGGCACATGTTCTACCGCTGAGCGGGTGGGCTATAAATAAAGGAATACAACATACTTGGAAAAAAGAATGCAAGACAAGTGGAAATTAAAGGAACTCAAGACAAGTTAGAAACAAAAATTTACAAGACACATGAGGAATAAAGTGACTAATCATAGTTATTTGATGGCCTATATATATGCTGCAGTTTATACTATGGCACCTTTCAAGCATGTATGTTCAAAGCAAAATGGGAAATATCAAACTTTATGATTGCCTGGGTCACATTTGCTCCGATTCATTGCACGAGCCCGGCGATTGAGTATTTTGTTCAAAACTGAATACAATTTTGAAGAAACGCCAGCCGAGCAAATGTGACTCGGACATAAACATGGATCATTAAGTCATTCTAGTATCATGTTTCCGCACAAATACAAAAAATTAAAGCATTGGAAATTAAGCATTTGCATGGATTTTACAAGGCATTAACATGCAAAATATCACCACCTGCCCTTTGTTGGAGACCATAACAATATGTCAACACTTTTTGCAGTGACATAATAATAATTTAGCTCATTGATGGTGCAGTGTCAGTCGAACTAGATAGAGTTGCTATGGAAGTTGTGATTGGTTGACAGGCAGCGCTACATGACAACACACAATCTGTAGACTGGCAACCAGCCAACACAGTGCCATCTTTTACTCTGTTCAACAGATCTTCAACAGAAATAACAATGGGATTATCCCCATTATCATCTTTAATAAGAAAACGGCATTCCCCATTTGGGTCAAGCTGTTCCAAAACACTTTCAGTATTCCCTAAAGATATCGTATTGGCATCAGTAATATTAGCAGCTACAAGATCCTGATTCATCGCATCAGAACCATAAGGAGGTGGGTCTTGATTGTTATATTGTTCTTGGTCGAACACCACATTTGTAAGCATTGTTACAGTGTTACCCCCATCTTCTCTAACCACAAATTGAGGAGTACTGGATTCACCAGTCATTTTCAGCGACACTTTGTAGTCATCAGAAATGGTAGCCATTTGATCAGTGTTTATTGTCTTAAGCCCCTGGGTTGCAATCTGTGGGACCTGTAGTATGACATTAGATTGACTTGTGCCAGAATGGTCTAGCATTAACTGTTCCTGTATTGAAGGGTCGTTCTGCAAAAGGTTTTGTTGAGCTAGCTCTGTTGAGTTTATTGTTTGATTAGGTACAACTTGTCCATTCCATTTGCTTTCAGTCACAGCCAGTTGTTGAAATATCATATTCTGCTCTTCAACGTTTACATACTGCACTACCTGGGGAGCATTAATTGTTGGATTCTCATCTGTGGATTCATTGAAAGGTTGCAGCTGATTAACTGGGGTACTAAGGGCTTGAGTGTCCACTTGACTAAGCACATTTTGTTGTAAAACCCCTGTCTCCTGGGGCTTTATCTGCTGAGCAAGTCCCAGTTGTCTCTGTTCGTTACTCTGGTTTAATTCATTCACTGCTTCTAACACTCCTAGTGGTTCTTCACTCATCATTGGTGCCACTGTTTTGTACTCCTCAATCAACATGGGCTGAGTGAAACAGGTTTTACCAGGGGTTGTGATTGGCTGTTTAAGGTCAGTCCCAACATTCACTGTTTCACAAACACTGATTGGTCGATTAAATGTACTAGGAGCTGTGATTGGCTGCTGTGTTATTCCAGCTGCATTTGTGATTGGTTGATTTGAATCTGAGGCTACAAGATCTAATGGGATTGATACATCTCTGCCGGAGATAACATTAGACAGATTTGAAGGTGTTTTTTCCTGTGGAGCTGCGTCTGATTGGTGATTTTTCTGGGGATAAGAGGCCGTTACAGGATGGGGACTTATGATCTGTACATCTCCAGTTTCAGGCTGGTTGCTCACCATGAATGGAGTACTGAGTTCATAGGTTTGAATCTCGTCTCCAGGGGGTGGTAGGTTGATAATGCATTGCTTTGACCCCTCTGAAATAATAAAGACATACACGTTTTCAATAATTCTCAAATATTTCAACTACAAGCCTGTTTCTTCAATCTAACCCCTATGTGTGAATTGTTCAACCAAATCAAGTTTAATCATGTTATCTATTTGCTCATCTAGTAAAAGAATGCATTGTCAAAAACATAATAATCATATTTATACATGGATCTATAGCTTACCCTTATGATGTTTCTGTCATTGTTTAATTTTCAATATGTTTCAACTTAAATTGGTATTAAGCCAAGGTGAGCTGGCTTGATTTATACTGATTTACCTTTACAAAGAACAAAAACTTCATCTCCGGACCACTGAAGCATTTTATTGCAGACATTTTACCTTTGAGTGTGAGGACACCATCAGCAGATTTCAACATTGAAGTGGGGACTCTCACTGGCCTCATTACAATCTCATCCTGTTTGCTTGTATCCTAAAAAATGCATTTAATGATTTAACATTCAAGTGGGAACTCTCACTGGCTTCATTACAATCTTATCATGTTTGCTTGTATCCTAGAAAATACAGTTAATAATTTAACAATCAATTGGAGACTCTCACTGGCATCATTACAATCTTATCCTGTTTGCTTGTATCCTAAAAAATACAGTTAATGATTTAACATTCAAGTGGGAACTCTCACTGGCATCATTACAATCTTATCATGTTTGCTTGTATCCTAGAAAATACAGTTAATGATTTAACATTCAAGTGGGAACTCTCACTGGCTTCATTACAATCTTATCCTGTTTGCTTGTATCCTAGAAAATACAGTTAATGATTTAACATTGAAGTGAAGACTCTCACTGGCTTCATTACAATCTTATCCTGTTTGCTCGTATCCTAGAAAATACAGTTATTGATTTAACATTCAAGTGGGAACTCTCACTGGCTTCATTACAATCTTATCCTGTTTGCTTGTATCCTAGAAAATACAGTTAATGATTTAACATTGAAGTGGGGACTCTCACTGGCTTCATTACAATTACAACCGAAAGCACAATATATTCATATTCCCTTCTTTAATAGCTGACAAATAATATGGTGATTTGGTGATTATAAGTTGTAAGACCAACAAATGTATATTTCTCATGTCTGATTATTTCACAATATTATTCTAGACTTGAAATCAAATGTAAGACTCTCCAACATTTCTATACAACTCGGAGACAGAAAATACCTGTAAAAATTAAAAAGTCTGTATCATGTCAGATTGCTTGTTTACTGGCAACAGGGTGATGATGTTTAGGTTTACTTATATACACACCCTGATTCTGATTGGATATAAGCTGCATAAAAACTGATCCCTAATGCAGTGGTCTTATTTGCCCCGATTTTTACTACTGCGTCTGGCCGATTGAGTATATTGTTCAAAATTGTATTCAATTTTGAACAAAATACTCATCGGCCAGGCGCCGGTGCTGAAAATCGGAGAAAATGTGACCACGGCATTACATAAGAGTGTAGAAGTGTCACTCATGCAGAGAGCACGAATCTCCACACCTACCTGTATGAAAATTGTTGTAAAATGTTTGCTTGTCTGTTGACTGGCAGCAGCAGAGAGTTCAGGTCTAGGTTTACATATGCATCCTGAACAACAGGCCTCTCCTTTCTGACAGGGTAGATCAGGTATTGTTGCATTCACTTCCATAATATGTTCAGGGTCTGGGTGTCCCTTCTTCTGGTGGGATTTCAAGCCATTCTGTGAGAGGAACTTCTTTGTACATTTTGTTTCACTGCATTTGTAGATCTTTTCTCTGTCGTCTAGAAAATATATAACAAATCAAATCAAATTTGAGTTTTTAAGAAATTAAAAGTGGAAGTAATTAATTGGGATCAGTTTATAACTCTGATCCTGAAGTACACCAAAATGAAATAATCAAATGACTAAGTCTAAGACTAAGTCTATTCATAGTGCAAATGACTTGCACTATGAATAAGATGCAAACCTTCTTAAAATTCAGAGGGTGTACTATGGCTGTATTAAGACACGCCAGACTGACAATACAGGGTGTCCGGAAAGTAAAGACACAAATACTCTAATTTTAAGAGATTTAGAAGTTTTGCAATGAAATTGCTACAGATTGTAGAGGAACATTATTACAATGTGTCTTCCAACTATCATCGCATATAGTCTAAACCAGTTAGTGTTACGGTTGTCATGGTTACGGAGGCGAGAGGTATGTGGAGCAGTTCCAGAACATCGCTAACATCTGATTAATTGCATTTGATACAGTCTTCGTCAGTTTTCATTGTTTTCTATCAATGTTTTGTTTTCTTTAATATTGTATTATTGTTGCTATTATGTTCTCTTATGTATAATGTCAGAACTATGTTATGTCATCAGTATAATAAAAGAAATATTATACAAGTGCTTAAAATAAAAGTTCCCTGGGTTAATAAGGAAAGTCAATATTCCACCTCCACAATGCACCAATTTACAAAGCCAAGCCAACAAATCTCAAAATGGAGGGTCTTGACACTAAACCTTTTTGTACAATGCCCCATATTTACCTGAAAAGGCCCCTTTAGACTTTTACCTTAAAGTCTCCCATAAATCGGACTACGTATACCGCCGTGTTTACATTAGGGGATTAGAAGAGTTTATTTTTATTTAGGTATGCAAGCAATATCAATATTAGGCCTTCATGCATGTACTCGTGTGTACAATCAGCATGCCCTTCAATATTATATAAACCAGGCTATTCAAGTACTACATAATGTACACTATTTATGTGTGTACTTATGGGAATACGATTCCCTGGAAAACAAAACACAAATACTTTTTATATGTTCAAAATGAGCCACTTGATTGATGCATACACTTAATAGCTCATTAATAACATCTACAAAGTATATCTAATAGTAATTTTCAATTTCAATGGTGAAACTTGCCTGTTTACGATTATACGGGAAATCAACATTGGACGAAGATTGTTCACCTTCCTGACTTACCTCAGAAGCCTGTACCTTGTAATCTCTTTATATAGGTTAGCGAGAGCGCTGCGCCTGCGCAGTTTTAAACTTTGGCGCACACTTTAATGAGCATCTCAAAGTGATATTTTGAAGTTCAGTATTCAAATGAGACTCAACTGGAAGCGAATGTTATCAGCAATCTGAAGACGAACAGCAGCGGTTTTGTCCGGTCTTTGAATCTCTGGTCAAGATGCACCATGAACATATAGATAATGCGGGGTAAACAATACTGGATCATAGTAGTCAAGTTAAATGATAAAATAACATAAGAGTACTAATCCTCATGCTGTTATGGGACATAATTTGATGTTTTATAGGAACAAATGGGTTGAGTGCAAAAATGATGAGTAGGAAATTTTTTTTACAAAAGACAATAAAAATTAATTGTGACATTGCTCTATATACCCCCAACCTCTGCTACCATGATGACCATAACTTTTTCATTTTGAAACTATATGTCATGACAGTTACAGGATATATTGTTATTTAGAGTTAGAGCATTTGTATCTTTACTTTCCAGACACCCTGTATGTATGCTGGTATTGCATAATTAATTTCTTGACATCAATTAAAATGACATTAACCTGACACCAACTGCAAATCGTTATTTGATGTTGTAAGAATTTGTTACAGATGCTGAATGTCAACCACTGAACAATGAACAGAGTCCACAAAAAAGTTATAACAATATGTCACCACTTTTTGCTGGTGACATAACAATATGTCACCACTTTTGTATGAGACATAAAAACATGCATACCTCCATGTGTCTTTGTGTGAGTTCGCAAGTGGTGACTTACTGCAAATGCTTTCCCACAGCCATCATTCTCACATCTGCAATGTAACAACAATTGATATTGGAAAAGAAAATTTACACCAAAAATTAATAATTATGAAATATAATGAATTTATAATATGAACTGAATACTAAGTAACATGTATGTATGATTGTATCATTAATATATCATTCTTTTGTAATAAGTTTGTATATAATGATTATTTCTATTTTAAGATAATAGTACAGAATATGATAACTGAAACTGTATAGTAATTAATACATATGGCTGTATCATCAATAATAAATTAACAACCAGCTATTGGAAAAGAAAGCTAAGAACATATAATTATTTTACGTACATGTATAAACTAAATCTAACACTAGAAAATCAACTCCCAGGATCACAAATCCTTCAAAATAAAACATTAATAAACCATTAGTCATGTTGAAGATTACATGATACAAATAAGAAGGCAGAAGTATATCTACACCCCTGACATGACACAGCAACATTCCTTCTCTACTGGAGGACCCTTGACCACAAGTTTAATTAACCTATAAATTTTGAACCAAACCCAATAAACAGTTGCCATTTTGAATTCAGTTATCAACAACCATCTTGAAAAAAAAAATTCTTTAGCATGCCATGAGGTATTTCAGCTGTCAAAACTTACATCTTTACATTTGAATATTTTGAACTGAATAGCTATATTGGAAACATCTTCTAAAACAATGGTCCTATTCCCATAAAACATTATCCAATTTTTGAATTAATATGACAACCAGTTGTTAGAAAAATTGATTGGTCCAAGAGTGGTTGATAATTTGACTATTGCACCTCTTCTATAATCTTCTAACTGACCAAACATGATATCATTCCACTGAAAACTAGTGAGTAATGGTATTTGCAACGTTTAAATAGTTCACCCCTGGAAAGGTCAATAGTACTGTACTTACTTGTAAGGCTTTTCTCCAGTGTGAGTTCTAACATGTTTCTTAAGGTCACTTAGTGTGGTGAAGATCTTAGGACAGTTCTCTGACTGACAGTTGAAGGTCTCCCCAGTGTGGAGCCTTTGATGGGCCTTCAATCTAGAACATACAGAACAAGGCATTAACAAGATCTAAAAATTAGATTTGAATTTCTGGGATCTTGTAGATGATTTTGAAAAAACATTTGGTCAATTTGAAGCAAGTTGAAAAGAGACCTTTTTGACCTTGAGAAGGTCATTAAAGGTCAAATTTCAAATCAAGTCTCTAATAACTTCATACAAAATGATCTGTAACTTTTCTGTACATATTAAATCTTGCTCATGTAGAATGTGGATTTTGGATATCAAAATAATAGAGACCCAGTGCTTCAGCATTATCAGAGAGATGTTTATTTTAACATTGGATATAGATAAGGACATTAGGCACTTTTCAAATGGACAGATTCATGATGATATCATTAAGAGCAGTAGAGTTTTAGAGGTTTATCAGTTAGTATTATTAGCATGTCCTAGGTTGGGATCTTTAAGTGTTAAATCATTTAAAGTGTGTTCAATGAATTTAACCAAAAATGTACAACAGTTCAATAACACAGAAGTTATTTCACTTTTTATAGTTCCAACCTAGAAATATCTGTTTTCCAAATTTTTTGTGTTAGAGAAATTCAAGAGGATGTCGAAGCATTAATAAGTGTATGTATATTATATGTGTGTTAAACCCCCTGTTTTTGATCTAGAATACCCCTACATTTGAACAGACTGGCATCAATGTTCAACAATTCATTCAGCCTTAAGGGGGAGGGGGGGAAATTCGCCTATGTGGTTGATAAAGGTTTTAGCCTTAGACTACGCCTTCAACAATTAAAGTAATATTTCCATTATTTAAGCGTTTATCATGAAAATAAACAAGGCATTAACATACAGTAAAACCTGTATATCTGAACACCTGGCTAATCCGAACACCTTCCAATTTGAACACTTTTTTTCGGTCCCATTTTTTCCTCCCATTGACTCCCATGTTAAAAAAACCTTGAAATCAGAACACCTCCTAATCTGAACAGTGAACAAGCAGATTTGAAAAAGTGACCTGTCCAATTTGAACATTTTTATCAGAGATCAAATGTCTGGACATTTCAATTAAAGCCACATCTTGAGTCAATGTGATAGTTGTTATATATCTTTACATATATACAAATGCAATCAAAGAACCAATCGTCCTAATTAACTTATTTAGTCTCAGTGACATCCCTAATTTATGGAAAACAACAGGATGTTTTGGAAAGGTGTGAATACAGGAGTTAATTGGTTTATCCTATTAGAAAAGAACTGAATGTTTTATTTTTGGATTAAGAGAAAGGTGTGAATCAAGAAGATAATTGATTTATAATTATTGGAAATTACCTGGATGTTTTTGATTTGGATTAAGAGAAAGGTGAGAGTCTGGGAGATAATCGGTTTATCCTTATTGTAAATTAACTGGATGTTTTTGATTTGGATTATGAACAGGTCTTTACTGTTTTATATCCCATGGGTCTGTTATGATAGCTAAGATTCAATCAGTAAATGTTTTATAATCACAAAGACAACACAGACACCATTTGCAGACACGATTATATCACGAGAAGGAGAAAAAATCCAACTTCGTAATATTCGCATACATCTGACATCCTGCATGCCCTTGATATTTTGAAGGATTATACATCATCTCGAATGAACACTCATGAAAAATTATTTTTACTTGAAGAGGATATCTACTCAAATATTGCTAATGCTAAAAGTGCCAAGACACAAACAACAATGAAGGACTTTTTCAAGCAAAAGTAAAGCAGTGCTATATAACCATAATATGGGATAAGCCATTTGATAAGCACAAGATTTCGTACGAGACTATCATATACTTTTAGAGTGTATTACAAAGTATTTGCCAAAATATAAGAGTTATTTTTACTAAAATGTTGAAATTGTTCAAAATATAAATAAAACATAGCATAGGCTATATAATAGGCCTATTGTAGAATTAACTCATTAACAACATGTATTGTTTTCTGACTTAGTATTAAGTGTCAATATAGTGCACTGAACAATGAAAATACCCCCCCCCCCCCGACCAACAAAATCCTCGAAATTTGAACACCTGCCAATTTGAACGCTTTTAGCTGGTCCCATGGGTGTTCGGATTAGACAGGTTTTACTGTACAAAATGTCACCACCATTTGTTACAGACACCAACCACGGATCACAAACTGCTAACTGCCTATCACCAACAGCCGTCACAAAAAAATGGAGACCATAACAATATCAGCACTTTTTGGTGGTGACATAAAAACTTGACTTTTTAAGAAAATATATTTGGTACCTGTATAAGGTGTTGAAGGTTTTCTCACAATTCTTAATCTCACACCCAAAAGGTTTTTCCTTGGTATGCACTCTAACATGAATCTTCAAACTGTATGATGTGAGGAATGATTTACCACAGTTATCTTCATTGCAGATAAATGTATATTCCCCTGTAAAATAAGATAGCGATAATAACTTGTTTTGTATATGTGAAACAATTGTTTCCTCATATTTTGTGAAATTCTAGTTGATGAGCTCGTCTGTCTGCACCTGCCAAAATGATATCTGATTGGCAAAATTAAAATAAAATTAATTTAGCAAAATAATGTACAGGTAAATTCTGCCACCTTATGATATATCAGAAAAACTATGACATATTGGCTAAATTGATGATGTCATTGGTTGTAGGCAGAGATATGTCTGACAGTGTAAAAGCAGGATTATTAATTGCTAATTTTAGAAAATACATACACCCTATGATATCATCAAGCTAGTCATTATATATATTAAAGGTGGCAGGTTTATCATAACAATCTCCTATCAATGGATTTAATTGCTTGGATAACAGAGCATTTTTATTTGTTTGTTAGATTTTGACAGTTGTACTATATGCGATATTGACATTAATTTGTTTAAGTCTAATAAATTCAGGAATTCAAATCAGCATGATGATAATTCGTTACTTTGTATGCACCAGATAGTTTTATTAACAGAGCAATGGTTTAAACTGAGATAACTAATACATTCATGTAGTATACATACCCAAGTGTGTTTTCCTATGTGTTTTTAGATTACCAGCGGTACTGTATGTTTTTGCACAGCCATCAAAGTCACATACATATCTGTAATAAAAAATTACCATTCTAAATTAATTGCAATTTACTGCAAAATTTAACTTGAAGCAGTCATACATTTAATTTGCAATCTGCAAAATGAACTTATTTCACCTGGAGGATATGACTGTTTAATTTTCAGATAATGCTGGAGAAGTGTATAATGATGGTATATACTGTAGATGCATATAGGATCCCTCAGAACTCAGATTAAAAAGTAAAACATCACTCATATACGCTGAAACCATTACAAGGCTAAAACCAATACTTTTCAATTTTTTTAAATTCAGAAAATTTAAGCTATTGATCAGCATGTGGAAAAATTGTACATGATATTGAATGTGTGTAATACATTAATTCATAAGACAAACATACCACTGACAATCCCAAGATTATTAGTAGGGAGGGTTAAAGTAGATGCATGTATTTATTTGATGTCACTTATCATGCTAGGTTGCTTAATTAATATCAGTAAACTTTTGAGGAATTTATGCTGCATATTTTGAATGCTACTATAGTGTACATGTTGAGACACATGTAATAGATATGTTCAAATGCAGGTAATTAAATTCATTACAAATAATTGCCAATATTAAGTCAGTACGAGGGGTGATCAATAAGTAATGGATGCTTTTTTACATAGATGCTTTTTAATTAATGTATCACTGGTGAAAAAATTAAAGAGATTGGTCCATAAAAAGCATCCGTGTAAAAAAGCGTCCATTACCTTTTGATCACCCCTCATATGATAACATTTTTGGCAGTGCCATGATTGCTTAAACTAGATCGATACACCAACCTTTTCAGTTCTTTCTTTTTAGTCTGTGGGTTCTCACTCTCTACCATTAAGGTGCAATGTGTGGGATTCTCTGGCATAGGCATGTCCCCAGGGTTGATGTGCATCAAGATCTGATTGGCTGACACCATGTGATGGATATACCTGTAAGACATTCAAAAACACCCTTGGTATGCAGGTGCCAATAATGGACCATACAGGTATGATGGCATGAATATGTGCCAGGTGTGATGCCAATGGTTATTTTTGAATCTATATATCCCATAATGTATTTTGCTTAATACTCTTTTGTGTGGAAATGAAATCTATGATACCTTGGACATACCTCTTTCAAAGGCTGAATGATCTATCCTAGAACAGCCTTTGCTTGTCCGATATCGCTCCAGAATCGTGACAGCTGATACAGTAACAAAAACTGAAATCAGTTTACTATACCTCAAACTGTCTCCTACATTTTCATACTCTGCATCCGAGAGTCTGTAAGTTATCAGCTGCTTCTGTGCCGATTAGGACTTCTCTTTTTCCTTATGAGTGGATATTTTCTCCAGAGAAACCAAAATGGCAGTTTTGATGGAAATTCATGAAGTAGCATTCAATATCTCTACAGATTTCCGAATGAGAGCTACCAGAACTTCGGAAGTTCAGCAATTTTTAATGTTCATTTGGAAATCTCTGGAGATTTTGAATGCTACATGTACTTCTCAGTTGAAAATATCCACTTCTTGAGGATAAAGTCCTGATGACCACAGAAGCAGCTGAAAGTTAGAAGCTGATTTCAGTCTTCACGATTCTGAAGCGGGTGATAGGGGACATGCAAAGGCTATTCTATCCTATCAGAACAGTCAGCCTTTGAAAGAGGTACATTTTGTAGCTTTTAGCGCATTTGATAGCTTCCATATCTTCTATAGATTTCTAGGTAATATGAAAGTCTTCAAATACACTGCGTCACAGCAACTGATGGAAACATGATCAAAGAATTATAGACTAATGTCTATGTGCATATACATGACATCAGCCATTGGGTCAATGTTAGCACAGATCGTCAGGCACCAAAATTAAAATCCCCCCCCCCCCTTGGTCGATTCTCCTATCCGTTCAAATGTTAACTTAGTCTAGTCAGAAGAATTAGCTTTAGACCATAGGCTGAGAGAAAAGGAAGTAAACAAACAGAATATTTTATGTGTTAACTAATCTATGGTGAACAGAAGACCACCCCCAGCCATCTTTAGATAGATCTCAGGACATCATGAGATAGCTGTGTGCAAACTCTAAGTAAAATATGGAGAACTTTCCATTAGATCTATTCATGGTTTGCTACTACTTTTCCCCAGCCTATATTCAAGACACACGATACACAATTTGGTTATTATTCAATTATCATACCCAGCGGAGTCTTCATATGTCGAGGAACCGGGGGAATCAGTTGAACTTCCAGCTAGACCCATTGTTGTTGCTGTTGTACTTGGAACAGGAGTTTCCGGTGTCAAAACTGATATTCCATTGGAAAAGTTGAACTCAGATTGATTCTCGATATCTCCAGATATAGGGCTTTCCCCGGGAATAAACATCTTTGAAGAGAAGTTCTGTTCCCCGAACATACTCTCGTCTATACTTCGGAGCAGACTAAAGCCCGAGTCGTCTGCAATCGAGTCACAAAGTGGCTGTTCATCGTCTTCCGCCATCATAAATTTTTTACACAGAATATTTCTCAGACCCCTGAAATAATAATTGTAATAACCTTTTTGTAATTACAAAGTAAAGCACAGTTATGCTTGGGTATAACGGACATACTGAGCTACCGAAGGTGTTGTTCCATATAACATACGTCCAAATTACCCGAAGAGCTCTTTGGTGTTTATTTACAGTGATTTAGTAATGATGAAGTGAACGATTTTATCCAAGGGGTCTTCCTTGCCGGAAGTTGCTCTGGTGCATTGTGGGATCGACCTTTTTCCGAGTCCATCCAAAATGGTGGGTAAATATTTCAAGAACCTCAAAAAATCCAGCCAAATCTGGCGTATTCTAATAAGTTAAACAATTAATCTTGTCATTTTAGTTCACTTGGGTTTATTTTCCATGTTTTCCAAATCAAGTTGATACCGATTATCGTCTAAATCATCATGTTTTGCTCTGTGAAAAGTGCACACTATTTTTTTAATCCACGGAATATTTACATGCTAGTACCACATTGGATCGACGTTTGTCAGATAACATTCTCGTTCACTTATGTTACACCTTACACTAGTGTATAACGAGTTCATACTGTTCATAACATACTACGATGAGTAAGAGTTTCGTTGAGTAAGGCAACAAATATGAAAAAGTTTGCGATTTTTAAAAATCATCTCATGTCTTTCATTCAATGAATCAATCTGAATCTCTGTTAGACTATTCAAAATTTAATTTAGACCTATTTTGTCAATCTCATGTATACCATTTTCTTTATAGCCGCGTGGACCACGTAAACATTTAAAGCGCCTCAATGCGCCCAAGCATTGGATGTTGGACAAACTTGGGGGAGTATTTGTAAGTACCGATTTTTTCCTAGAACATTAGCCTAAAAGTATTCTAACTTATACATCAAGAAGATATGAAACAGAAGTCTTAAATATCCACGAGTGTTTAGTCTCAAAATACAGTTTGTAAAAGAAAATATAACTAATAAGATGCAAATTATGATGATATATCCTGGTCCGTGTTTCTGACAATACTGATGTTGCAGGTTCTGAAATTTGCACAAGTTATGTTTCAAAGAACATATTTTATTACAGGAATTCTATCTTTAAATGAGGCTAATGTCAATTTATCAAAATATTTCAGGCCCCCAAGCCAAGCTGTGGCCCTCACAAGACCAGGGAGTGTCTACCACTCATGGTATTCTTGCGTAATCGCTTGAAGTATGCTCTGACATATGATGAGTGCAAGCGAATTGTCAACCAGCGTCTTATCAAGGTCGACGGCAAAGTCAAAACTGACAAAACCTACCCCTGTGGATTCATGGGTAAGCTATACTTTAGTTGATCTGTCTGCAGTTTTAAATTTTTACAGTCTGAATTGTATGACCAATATTTTTGTTAAAAGTTGAAGTTGATTGCAAATCAATGATGATATATCCTGGTCCGTGTTTCTGAATTTACTGATGTTACAGGTTCTGAGACTTGCAATCAAGATTTCTACAAGAATATAATATACATCAGGGTTCTCACTAGGAAATTTTTAGACCCCAGATTCTTCCCTTTCTAAAGGGTTTCTGACTTACTATTCCCTGTTTGTATCCAGTTTTATGTATTTTCTCCACAAATTATTTTTACCTCAAATAATGTGACAAAAATGTAAAATTCTACTCCTGAAAAGCTATTACACCCCATGCAGACAGATCGCCTTAAAGTACATTCATATGATGCGAGACTCGATATTCTCCAGGAAACTAGAAACATTTTGCCACCAATGAAGTAAATTAATTTTTTGCTGCTTAATAAATGGTGAATGACAGTCACATTGAGTTCTATAAGTATGAGAATAGCCCATCCTCTTGATATTCCAAGGTAACTCATTTGAATAGTGATTGCAGAGATTGAAATTAAGATGTAAAAATAAAACCGCAACAAAAAATTTGTAGATTTCTATGAAATAAATACCTCATATCGAAAAAAACATATATAAATACTAAAGCCTGCAGGTCAGATTCCCCCTGGTAGCATTAACATTGGTCTCGTTTATGTCATACAATTAATATTTGAAACACAACTATTAATCAAACTTATGATCGGACATAAGTATGTGTACTTCAAGGTAATAAAGTAATTATATCATACTAATCGGACATGCAGGCCTTATTATTTATACATGTTTTTTCTGTTTTGGAAAATTTGATATGTGAAACATATTTTTTAGTTTTTCAAAAAGTCAAATAAGCCAATCAGATCGGCAATACCCTATTTGGAAACTGTGTTATTTTATTGGTAGTGTGACTCTGTAGAATTGAATGAACTCATGTTATAAAAGATGTCTCTGTGATATTTTCGACCAATAGGCTTACAGAGATGCACATAATATTAATGAGCTCCATTATGACATATCCATTTCTGAAATTTGGTTTCACCATCTCGTCTCTAAAATCTAACATAAGAGATTAATCGTGCTTGAATTATTAGCAGTTCACTTAAAGAACAGTTTACACTTAAAGAAACTTAAAATTAACCTCAAGGATTTTTGTGTGAACTAACTATCCAGGGTTACAAGTAATCAATTTTCAATTACCTCCATTGAAATTTAGGGAGACAGACTACTTTCTATATCAAACAGTTAAACGGGGTTGCTGATTTTAAAATTTAATTGTAATTTATCTACTGTTTAGAAATCATTTCTCTTCATATCTCAGTTTAAGTGACCTGAAGTCAAATGCAATTAATTCATAGGCTTGAAATGATGATGATATACTTTCGCTCTTCTGTAATTCCCATGAAGACTTTAGTTCAGAATCGCACTGATCAAGCCTCTAAAACACTATCAGTATATTTCCCCGAGTTGTTATATCACGACCCTCAGTTTGCGCAATAAATAAATGCGTAGTCCATTTTTTAACATATTCTCGAAGAAAATTGTACATTTTACATTATGTGTTCTCTCATCCACTGATGTATGGCCTCATGGAAATTTTCTAATTTTTAATACAGCTCTTTTGTATTTCAGATGTTATCACCATTGAGAAAACTGGAGAGAACTTCCGACTGATCTATGATGTAAAAGGAAGATTTACTGTTCATCGTATTAAGCCTGAGGAAGCCGCAGTAAGTATGAAACCAAACTCTGCTTCTAATACCTGATCACAAGTTCTGTTCAGTGTTTGGTGATAACAAAACTATAACCATGTGCTCTGGCCTGTTTTTCTGAATGTTACATGTACATGTTGTCTCAGCTTTTCAAGTACTCCGATTATTGATACTTCAGCCTCAAGGTTTTAAAATAGAAAGTTCTCAACTCTTTTATTTGCCATTTGTTAGGTTGTCTTTAATATATTAAACAGGCAATGCGCCTATTTTTGAAGGAAAAAGGACAAAATATTATTTGAGACATGTCACTCACACAGTCAATCAAATATGATAAAAACTTTTATTTGGGATAATACTGATGTGAAAAAAAAATTACTTGCATAGAAAACAGCATTTGAAATTCAGAGATTGAAAAAAGTGAATTACCACTTTTCACTAAGTGTATGTTTTAAATAACTCTTGGATTAAAAGATGGCGTATGCTTGAAAATCCTATCAAAAATGAATGGATAATTAATGCAAACAACAATGCCATCTTTCTATCGCATTGCTAAAAACTTGACATATAAAAATTGATAGGTCAAAAATATTTTTTCATGATCTAGTGTCAATTCTGATGTGGTCTGTTTGAGCTGTTTTTGGTGTCAAATGAAAGATCAGGTACTTATTTATCCATTGGAAATACTATGAAGATTTAAAGTGAGACTTCATTTACGCACCTTATCCCTTTAAAAGAGGAGGCATAGTTCCAAGGCATTCATAGTATAATATGATAAGAATTCAAATTCTAGAAGTATTCCTTCTCTTTTCCAGCAACTCGGACATGTACCATTATTATTGCACAATATGTTTGGTTATTCCGATTGAATTTGTAATAATATATTGTTGCTTTTCAGTACAAACTGTGCAAGGTAAAGAAGGTGTCAGTTGGGCCCAAGGGTGTGCCATATATTGTAACCCATGATGGTCGTACAATCCGCTACCCAGATCCCCTTGTCAAAGTCAATGACTCCATACAGTTGGATATCGCATCTGGAAAGATGAAGGATTTCATCAAATTCGATTCTGGTAAGTTTGCCTTTATTTAGATTCTCTGGTATGTGTGGGACTGCAAGGTTTGAACAATCTATAAAAAAGCATGCGGAGTATATCATTTTATAATGAAATTAGTGCCTTACGGTAATGCCGGATTGTCGGCAGCGGCAGTAGATACTCTCAATTGCCGGTAATAAAATCCATTGCCGATAATCGCCATGCTGCTGCAACATGATGATTGGCATTGCGATCCATTGTCAAATTTACGAAACAATGTTCGTTTAAGAATATTTTATCAATCATGTATATTTCAATCTCCACATTTGAAGAGCTAATCTGTCAATCAACTGCAAAGCATTCGTAAAAGGCGGGAGGAAAAGCAAAACCCCACCCACTTCTGTCAATCATCTCCCATGCCGCGAGATTAACAAATCACGTGACGTGATATTTGGGTGAAGTAAAAACAAACACAAATAATTTGATCAATTTTGATCGAATTCACTCTATATTATCATTCAAAGACTTCCTAACAATACACAATCACACACGAGATACACGATGATACAATATGTCCACTGTAGTTGATGTGAGCGGGAAATCAAGCTGAGAAATCGGCTTCGTTAAGGATTTTTCCAAATATTTTTTTAGTTTCACTTTCAGGTTTTTCCCCGGGATTTTAGGAACATTATCAGTATCAACGATTATCGGTAACGGTAAGGTAATGGAGGTGAAATTTACCGGCAGTGAGATCCATTACCGTTGCAAGCACTAAATGAAATCCAAAACTTTTTTATAGTTCATTTTCAAAATTATATATATGTTGAGAATCTGTTGTCATTTTTTGTGTTCACCATCTCCCAGCAAACTCTTTCATGTAATAAACATGAGATAATTGTGATTGCAAAAATAATTCAAATGAGGAGAAATAAAGAATTGCTATTGTGCAGCCTGCTTGAGTTTGGGGCTTTTATAGAGCATGTTAATGATTTACTTGACAACACATTAATTACAAGATTGGCAATGATCGAAGCTGGACTTGACAAATCCCATGTCAAACTCAGTCAAAACAATGCCAACATTAAAAATCCATATAGGTCGCTTGGCAGATTTGTGCTGCTTGGGCATTACCCAATGGAATGACATACATGTAATTAAAGCCTCGGACACATTTGCTGTTTGGGCATTACCCAATGGAATGACATACATGTAATTAAAGCCTCGGACACATTTGCTGTTTGGGCATTACCCAATGGAATGACATACATGTAATTAAAGCCTCGGACACATTTGCTGTTTGGGCATTACCCAATGGAATGACATACATGTAATTAAAGCCTCAGACACATTTGCTGTTTGGGCATTACCCAATGGAATGACATACATGTAATTAAAGCCTCGGACACATTTGCTCAGTGGTGGTCATATGGCAGCTGTAGTTTTACAAAATCAATAGAAAATCTTTACCTTATATTTAATGTTGCATATTTCTCTTAATTTTTGGAAGCTACGGCGTAGGTTAATGTAGATTAAATGTGACTGTGGCATAAGTTTATTTATAATACTCTTGAGCAACATAGATAAGGGAAGTGCAAGTGAACAAGGGTTTGGCTGGGACAAATAACTATGTTTTTGTGCATCTTTTACATTAGGATATATAGAGCCAGGTTTTCCAATAAAAAAATGTTTAACAGCATTCTACATGAGTTATTGATAAAGGCGTTTGCCAAAAAACATTTTGACCCTGCCACATGGAGTGTAAAATGTAAGCAGTCATCTCAAAAGACCATGTCAATGTTTGTCACTAAATCCTTTAAAAAAGGAATATTAACTTTTCCCATTTAACCTTTAAAAAGGTTAAAGTAAATTCAAATGATTTGATCATTTGTTTGGATTTGCTACTTTCACGCCCGGTGATCGGAAGAATTGGATGGAGGGGGATTAGCTGATTTTCGGTAGAAAATTCAAGAAATCTTGGAGATTTGATTTTTTAACATAAAGTTTACTATTGAATTGCTAAATGAATAGGCGCAGTGCACGGGGAAATATGTTAGGTCTTTTACGTTTTTTTTGATTGACTTCTAAGATAAAAGATCTATTAAAAAAGGAGCAGCGTCGCCAACGTGCAAATTCCAATGTTTTGGCAAAAACTAAAGCGACAGGAGTCTACACGACCTGTAATAAATACTTGTAAGTGAAGTTATTATCAATAAACTATTGTCATCGTTGGTTTTGTAAAACACGTTACTATACGTTATATAAAAAATAATCTAAAATAATTAAAACGGGATGGAGGGGGGATTAAAACAAAGGCTAATTAATCCCCCCTCCATTCGATCCCCCCCCTCCATCCCATTTTAATTATTTTCGCGGCCATTTTATTGGATAAATCAGTGAACGTAGCCGTCCAACCTCGTTTTCAGAGGTGGCGTAACTGTCATGCTACAACACCGTGTTTACCTCCATTGAAATTTAGAGAGACAGAATACTTTCTATATCAAACAGTTCAACGGGGATGTTGATTAAAAAACTTAATTGTAATTTATCTACTGTTTAGAAATAATTTATCTTCCTATCTCAGTTTAAGTGATCTGAAGTCAAATGCAATGAATTCATAGGCTTGAAATGATGATGATATACTTTCGCTCTTCTGTAATTCCCGTGAAGACTTTAGTTCAGAATCGCACTGATCAAGCCTCTAAAACACTATCAGTATATTTCCCCAATTTGTTATATCAAGACTTTCAGTTATTTATAAAAACTTCACTTACAAGTATTTATTACAGGTCGTGTAGACCCCTGTTGCTTTAGTTATAGCCAAAACATTCGCATTTGTACATTGGCGACGCTGCGCTTTTTTAATAGATCTTTTACCTTAGAAGTCAATCAGTTCAAAAAATCGTAGAAGACCTAACATATTTCCCCGTGCACTGCGCCTATTCATTTAGCAATTCAATAGTAAAATTTCTGTTAAAAAATTAATTTCCAAGATTTCTTGAATTTTCTACCGGAAATCAGCTTATCCTCCCCTCCATCCGATTCTTCCGATTTCTTCCAATCATCTGGCGTGACTTTGGTGTCCATTTTTGTAACTAATGATTTGGTCACAAGTCATTGTGTCAAAAAACAGGGTTCGAAATTAGCGTTGCGGAAGTAACGATTCATTCCTTCATTTTCCAAAATCGTTACCTAGCAACATGCCAAAGTAACGAAAATAGTTACCTGCTTCATGGGAAGAACTCTAAATGATCGTCATCTCAACTTCTCAAATGAAAATATGCCGACATTGCCGTGATCAAATGTTTTTGATTTTTTTTCTTTGACACTTTTCATCCTTTTTCACTTTAGCTGAAAGCTGTAACTTCTCAAAACATAAGATAAAGTGTTCACTTACCATACAGATTCTTATTTTCCTAAAATAAAGTCTTAAAAACCGGCAATTTTGAGGTAAAATCACCGTATTGTTAAGAAACATTCTGAAGTTGCTAGCCTAACTTCCTGTATGAAAAAGGGAGACATCTATTGAGAAAAATATTAGTCTTGTACTAAATATCCCAGATGCGAGTAAAAAATTCACAATTCAGTCAAACTGATATCATATTTGTAATCTACATGTAAAATTACATTTAGAAATGTGGTTTTGAAAAGAGTTTATCAACTTAAAAAATTTAATTTTCTTTGAAAATGTGACTTCTAGGTCGGGGAGATTCCCCATAGACCCCATGTTGTAAAACCACAAAAAGTGAAATATCTTTTCTTGTGTTGGGCAGATAATATTTTCTTTTACTGGACATATTTTTATTTGTATAACTATCAGATACATAAAGGTAATATGAAAAATGAACCACTAAAACTAATGCATATTCAAGTTTAAGGGAATTTTGTAATACCCTGCGATGTTAATTCCCCCGAATCAGCCACCTGGTGGCGAAACTGTTAACTACCTACTCGCATCTGAGTAATTGCTTTCACCCCCTTCAATAAAATTTGCAATTCCCATTTTACCATGCAGATTTGAAATAAGAAAAATAAAATCTTGGGGAGGGAAAGTCGAAAAGACAACAGCTATTTGCATAAATTATCAACCTGACCTTTTCACTTAGGAATGTTTATAGTGGGAAATTTGAATTTGAATGTTTATACCACATGATTGGTCTATTATAGTTTGATCTGATCACATGACTAATCATCACCATCATCAAGTTTAGAAGGGGTGGAGGCTTTATAGCCTGTAATGTTCTCCCATTTGATCTATTAAAATTAAAACTGAATTTAGGGTAGGGAACTTTCGAATGTTATCATGAAACAAAATTGATAATAGATCAACAGATCAATAGACTTGTTTAATGGATATAGTGTCAAGGAAAACTTTGTTTTATCGCGATAATAACAATTTCAAGCGGTAATAACAACTACCTTACTTTGGTATTTAGTTACCTAGAAAAAATCTCAGGTAACTATTTTCAATACCAGGCTAGAAAGTTAAGTTCGAACCCTGAAAAAGAGACTTTTTCTCGGAATCGTAAGTTATTATCCTACCAAAAAAAATTCCCTGGTTGCTGTTTTTCTAGTCTCGGTATAATACAATGTATGTTTGAATGTTACAGGCAACCTGTGCATGATCACTGGAGGGCATAACTTGGGGCGAGTAGGAACTGTCATCAACAGAGAACGTCACCCTGGATCATTTGACATTGTGCACATTAAAGATGCTTTAGGACACACATTTGCCACCAGGTTAGTTTACTGTACATGTGTAAAAGGTGAATCATATACTTGTAGTCTATTGGTTCAGTTGCCGAGTTAAGTGCCGAGAATTGTTTTATTTTTTTAATTATTTTATTTATTTTAAAAGTGAAAATTTTCCTCATTTTTGCAACAAAAACAACCAATTAATTTCTGGATTATCATATCTGGGTTACTAACACCTGAGAAAACTTCATTTACAATTCAAAGTGCAAATCCCATCAAGATTTTTGAAAATTTTGATATAAACTATATTCTGATCTATCATTTTCATTTCTTATTCAGAATCGGCACGTCAGAAATTTGATTGTAAAAGAGATCCTAATTTTCATTATTTTACTTAGAATGGCAATGATCGAAGCTGGACTTGTCAAATCCCATGTCAAACTCAGTCAAAACAATGCCGACATAAAAAATCCATATTGGTCGCTTGGCAGATTTGTGCTGTTTGGGCATTACCCAATGGAATGACAAATATTTTATGAAAGCCTTGGACGTAGATACTCACAGTATCCTACTTATGATACTTCAAAACAGCATCTTGGTTGGTAATTTTGGACTTGGACCACAACAGCTTTTTGATGTTAAAAGATGTTAGAGAAACTTGGTGCTCCACCCAGCGTTAAAGCCAAATGGGTGCATCACCCACCTGAGATTTTAATGAATTTGCATCTACTTGGAATTGAGAAATATCATGAAAAAATGTATATTTTGACTAATTTTTGTTTGAATTGTATAAATGCAAATTTTTCACCCACATGAGAAAAAATCCTGTAGATAATACTGCACCTTTCGAAAGAATGAAATGTTGACATACTTTAGCCTTTAACAGGCAAAATCATTACTATTCGCCTTGTTAAGAAAAAACTCGGGAGATCACTGTATTTTTAATATATCGGGAAGCTGTCAATATAAACACTTTGTTGTCTTTTTCCAGGTTAATGTATGTGTTCATCATAGGCAAAGGCAACAAGCCATACGTCTCACTCCCCAAGGGCAAAGGTGTAAAATTGACCATTGCTGAAGAGAGAGATAGGAGACTGCAGATGAAATAGACTAAAAGGGACTTTAACATGCAAAGACACTATGAATCTTCTGTAATAAAAAAATATTAATAAAGCCCTTTTAAAAGTGGAAACAAGCTATTTTGTGATTGGAGTATTTGAAATAAATATGCAAGCTCATGTGCTAATGAAGGAATGACAAGAGTATTATGAAATCAGACGGAGATTTTGAGCCTTATAAACACAGAAGAAACCATTTTATTGGGTACTACTGTATTATCATTCCATAAAAAGAATTCAGATGGAGATTTTGAGCCTTATTAACCCTGTAGAAGAAACCATTTTATTGGCTACTACTGTATTCTCATTCCAGAAAAGAAATGTTACACGTATGTTACATTCTAAGGGTTAATACGGTTTGGAATGCTTTACCTGTCTGTTTAAGGACCCATACATGTTTGAACTGATGATGGATGAGGTCCTCACTATAAAAAAAATTAGGTCTCCCAATTGGCCCTCAGATTTCCCAAATCACTTGCAGAAGACCAATCACAAGAGATAAATTCCACAATTCAAATTAAGTTCTGCATCTTATCTGTCTGCCTGTTGAAGAACAGAATTAATGTTTTGATCAACTATAAACGGACCTTATTTTTTCATTGTGCAAGTGTCAGTAGCCCTTCATGCTTCTGAATGACCAGATTCAATTCGTTTATATTCACTTCAAGTAGACTCACAAGTACTGTACGTCCGTTTCGTTAAAAAGATGTTGGATCCTGAAGTTCAGATTTTTCCTTATTTCATGAGTTGTAGGCATTTCTTTAAAAAAATCTAAACGTTTGCGAACAAATAGTTCAGAAGATGATAGAAAAGTGAATTTAGGGATCGAAATATTACACGCTCACGTAGATGTTCACTTCACTTAAAAACGTCACTTTATCTCCCTAGCCACCACATTGATGATTCTGTTGTCATCTGAACTATTTGTTTGCAAAAGTATTATTTTCTAACATATGATGCTGACACGTTTGGATAAAATGTGGAGATATTCCTTACAACCTTCAAGGTTCCGACATCTTACGGATACGTTGTGTTTACGGAACTAGATTGAAGAATGCAGTTCCTTTGACTATGGAAACTGAACTAACCATTATGTTTACTCAAAATTGTTTACAATTAAATGTGCGCTAATCCTGGCATCTACAGCGCAGCCACATGAAGGGAAAACCTGGTATCTGAATCTCACAATCAAATGTAGGCAATAACTTGACATCCGAACCTCACAATCAAATGTAAGCAGTAACCTGGCATCTGAACCTCACAATCAAATGTACACGTAGGCAATAACCTGGCATTAAACCTCTCCACACAATCAAAAATTGGCAATATCGTAACCTGACATCTGAACAACAAAATCAAATGTAGGCAATAACCTGGCATCTCCACCATACAATCAAACGTAAGCAATAACCTGGCATCTCCACCACACGACCAAGTGTAGGCAATAATTTGACATCTGAACTACAAAATCAAATGTAAGCAATAACCTGGCATCTCCACCATACAATCAAACGTAAGCAATAACCTGGCATCTCCACCACACGACCAAGTGTAGGCAATAATTTGACATCTGAACCTCACAATCAAATGTAAGCAATAACCTGGCATCTCCACCACACGACCAAGTGTAGGCAATAACTTGACATCTGAACTACAAAATCAAATGTAGGCAATAACCTGGCATCTCCACCATACAATCAAATGTAAGCAAAAACCTGGCATCTCCACCATACAATCAAACGTAAGCAATAACCTGGCATCTCCACCATACAATCAAATGTAAGTGATAACCTGGCATCTCCACCATACAATCAAATGTAGGCAATAACCTGGCATCTCCACCATACAATCAAATGTAGGCAATAACCTGGCATCTCCACCATACAATCAAATGTAAGCAATAATCTGGCTTCTCCACCATGCAATCAAATGTAAGCAATAACCTGGCATCTCCACCATACAATCAAATGTAAGCAATAACCTGGCATCTCCACCATACAATCAAATGTAAGCAATAACCTGGCACTACTCAATAAAATGAAGGTAATTAGATGGCATCTCCACTACATAGAAATAATTTAGCGTGCATTTATTTTTATTTAGTCATCCGTATCGCGATTTTCGAAGTCAAATAAAACTAACGGGTATTTTAATCAATGTAATTGACTTATTTGTTTCACAATCTAATCGTAAAGATCGGATAACATCTGTTCAGTTTACATGATATTAACTTCGTGTACAAAAAATACTATTCCAAATTTAAAATGACAAACTATCGAGGTAAGTGTAACGTACGAATTGAAAGCACCGTTATGATTCTAACTCTGCATTAGGGAATTTAAAAATGAAAATAAAAAATAATTGTATAAGATATTTCATATACATGATGTCCTTTTGGAGTTTGCGCCAGTGCATAATATTGTATCATTTCAATCACCCAACATTTCTGGTGGAAATGGACTGTCAAATATTTTTAACTGGCAACACATTGAGTGGAAATTCAAAACATTTTAAATCATGGCCATTGTTCGGTCTTTACCAATCAAAATCAAAAAGGGGTTATCTTTGTCATAAATCGTTATATTTATTTCAGGTATGACGTTTCTCCTGTGCGCATTGGTAGTTATAATGATACTACTAGCTGACTCGTATTTACCAGTGCCACCAAGAGATCTAGAAAACAATGAGAAGTTAGAGTCTCAATCTGGTGATATGAACAAAGATGGTTCATTAATCCTTGAAGCTTTGAACCGTATTGAAAACAATCTAGATACAGTATTGACCAACCTGGAGAGAAGTAATCTAGATTACGATTTTAACAATATGCTGAACCTCGAAAAAATCAACACTGATAACGATCCAAACAACAAAGATGCCATTCATAGCAACAGTCGTAAAACAAAAATAGAAAGTCCAGTTACACGTGTTGACACTACCGCTAAAGTTGATGACTTACAATTTGAATGTCACGCAGTCAAACTCAAAGGGATCTTTGACAGTCCATTCCCTTTGTGTACATATACAGCTGAAGAGGATAAATGGGTGTCCGGGGAATTCCTTAAAAACAGCTATTGGGAAAGGTCTATTGTAAAAGCCATAATGAACCAGCTGTCGGATAACCCTGACTGGGGATTTGTTGATGTTGGTGCTAACATTGGCACATACACCATCCCTGCTTTAAAACTTGGAGCCAAGGTTATCGCCATTGAAGCAATGCAAGGAAATGTTGATAGAATATCTCGTTCTGTTCAACTCAATGACCTGCATGAGAATCTTACACTTCTGCATAACGCAGTATATGATGTCCACACGGAATTTACTTTCAGGCTAGATTCTGCAAATGTTGGAGGGACATCTGTTGTCAAATTAAAAACAAAAGAAGGAAGGGGTCAGACAAAACATGCAAACGAGACTGTGTTCTCTGTATTCCTCGACGAAATACATCCGTTTGTAGATTTCAAAGAAGCAATTATGAAAATTGATATAGAAGGTTCAGAACTGCATGCTTTTGAAAAAGCAGGTGATTTGTTAGACAAAGTACGATTTAATGAAATATACATGGAATGGATGCTTATTAAAACCTCAAATGGTTCAGGAGAATTTGTAGAGAGCATGTTACAAAGAGGTTACAGCGTCTATGACGTGAATAAACCGTACAAAAAATTGACATTAACAGAATTGCAAAATTACACGAAGGACATTATATGGAAATTGTGTTAAATACTTTCTAGAATAGAACCAATCTGTTCCGTGATTTTATGGAATAGCGCCAGCGTGCTGTAAATCATCATTAATAACAGATCCCTTGCCTGAAATCCTTTTGTAATCGCCAACAACAGCCTTTGTCGAGTTAAAACCATTTAGCAATTGTCATCTTTGTTACAACTCCAGGATCATTTTCTAATGCAATTTCACTGGGAATTGAATAATTACTCGCCCTTTGACGCAGTGAGACTATTATGGCATTGATTACAATATTCTCCATATGCGAGATAGGTTTAGGATGATGGAATTATCTGTTTCCAAGCAAATGGTTTCTGATTGATTTCCTTTTCAATTTATTTTAAATGAGGATTAAACTTTTGGTGTAAGGTAATATGGTAACCTACTAAGGTTCATAAATTGATTTTTAGTTAAACAAATACATTTCTTAAAAAGACGTGCATAACATGAAAGCTATTTGGCGCCTTGATATTTTCAGAACCGAACTTAGGCCTTTAGATACACGTCTACAAATTTAACGTTTGAGGTATCAAGATTATGAAAAAATTTCATAGGATTCCGAATCTGATATCGGAATTGAAATCCAACTTCCGATTCAGATTTTACGGGGGCCGTAAGGAAAGGGGACCATAATCCCCAGGGCACCATAATTTCTTTTACACCGGCTTTAAGAATAGATAATGAAAATATTGATTTTTAGGTGAGATAAACATGATAACATTTTATTTCTCTAACATGATATGTAATTGATTCCTAATGTGTGATTGATTCTTTATTTATGAGATTCCTTGCCTTTGGATTGGTTTGTTTTGTTCTCATCGCTAGCTTTTTGTAGGCTACTGGAAGTAACGATTTAATGAAGGAATTAGTTTAAATAATTTAGACATATTCCCTAGAATTTTCATATGAAAGCAGTGGGTGGATCATTCAATGAAAAACAGAAATTGTTTATTGTTATTAGCAAACTCTGTTTCAGATCAGGTTGATGTTTTTTGTTTCATAGTACGGTCATTCCACATATAAGGAGACATTTAAGGTTCCAAACTTTTGAAAAATGAACTTCGTTTCATTGCATTCATTTTCAGATTTTGATTTTGTTTTATGTATCCTCTATAAAATCCCCAAGTTTTGGCATTTTAACTTTTATATATCAAAAGTTACACTATTTTGAAAATAAGAGGTGTAAAATTATAAAAAGCGTATAGTTTAAGATTCGTTCTCGATACCTCTTTTATTCTATGGAGATTTTAGCTAACTTGATATGCGATGTCTTCCTCTGGTAATCTCTATTCTATAGGTCACTAAGAAACAAAAACTATAAATTGCATTTGGGAAATCACTAAGCATTTTAATCAAGAAATAACATAAAAGTACGTTGTAATGCATAAATGCAGTCGCTTCTCAAAAAAATTGTTTTGCAAAACGCAACACTGTCATGTTTTCTCATGATGTTTAACACAACATGTGAGAAGTTATTTTGGGCACACAATGAAACTGTGGGATTTCGCTTTCAAATCATCCTATATTTGTATGTGGCAAAGACATCTAGTAATAATCAGAAATAAGTTAAACTTGTCAGTGCAAAACAACGTCGCTTAAAGTAAAAATTGACGCAATTGTTAATCCAACGAATCTTTCTCGTATATATCCAAAGTCTTAAAACACAAGCTCCTGTCCATTGTATTGTCACCATAAACCATTTTATATCTTTTAATAGAGATACAAAATTACTTTGAAAATAATAACGTATCTTAATATCATTATCAAAACATTTTAACTCGATCAATATCATTTACTTATTTGTTTAGAAGAATATAAACTCGTGATATGACCAACTACAAACAATAACAACTTCTTAAACAACAAAACAACAAAACATAAAATGCTTCATAGTAGAGGCAAATGAAAGAGAACGTCGCTTAAATCTAAGACATTTCGTTCCTTTACAAATGTCAAATGTCTACTTCACTGGAATAAGCTTAAAGTCCCCGATAAATCGGGCTACGTATACCGCCGTGTTTACATTAGGGGATTAGAAGAGTTTATTTTTTATTTAGGAATGCAAGCTACGTATATCAATATTAGGCCTTCCATGTACTCGTGTGCATGTAATCAGCATGCCCTTCAATATTATGTAAACCAGGCTATTCAAGTACTGTATAATGTACACTATTTATGTGTGTACTACATACAATACAATTCCCTGGGAAACAAAACACAAATACTTTTTATATGTTCAAAATGAGCCATTTGATTGATGCAAACACTAAATAGCTTCATAAATAACATCTACAAAGTATATCTAATAGTAATTTTCAATTTCAATGGTGAAACTTCCCTGGTTACGATTATATGGGAAATCATCACGAGACGAAGATCGTTCGCCTTCCTGGCTTACCTCTGAATCGTGTACCTGGTAATCTCTTTATATAGTTTAGCGAGAGCGGCGCGCCTGCGCAGTTTTAAACTTTGGCGCACACTTTAAGATTTTACCCAACGTTTTCACTACAGTGTGTCTCAAAAAATGTTACACTTGCAAAAAGTTCAATATCTTTCATGATTTTGACTTTTTCCCCAAAATATACTTATATGCCGAAAGACCAATCTTTCTCGAATAAATTCACACCATCAGATTCAAAATCCGTCCATGATTGACTGCACAGGACAGATTTTATAGACTCATGTGCAATCTGATTTGCGTCAATTTCTCAGTGGTTGGATATGTGGTGATCAATTCTTTTTTGGTGTGGATGCTTGATATGATCAATGATCCAGTTGTTTCTTTTCTGGATAAAAATACAAGATTTCATTGTCAGAGTGTTCAATTTTGTTATGATGGCAACAGGATGGTACAAAAGCTTGTGGCAGATTGTTTGGTAGAACTCTTTGGAAATCAGAAGATAGCATTGAATTACAAAATGGATTGGCCCCCAGGGTCACCCCACTTAACACCCTTTATTTTTTGAAGGGCCTCTGAAAGCGCTTTACATCATCGCAAACTGACCTTATGAACTTCTGCAAAAACAATTGATAGAATCAGTGTGATATTACAATGCATGTGCGCATGAGCAAGGGTATCTCAGATTTGCTTTGGAGAACATGCATGTTGAGGGGACCTCAACATGTTCATGTTTCTTCATCATGTTTATGTGGATAGACCCAATGATCATATGTAAGACAAATAGGAAAATTACAGAATGACTCAGGTAAAGGTCAAGCTTCTACTCAGAAGAAAGTTAAATGTTAAAGAAACTGTTCCTCCTTTGTCATTTGGTCCATCCAATCACTTAGAAGTTGGCGCAAGTCAGGTTTGACCATGGTACATTAAAAGCTGTCCCCAGGAGCCAATCAAGGACAGATTTTGAATCTGATGGTGTCAAATTATTTGAGAAAGATTTGTCTTTTGGTATCAAAAGTACATTTAAGGGGAAAAGTCAAAATTATGAAAGATATTGAACTTTTTGTAAGTGTAACATTTCTTTTGAGACACACTGTAGATGTGCTCCACTTTTGCAAGATCAATTGCATGTCACTGGCGGCGATTTTCATCATCATATTATTTCAATTGTTTTCCATCTTCTTCTGATACGTTCCTTTTCAAGGTATTTTTGTCCCTCGATTCTTTTCTTTCTTTCTCTATAATTCTTTAGAATTTCTGCTTTAGTTTTGGCCATATTCTGCAACAAATTGTGAATTCCCGGGTTAGTTACCACTATTAAGACAGAAATAAAACAAGTATTAAGCGACGTTATCAAAAGCAACGTACCTTAATTGATGTAAAACTCAAGTCGTATGTGATTTGGGAAAAAAGTTGACATCATTTTTTAACAATGACCAATTAAGTTGTTTATTTATAATATCTTTCAACCGAATCGGGATATCCTAGATCTCTGATTAACCAGCTTTGCTTAGGCAAAAGATACAGGTGTTGTACTTACGCGATTGCTGTATTATTTAGGGATTATTAGGATGAAATCCCATTTCCTTTGACTGCAAATAAAGTATGGCGTATCATTGGGATCACGGGATGATCTCCTCCACTGAGTTACCAGCATTTATTGCTGAGGTAATCAACTTATTTCGCACTTTCCGTAACGTACCTTATTGCAACGTACATGAGGAAAACTCATTACATGTTCCAATAAAGCAATATAACAGAGCGAACAAAGGTAATGAGCACATTATATTGAATGTCCGCCTTGTCATATTCAAGAATTTATTTACTAATTCCATCAAACTTTTACAAAATGTTGGGAAATGTTGTAACGTACCTTAAAATCCTTATCTTTTGAATTGAAAAATGACACCTTTATGACCTATAACTTTTGTTCTGGATAGAATACAGTTTTGAAACTTTGCATGCATTTTGATAAATCATTTTCTGATAAAATATCACTTCGGGTTAAACATTTCAGTGATTCGTGCATTCTCCAGAAATTAAAATATCTAAAGTGGTATTTTAGAAAAAAACTGGCGACATGGGTTCCGGGCATCTGATTATTAGGTTAGAAAGGGTTAAATTACTCGAAATGTTAGTAAAATACAGTATACACCCACAGGTATCTTTTCAAGAAGTTTGAATGTGTTCTGAAATCTATAACTACTTCAGTTATGCTTATAAAACATCACTATGCACTCTGGCGACATAACGTACCTGAGGAATTTGTCATCAAATTAAGTTAGAAAAAATTCTCACTTACTACCAAACAATTAAAATTTGCTGTTTAGTGATTATACAAGTGGGTATTGGTCCTAAGTAGATGTTCTTAAAAAGTTTCTATATATATCTCTTAACGCTCGAGAAAAAACCCTTGGCGACACGAATGTCTACTTATATGTGGAATGACCGAGTAATGCTGTCCAAACGAGAGCGGGAAATAGGGAGATTGATAGGGGTGATGAGAAATCGATAATTAGGCATAATGCACTAAATGCAATTGATGGAAGTTGATGGTCAAAGGTATGGGGAAAGTTCAATGGATCAGCTATAGATATTACTGGAACATATAATTGTGAATAGTACTAGTAATTATTTCATATTTCATTCTAAATAAGGTTGTTGTCTAGGTACATACATGTATTCTGGAAAACTGTATGCGCAATGGAACCAGTCACAGGATGTAACCCGAATAGTAGCTTCCAAGAAGACGTACGGAGCTTGCCAAATGCGACCAACTCATCGTCTTTTAATTATTCAACATTTGCGAGTAACAATAGTTCAAACACAAAAACTATAGAAATCTTTGTAGAATGCATGTTAGGAATCATCATATGTTTCGGCAATGGACTTGTCATCGTCTCCTATATCAAGTTCAAGACATTGAGGATTGTCGCAAATTTTTTCATTGTTAACTTGGCGATCGCTGATTTCGGAGTTGGTATTATGATGCCTTTACACATAGCGATGTACATTTTCCCAGATATGATGGCCTCGTCGGTATATGTTTGTCTCCTGAGGTATATGGTCGTTATGATCACGGTATGTGCGTCCATGCTCAGCCTCTTTGGTATAACGGTGGACCGCTATATAGCCATTATTGTACCCCTTCGATACAACGCCATCATGACGAGACGAAACGCCTATCTCCTTGCTGGAATGATTTGGGGATTTCCGTTTGTATATACGATCATTATACCACTGTTTTTTCATCATAGATACGAGGAGTTCACCAATCTATTTGAGGATCGACATTGCAATTTTGTTCAAGTGTTCAAATTAACGTATTTGAGAGTGTTATGCACAGGCATATTCTGTCTCCTATTAGGCACAATGATCGTAATGTATGTTCTCATATTTTATGACGTAAATAGATCTTTAAATGCATCCGTGAGCCCCCGAATTCCAGTCATAATTGATGAAACAAATGGGAAAACGACGTCAAAGCAAACGACTCCGTATCATATCAAATTATTGAGAACAACAATCATTGTATTAGGATGCTTCATTGCCTCTTGGTTCCCATTTCTTATATCCCTCCACGCTCAGATCTACTTCGACAAAAAGACGGACCCAAGCTGGAACTCCGCGAGAGAATATAGTACGTTTATTGGACTGCTCAACAGCGCAATCAATCCGGTCATTTATGCCTTCAGACTGAAAGACTTTAAGATTGCTTTCAAGGCGGTATTGTGCAGAAGAGTACACAGACACCAGGCGTCATTTTATCGCCAAGAAATTGCAACTATAGAAAACAAAGAAGACAGGCAAACGGGGAATCTGTGAATATCTTTAAATCATGGGCTCTCGTTTAATGAATATACCTAAAGATGTACCAGTGTAACATTTTTTACTAAATTATCCCATTTATGTAACCTTGTTCCGGTCTTATTGGCCCGTGCCCATAGAGACAAACCTGTATAAATCTTAAGTTTTATCATTTATTTTAATGAATGCAAAAGTAATGCAAAAACCGTTACTAGTACATGGCCAGGGATGGTGGTAAATAAAATTTCTTCATTCTATCTGCGACAACAAAATTTGAGGTATGTACGTTCAATATTTCAAAATTTAATTTCGCTGTAAATTGTATGCGACTATAGATGGTTAAAATAAAATGATAATTATAAGGCAAAGATGAAAATATCAAGAACCTACGGGTTGCAATTATCCATATTCAATTATAAAACGACCCCAATCGCCCACAACACAGCAATTATCAAACACAATAAACCTATATACAAAAGCAATGCAGACTTTAGATGTACTATTCTCAAATTGAAAATACGTATCCAAATGTAAAAGTACATTTATTTTATAAAATATGTCACTGCTTTGTAAACAGGTGAAACCATTCATAACAGTTAGGGTAACTGCATAAACACTATTAAACAGAGGTCATTTTAGGTTACTATGAATTTTCATCAGTGAAGAATACCTAGCGAGGGACGTGTCAAAATGTGAGTTTAAAGTGATCTAACTCTCAATGAGCAGTCTGAATGCTTTAGAATTGCAATTGCTCAGCACTCATGGATACGACAAAATACTACAATCAGAGGACAGCATATTTATAAAAAATTAAAATGAGGTAAGCATGTTGAATTGTATTTGTATATAGTATGTGTACAGTATAATAATTGAGGTTAAACAGTGAGATGATTCCAGCACTGTATTGCATATAAATGTTTGCCTACCTTAATTAAATCTAATACTTTTACCTTCACTTCTATCTCAGGTTATATATTTTCTCAGGAACAATATTGGGCAACATCATATAAAAGCAAGTTTGATTAACTTTTCTGAGTTGCAGAAAACAAGAATGTATACATTTTTGTATTTGAGTAAATCGTAATAAAGTTTGTTGCGACCGCATAAAAATGCTGATGTTTCATTCATTATATTTTCTAATATAAGAAATCCATGATATTTTGTCATATCATACGAAAATGATGAGTTGGGAGCTGATCTATTTAAACGTGTTAGTCTTTACTTTCATTATTTTGGAGCTTTGTAAGCGTTATACAGGGTGTTCAAAAAAAACGCAACCCAAAGAAATTGCTATATCTTGAAAAATACTGGTTCAATTATGTTCATATTTTCAGGAAATAAAGAAGAGACTGTGTATGTATAGCTCCTGTAAATGATTAGTTGTAAAACATGATGCCTTGGACACCTGCTCAAAAGACAGTTGTACTAGGAAACTACGAAAAACGCAGTCAGGGCTGACTGCAACCGCAAAAAAACACTTCCTAACCATAGTGTTTTGGCTCTTCAAATTTGGCACAAATCATCTTCATTCACAGTATGGTACATCTGTAGAGTGAAATCAAAACCACTTCAGGGACTTTACAGTTATGGTTGAAATGCTTTCAAATCGCAGTCAAACGCCCTGGTTCAGGGAAACTTGAGAAGGAATTTTGACCATGACCGTAAAGTCCCTGGAGTGATTTTGATGAAACTCCACAAATTCACCATACATTGAATGATGATAATTTGTGCCAAATTTGAAGTGCCAAAACACTATAGTTAGAAAGTTATTTGGTTTTATTGCTGTGGCAGTCACCTCTGACTGCATTTTCATATTTTCCTAGTACAACTGTCATTTGAGCAGGTGTCCAAGGCATCATGTTTTACAACTTACTGACAACAGGAGCTATACATACACAGTCTCTCCTTTCTTTTCCTGAAAAAATGAGCATAATTGAATCAGTATTTTCCAAGATAAAGTGATTTTAAATGCGCGTTTTTCGTATTTTGCTAGTACAACTGTCTTTTGAGCATTTGTCCAAGATATCATGTTTTACAACTAATTAACAACAGGGGCTATACATACACAGTCTCTTCTTTCTTTCCTGAAAATATGAACATTAGTATTTTCCAAGATATAGCGATTTCTTTGGGTTGCGTTTTTTTAAACACCCTGTATATGAAATTATAGATTGGGTCACAGGTATCCCTGTAAAGAGGCCATGATGAACTGTTCATGAACTTTTTTGTTTAGCTATTACTGAACACACATTATAAACAGCAACCTCATTTAATATGACCATGAGTTAATTTTCGCCGTGTGTTTGTAACAAACAAGAGTGCCATCTTTAAACAAAAATAATGTATCGTACAGGGCCAATAATTCCTTGACTTACACGCAGGTACTGTCAATATTGTATGTAATTTTGTTTCAATAAATGAATTATAAAAACTAAAAAAAATAAAGCTGAACTTTTCGTCATTTCTATAACGTTAGTCAGCGTCTGTCATTACAGTCCTTTTAAATAAAAGACCTAGGACGATATAAACCAATATTATGAACGCCTGTATTCAATAAAAAGCGCCTTTATATTAGTGAATAAATGTTAACATGTTTTATTTAGGCAGCCTAGTTAAAATCGGATACCTGTTTCAGCATGGTGTATCGACTAGTCCTTCTGCCGATGTTTATGTCGACTTGGGCCAGTATTCTGTCCTTCGCTAGTCCATACTGGCTTTATATCAGTAGTGATGCCCCGGACGGAAGTGATGGAATGCCCGAGAAATCTATAGGACTATGGCAGGAATGTAGCAGTTTAGGGAAAGATCAATATAATATCACACAGTGGAACTGCACTGGGATTTCTGTAACGTGGAACGGTCAAGGTGAGTCAAAGACGGGGCTGCCCCGGCTACGATGAGTTGAACTATTTGGCGTTTTGACTTATACTATGTAGACTCACCGTCTATCTCAGTGACACGGCCTACAGGTGTACAGGTGGGGGGAGCTATTAAAAGGAATACAATAATATATTGAGAACTGATGTCTTTTGTTTGGACTATCAGGCCCATAGCCAGGATTACTCAGTTTACAAAAATTTCCAGGGGGTTCACATTTGACAATTTTGGCCCAAATATGGATAAAATCACTTGAGAAGTGCTCAAAATGGTGAAAACTGCATGATTTTGAAAGGGTAACACGCGGGAAATTTTTAGAAGAAGCCATCCAACTGATAACATACAATTGCAAACATCCAAACTAACACAAACAATGCCAATAGAACTATAAGTAAAGAAACAGATTTCAAGTCATCGAATCTTTATTTTATCCTGTAACTCCCTCTCCGACATTGTTTGGTAACAGAGAGTGGATGTGACCAGATGTTAGATGAAATACTTATGTTAATTCAGTTACAATTCTATTTTAGCTTGGTTTGGTCTCGTCCAGGGGCTCGAATGTATAGCCCTCCCCCTGTACGTCATAGGTACTCTCATATCCACCGTCCTTGTTTTTGCGAGGCGATTCTTTCCACACAAAAAGCTGGCTGTGGGACTAACGAGCAAAATCCTATGCGGTGTATTGTATTTTTCTAGTAAGTATAGTTTTCTTTTAGTTTTCAATTCATACATTTTATGTATTGAAAAGCCCAATTCTATTATGCATTTACATGCAAAAAGTGATCCATAGTGCTAAAGAAATAGAAAATTAAACCATTGCAAAATCGAATAATACAATCCTTTGAATATCAGAGATTCGATATACAGAGTGGGCCGAAAATTATGATAGCATAGTTTATTAACGCACTGCATTACTATTTTTAGCGATTAGATGTAGAAATTTTGCAATTTAAAGAGGGTATAATGATCTTTAACGAGAGATACATTTGCTTCTAGTTTATTTATTGTTTACGTTTACAGGTTTTCTACTTCTACTCACAACAGTAATCTTTCCCATATACGCCTTAAAGATGCAAGACCAGATTCAACCAGTGAATGAAGACGAAACATTAGACCAGACTCTCAAGTCGAAGATTCACGTCACAATGAATTGGTGCTACTGGATCCATCTATTGGCGTTCCTATTAAACATCATCGGGGCTGTATTTGCCAATATACTTGCCCTGCCATCAATGCAATCAAAACTTATGACTTCACATGAAGATGGACATAATCACATGAATAACATAAGTGGTGTTGAGAAAGATGACCGAGAGTATGGTGTTACTATGACACCGGCTGTATCTACAACGACTATGGGTAGTGGAGTGACGAATAGGACTGACAGTACTCATTTGGAATGGGGCGGGTCAACTGATAGAACCAGTGAAACGTTGGTCTAAAAAGTTTATATTTCTTGGTGATAGAATGCATTTGTTTCTTTACATTGTATGCTAGCCTAAATCTCGGTATACCTGGGTCGGTTTAAACTTTAGACACCGCCATGCGTTGAATCACACATAGATTGTTCTGCAGAGGCTATTAAAATAAAGGATAGTAATGTCACAAAGTGAAAACTATAACTCGACGCAAATGCACAATCAAAGTGGCTGTTTATCCGGAGAGAATATATTGACTTACTATTATTTAGCAGTTTTGGAGCTCTTTTTGTGAACAGATTAATAAAGACATTTCAAAATGAGAGACTCAGTTCGATTTGGTTTAAAAATGTCTTGGAGATAATGATTCAAAGTATAGATGGCGCAAATTATTTGATTATTTTAGACTCGAAAGAAAATGAAATAATATTTCGAAATAACTTTTATTTCTTTAATAAATACATATTACAAATACACATAATTACATACATTCAAAATGAAATGGATAAAATGTGGCACAGATCACAAGCATATGAGCGCCATTGCTACATGACGTAATATATAATATTCAGTGAACTAACTGGAGTGTAGTTATCATGTATGCAGTTATATCCCACATGGACTTTACAGAATTAACTTAAGTTGTAATAGAAGGGATGCCTGACATTGCAATGCACAATGTTCAGGTATGCCCGATATTGCTACACTGTAATTTACAATTCACAAACCTACATTGCTGTTCAATTCAATGTTCAGGTATGCCGTCCCATGTTGCATTACAATTTACATTTTCAATTATGTCCTGCATTGCAATTCATTGTTCAATTCAATGTTCAGGTATGCCGTCCCATGTTGCAATACGATTTACATTTTCAGTTATGTCCTACATTGCAATTCATTGTTCAATTCAATGTTCAGGTATGTCGTCCAATGTTGTAATGCATTTTACAATTTTCAGTTATGTTTCCCCACAATGTTACAATGCAATTCAAAATGTTCAGGTATTCCCAAATGGCACATTAATTTTGGTTTGTCCCACACATTACGACTTCTGTCATATTCTGATATTTCCGACATTTTGCCGCAGGTGTAATTCGTACTGTTTATGTATGTCACATATTGGTTCATAGTTCACAATTTTACAAGCATATCAACACACAATATTCTTTATAATTACATATACAGTAGAAGGGCACATGATGTTACATCTAACAATAATTTAACATTATTATTGAACAAGCATAGTACATTAATAACAATATACAGATGATCGCAGTTTCAAACGCAATTCTAGCGTCAACTAAGGACAAACCCAGGAAAATGCAAATGAGAGAGGAACCCTCTTCAAATGGGATAATTTGTAAGACGGTAAGTGCGACTGATACGGAAATGTATTGGTAAATATAAGGATAAGTAATATTGTATTGACACGATTGTCCTCCTTTTAATAAACCCTCAGCTAGTCATCTGCATATGAAACTGCATTTCATTTCAGCAATGTCAGGATTTCCTTAGGGGAATTTTATCAGTGCAAATAAAATAAGCTAGTGTATAAATGTGAATGCACCGTTGTAAGCATTTTTGTTTCTCTAAATACTATAGCATAGAAAAATAATAAAATATACAAAACTGATCAATTTACAAAGCTACATACATACATTCGTATATCAACATAAGTACATATTAACATCAATCATCCCTGATTGGAATTCTGTTGGGGCGATTCATATTTAAACAATATACCCTCTGGTCCAAAAAGATCTGTGCGTCGTCATGCAATGGTCATTACCTTGATAATGGAAACCATACAATTTTATACTTTCAGGGTTCGATGCCCTATATGTACCACAAATGTCTGTAAAATTTGGATATCTAGTAAAAACTAGTAACCAAAGTGACTCCACAAATTACTGTTGCGACTTTTTGAGGAAAAAGGAAAAGTTCCAAAAAGTCACAGGAATGATTTGTTGGGTCACTATGATTACTGATCTCTAATTTTTTCAACATTCCATATATTTTATCCAAATTTTACACACATATTTGGTACATATAGGGCATCAAACCCGGAAAGTATGAAATTGTATGGTTTCCATTATCAAAAGTCATGAGCATTTCATAACGATGCGCTTTTTTGGACCAGAGGGTAATTGTTTTACAGTATAATTCCCATCGTAACGCTCATATCTGCATCCAAACATTTATAAACAACACTATGTATGAATATTTAAAAATTTGATGATTATAGTATCATTTTATGTTTGGTCCGCAACAAATGGACATTTCATTTTGTTCAAATTCATCGACAATCAATTATGACATCGTACATCTTAAACATCGTACATCTAAATACTTCTTAAAATCAAGAACCATGCAATATGATGGCTGTTGGATTTTTATCATTTCATTTGCTACAATGATATTGCACTGTCAATTGTACCTGCTTTCTTTGGATCATCACCATGTGTGCTATATGTTAACAAGTTAGACGGAGGTATCTTCTTCTTTCTTTCCATTCTCCATGTTTTCTGTCAACACTAGACTTTTCCTCTCTTCCTGGTCATGAGGCACTCCATTATATTCTAATTCTTTTGGTGTTGTGTTGTAACAATTGGTATTACTGGGAGATGGAACTGCTGCTAACTCCTCTATGTTTCGACGATCATCAAACTGAAATATTTTGTATGTATAGTTAATAAATATATATAAAAAATAATGAAACTACTTTTAATGTTAGTTCGATTGTTTAAACTATTTGAATACCAATAATTAAGATCATAAAGACTTTTGTATCTTATTTATTATTTGAGCTTACCGTCTTTTTCTTTCTGTGGAATGTTCTTTCTATCATTGCACATATCATGACAAGTATCAGACCCACTCCTACAATGATCAGTGGTCCAAAAAGGTTTTTCATACTGAATGTAGGCATACCATTAGATGGCACTTTACTCGCACTTGTAAAGTCACATGGCGACTCCTCTGGAGATTTTGTCCACCATTTTGAATAAAGTTTTGGCACTATTGAGTTTCTCTCTAAATCGATAAGAGCTTTGTTAAATGATTTCCTCAAAGGAGATCCTAGCGACACGGCTAGTCCATATTTATGTTTATATAAATTAGATTTAGCTGTTGCTTTTAAAATACAATTACTTTTTAAGGATAAATACTCTGCTTTTCTTGTTTCTAAAATAAGGGCAAAATCACCCTGTTTTGTCCTTTTTACACCCTCTTCAATATTGTCAACGAGGGTGTCATGATGGAGTACACTATTCCAGATCTTTGTATGTACCTTCTCAGTTGTATATTGAAAATAGTTCGTCAGTTCACCCGACTTTATCATGCCATATGAAAATGGTGTCGTTGTTGTGAGATCTTCTATGGCATCAATGACTTTGTCACCAGGTTTAGGTGATCTGTCCTGATTATATAACACTCCATATAAACTAACCGCATAAGAGATCACTACCACAAGAACGAAATGAAACCAGAAAACAGCTAACAGTCTTCCTGCTATTGATTTTGGTGCTGCAGCATATCCTGAAAACGAATCAAACAAACAACTAATTAATTATATTGATATAATTAATAACTGAAACCAGGTTAATAAAAAACATATTTTGCAAGAAAAACAATGTTTTCAAGTTGTTTAAACTTGTGCCACCTTTAAATGATAATGGAATAAGTAATTACCATATGCATTCATTTAAAGCAAAACTATAGAAACACCCATTAGCCATTGAAGTACCGATCGTGTATTATCAAATGAAATATTTGGGATTTTGTATACTTAATTAAAATAACTAAATAAGTTACCCTGCATCATCATTGTAGACAACGTGAACCAGAAGCTGCCTCCAGCATTGAACTGACCCCTTGGGGCTTCTGTGCCATCCTTCAGTTCTTGTTTCTCCTCATATGGATCGAAATGATACACCAGTGTCATAATGAAACTGATCTGAAATCGAATTGGGATATGTGTTATATCACATGAAATGATTTTTGTTTATGTAATGTCTGCAAATGCAACATACACGTCAAATGAATAACATCAATCACTGTAAGTTAGATGATTGCTGAATATATGACGTTTAAGCAACGCAATTTTTGTGCAGATACTTTTGTTTTTTCATTAAAATAATAAGTATTTCTGGGATAGCTATTTCTAGAAAATGAAAATATAGAAATGAAAATGAAAATGATTGAGAATAGAACAAGAGTTCACTCTGATAAATGTACTCACAAAAATAAATAATCCTATAATGGCCAACCAAACTCCCAATGAAAATGGACGAAAAACGACGAAGGCACTAGCACTAAATGATTCCTCTGTTGCTGTGTGTTTGTGCAGCAGCTCTGGCTTCACAAGGAGTGACATAGAGTCATCCATGAAGGGCATCGTGAAGTCGATTACCTTCTCTCGTTCATTTGTTATCTTCAAAGGTGCAGCTGCTAAGTCAGCTTCCTGAAATTTACGTTTTAAAATATTGAAATGATTTTTCAGAGGGCATATTTTGTCCAGCGTTAAATTATTAAATGGACATTTTGTGAATTCAAATGCGTGTTCATGGAATACTTTGTCGAGAGCAGTCGATTTGTCGAAGCAACTATATTAACTTCTTATAAAATTGTGCATACGCAATCTAATAATCTTACAGCTAATGATTACAATATGGCATAACAGTGTTTTACACAGTGCTATTTCAAGGATCATTAATCTATTTCATCAATTTTAATTAATTTTTGTGGGATTGTGCATTCACCACCAAATGAATTTGCAGTAAATGGTAACAAAATATTAAATGAATACTTGGTGTATTACCCTGTTTTCACAAAGTGTAATTTCAAAGATGATTAATTTGGTGTAGCAATTATAATTTCTGGGACTTTATAAGCACATAAAGGTATTCAATCCAACAACAGAAATGATTTACAATGTATTCTTTGCCTACCCCAATGCACAATCATGTCTTCACATGGTACAGTGGATATCGACTTCTTATTCTAAGCTAAACAGATATATTGACATTGTTCTAAAATAATTAATAATCCAAGAAAAGCTTGTGAATAAAACTGTCATGACTTCCTGGTCGTAAATTGATCTTATATCTCACTTATGCTTGGAATATTCCTTCCAGACAATGCAATATTCCTTCCAGACAATACACACTTGGTATTAGATCAATATAAACATAACCATAATGGCAAGATCAGTTACTGCATTGTTATTCATTCTAACCATTTTCATTGGGTATGATATAGCCAATACCAAACACGTATTATCAGATAAATAGAGGATATCCTATGATTGTTGAGGGATACCATTTTCATCCATGGGTGAGCGCGGCGAATTAGTGGAGATCGGCGATATCCAAGAGTGAATAAAAATGATAGCCCCATGAAATCATAGGGTGTCATATTTATCCTATGGTTGCTATATTTGTACGGACTTAAAATAATTTGAAGTTCTTTTCCAAAATTATCTTGTGTCGTTTCCCCCATACATATTTAGTATCCATCGGATAAAATAATGTATATTATAGTTATATTGAAGTTATTAATGCCACTGATAAATGAGAATATATTTACATACCGGTTTAAGTAAGCAAGATGAATTAGATCACTTTTTCTATTACTGCAATCAAGAATTTAGAGAAATAAATTACTTCCAACAAAAATTGCATGTGCCAAAAACTAAAATTATCTTTTTGATCGATTGGTTTTCATAGTTCGGATAGCAACTGACGGGCTCTTAACAGATCTTATTTGCATGAAGGGACAATTTGCATCAAAGTGTTAGTCATTGGAATTGATTGTAAATTGGTAGATAACAATCTTATGGAATGTTGTAAGTTATTTAACTTGCTATTCGAAACAAGTATCAAGGGTAATGCACAGAAACGATATGTATCAAAATGCATTTTCCTATTAATGTAGCACAATTCCTTTCATATCTTTGATATAATCATTGCAAAAGCATAAATCAGGAGAGATTACGTAGCTTATTGGTTATGTTCATAGATTTCTCAGGCACAGTTGTATCTGCTCTGTATTTGTAAGAATACTATACTACTAAAACTAGTATCTTGTATCATATCAGATCCTGTTTTGCACCTGTGTCTTGTAATGCTTTTGGTCTTTCCCTGGCCCTTTTATCACTTGTGTTGACATATTTCCACTTACTAAACATGGTTATACCAGCACTGAGAAATGTTAATGTTTTACCTTGATATATTAACCATAGGTATCCTGATGATAAGCAAATGAATAATTATGCAACTCATTGGATCGATAAATGTCTCTACTTTATAATAGACATTCGTTATTTAGGGAAACATTGATTGGCCTGGTAGAGAATATATAATACAGAAACATGGATATAGACTTAATGAGACAGGTAACAGGTAACATGGTTAATGCATTAATTATTTATCTTTATGATTGTCATATCCCGAGAAAGGTGAAATTATGATACCAACATTCAACAATCTTTGCAAGCTCTATGCAATATGCTTTACGCTTTATATCATAGTGAATGTATTATAATGTTTTCATATTTTGCAAAACTTCATTGCAAGGGTAGATAAAGAGGTATTATCGTGAATATACACGTATGGGTCTTACAAGGCAAGAATAAAAATACAATAAACAATGATTGATACCAAAATCATATATAAAATTCTATGAGACAAACAAAGTGCTTCTGATTATACACATAGCATTGTCTGGATTTATAAAATAATAAATAATAATAAATACTTACATCTCTGACGAGTTCACCGACTAATCCATTCCAATCTCCACGTTCGGTCTTCTCTCCCCAATCTCCATTTGAAACCTGACTGATCTGGTAATCAAAACCTAAGATGAACCTCAATTCCTTTAGCAGGTCTGGTATATAACCCTCGTATCTATCGTTACCCACTCTGGGTACACCATCCTGTTTTAGCATCATCCATGGTTCCATCTGAAACAAAAATTGCATATCATTATTCATCATTGTGGATAAAAAATAAAGGCCCATAGATCCATGGCATGTGATTGTTGGAACTACTTCGTTATAATTATTGTTGCGATGGATCGTTGGACATTTTTATTCGTACATTAGATCATAGGTTGAGCTATTGGGGTTTCTTTTCTTATGACTTCTTGCTCTCTTTATGTTTCTTTTTCTCATCTTTTGGCCATTTGGTCTTTCTCCTATTGTATATCTATATATTATCCTATATTTATTTATTTAAATGCTTACTAAAACTGTTGAGATTCTCAAGTTTCTTCCGTGTAGCTCCTTTTCGTTCCCCACTACCTCCCCAGCATTTGGTCCTTTTGGAGTAGTCTTCTCACCAATCTTCTCGGTGGTATTATGGTTTGGATCAATAGTTACATAGTCTGGGGTAGTTGTTTCAGGTTTTGGATCAGTAATGATTGTGCTTACAACTGGGATCTCTGGTTTGGGAGTCATTGTTGTTGTTGCTAAAGTAGTTGAGGTTACTTCCTCTATTGCTTCCTCAGTTGTTGTTAGTATTGGAGTAGTAGTTACTATTGGGAGTATCGGAGTAATAAGGTCATCTCCAGGTTCAAGGCCATCTGCTGGTGACCACGAACCAACATGCTTTAAGCCATCAGGGCGAAGTTGTAAAACATCCAAGTCAAAAAATGTTCTCCTTCCATTTCGGAATGTCACCTGACCAGAGAGACCATTGAAGAATATCTGGAAAGATGTAACATGTAATTATATAAAAGCAACGTGCGGTTCAACAATTGGTTTAATACAACTGTTTACAAGAGACGTTACATACCAAAAAGGTGAACTTTGGAAGATCGACCAAAGGTTATTTGTTTTCCAACAAATGTAATTGTACATTGATTTATACAATTGTGCATAAATATGACAAGTTTAGTAATTAGTACTATCAGATCCGAATGTTTGGTTGACATAGAGCATGTTAACAAGTGTGACACAAATAATTTGTTATATCTGCAATATGAAGATCATGTATACATTATAATCATACAACATATGTAATAAGTACCTGATTCAGATAACTCGCCAATGATTTGCCATCTGGCCAAACTCTTCCGCCCTGACAGGTAATATCTGGATTCGTTATGGTTCGTGCCCTGCCTGCTTCAGACAAAGCTTGCACAAACGCTACTATGGCGTCATACATCAACGCTGTTTCTGTCTAAAATACAAATGAATATTGATAAAAAAAAAACGAAAATGAAACTGAAATACACGAGTACAGTGCAATTATTTAGGTAAATGAAATTCAGAAATTTGAAACATTGTCTAAGCAGCATTAGATTGTACCACATCAATATTGCAACATTATCAATATTTAATACTCAATGATCAGGTATATTGTATAACTATGAACGTATTCTATATTCCTATCTATCGAGATCTTTTTAGTTGTTGGACGCTCAACATGAGCCTGTATACAAAATGTTGTATCACCAAAAATCTTCATTTTAAATTAAGTGCAATCGAAAATAAGATCCAAGGTTTAATTCAAAAGTCACACACTACTGTAATATTTTAGCAAGACTGATGGAAAATCAAAATCTCAATCTCATATTTTTCCTGTTATAATATACAAATATATAAATAATTGTAGCTAATCCACTATCTTTTCAATATGTTATTTAGTTGAATATACCTTAAGTAAACCATTTGGTTCTAAAATAGTTGAACCGGTCCTCTCCTCGTAGGATTTAATGTCAGCCAGAAGATCGTTACTGGGTATGGTATCCCTGTTTACTAGTCGGAACGACGTCATCCCTATGCCTGCAGCTTGTGCGTCTGCTAGGTCGACTAGTTGGAGGTCCTGGTGTAAAACAAAATTGCTATCTTTTTGTTGTGCCGTTCTACTGTTACTTATTTTTTAAAGCATATTTAGTTACCAAAAAACACTTTTGTTAATGGGATAATGTCACTATAATTTAGTTGACAACTGATTAATCTGTTAATAATTTAACATACCATGTTAACCACTATATAGTGATATTCTGGGGTAGCCATTCCAAGAGAAACTGCCTGCAAAGTATTGAAAATATCTCATAACATTGTTTTAATTACAAAACAAATACGAAATATACAAAGGGGGTTCCAAAAAGAAGCTCTTTATAATTACAATGTTTGCATAAGGGTATTAGGGGTACTGTAAAACTGCATACGCCATAACTTTACTACATCATCATTTTGAACGTGATTAAGTCCCATTAATTTAAGTGGAAAAAGTTATTTAGGAACTACTTTAAAAACAAGGAGTCATTCCTGAAAAATATACCGAGCTACAAACAATATCAAAAGAGTATTTTATGAACACTGCTTGCGCATGAAACCTACCAATTTAAACAGTTCTTTGATGTCCCCTTCTGGTAATTCAACCATGAAGTGTTTATAGCCCAGATCTCTGGCCTGCATTAGAATTGTCCTCAACTCATTCGAAGGACTGTGTCTGAATTTCAGTTCAACTATACCACTATTCAGGAGGTCTTCTGATACGTCTTGAAGAAAATCTGAAAATCAATCCATTGAATGTATTGTGGTGATATTATGAATTACTATTGCTTTATTTTAAGTTCACTTGTATAAGTTTATAATTATTAGCTATTGAACAAAATAGCTTGGGCCTACCATCTTCATTTGAATACATCATGTAGACCTTCTTCAGTTGAAAATGTTGAGTAAGGTGGAAATAAGCACGGGCCAGTAGTGATGCTTTAGGGTAGACGTTGAAAGCCCATTCGTGAGTGGTGCCTGATAAATCGAACCTCGTTTCCATATGAGGGATTTGCAGACGACCCGCTAAAGACGTCACGTAAATTGAAGGATCGTTACTCCGTGGTCCAAAAATTGCCATAACGTCGCTGCGAACTAAACGACAAGCTGAAATTAGAAGAATAAAAAATGATGTTGTTGTGTAAACAATGAACGAATCATTCAGAAATGATTTCTCACTTTGAATACGAAACTGTAATTATTGGATTCGGAGATCAGAGGGACATGAAATGAAATTGTGATTGCTGAATCGAACACTCTGTTGCAACAATAAATAGCTAGATTTTCTTTGATAAACGAGCAATAATTTCCCTAATGAAATGCAAAAGTAGTCGCGGATTAATCTCAGAACTTCTAGATATATCAAAGTATGGGTGATTATTGTGAACGTGTTCTGGCGTTCTCAATTAACCATATTTTTGCTCTCTAACTTTAATCCAAATATAATATGCAACCTGACTTGTAAGCAGGCTTATATCGAGAAAAAAATCTTACAGAACTCGAACTTAGACTGTTCCTCCTTCTTGTTGCTTTGACGTTACGTCATAGAAGTGGAGAAACCCCAAATATTTATCAACCCATTTGGTAATAGAAAACTTTATATGATATATCCAAGATGTATTCGTAAGATCACAAATTATATAAGGGAGATAAAGACGGATATAAAACTATTATGTTAAGACGAGGAATGTTAAAATTACCAATGTTTTCAATAATTTCAGAGTTGGTCGTTGTCAAATTACAATAATTAATTGTCTTAGCTTATCAAGAACAAACACACTGTCATCTTGAAGTACCTTATCTACTTCAACAAAGCAAAGAAGTCGATACTCAACTTGGGTAAAGCAGAAAAGTTTTTCCAGGTCTCGTTTGTCCCATGTTCACGCACATTGTCATAGGTGATTCTCATCCGTCTATATGAGTGTATAGCATGGGCATGTTATTGTACGTAACGTATTGCACCAAACGTGCCAAAATTAATTAAGAAAACAGCCAGCAAATTTCAAACCAGCAGGGTTCGACCTGCGAGGGGAGGCCCAATTGGATTGTAAATCCAAGGCCTTAACCACTCGGTCATCACAGGTGCTATTCTCTGGTGACCAGGCCTCATTTCAAAATTCCAGCTTGGTGAGTCTTATTCCAAAACTAAGACATGGTGCAAAAGGTACGCTGCGAGCAGGGTTCGAACCTGCGCGGGGAGACCCCATTGGATTTCAAGTCCAACGCCTTAACCACTCGGCCATCACAGCTGCTTCTTTCAAGGGTCCAGGCCCAATTTTGAAATTCCAGCTTGTTGAGACTTATTCCAAAACTAAGACATGGTGCAAAAGGTACGCTGCGAGCAGGGTTCGAACCTGCGCGGGGAGACCCCATTGGATTTCAAGTCCAACGCCTTAACCGCTCGGCCATCACAGCTGCTTCTTGCAATGGTCCAGGCCCCATTTCGAAATTCCAGCTTGTTGAGACTTATTCCAAAACTAAGACATGGTGCAAAAGGGACGCTGCGAGCAGGGTTCGAACCATCGCGAGGCCCCATTGGATTTCAAGTCCAACGACTTAACCACTCGGCCATCACAGCTTCTTAACCAAGATGTCAGGCCTCATTTAAAAATTATAGCTTGTTGAGATCAGTTCCAAAACCAAGACATGCTGTAAAAGATACGCTGCGAGCAGGGTTCGAACCTGCGCGGGGAGACCCCATTAGATTTCGAGTCTAACGCCTTAACCTCTCGGCCATCACAGCAGCTGTTAATTGGTATTAGGCCTCATTTGAAAAAATTCAGCTTGTTGAGATTAATTTCAAAATTAAGGCATGCTGCAACAGATGCGCTGCGAGTAGGGTTCGAACCTGCACATTGTACTTCACACAAAATACCTCGACTATTCGGCAATCATCACATTCTATTCCAGTCATTTTTGATAATTCGCAACGCATCTGTATTCTATATTTTCTTATTTTTGTTATTGGATCAAAAATCATTGAAAAGAGAGGCTGACTTATGATAACGTGATTTGATGTTTAGGTGGCAATTCCACTTTTCTGATCTATCAAGCAACGTTTGGCTTAACATCTTCTCTGTCTGACCTATTTTCTTAAAATGTATCGACATAACTTTCTATTTCAGCATTTAGAAATAAGTGCAAATAAGTTTAAAGTTTCCATAAGAGGAGTCCCAGATTTTTAAGATACAGGTATACTACATTTCAAGATTTTAACTGCGGGAATTTTAGTTGGAATAACGCTCATTCAGGGGGTTTGTTTATAGATATTGAAAATATATGTTAACTTTGATGAAATATCCAAACTTGGTTACATTTTGACACTATCTGTGGGTCCATGATCTCTGGCAACGTCTCCGCATTAATTGTTCAATTTTTGACCTTTAAATTACTCTCGATTCTTGTAAAATATTACTTACCCATTCCTCCTGCTGCCACAGAATCGTCGGAGCTGAGATATCTAATGGCAAACCGTAGCGTCGAGTCACCTAGGTATTTCTCCGTACCATGAGTAACCCTGTGGACCGTGTACTTCATCATATTCTCCACATTACGGGGATCCCTCAATCCAAATAAACCACCTGAAAAGATTTTGTAACAACATATGTATATATAATCTGTCTATTATCAATGTGTTAAACAGAATTCAACAACAAACCCATACTGAGGATAGAATATACGACCCCTGCTCTATGTAAAAGCAATAAAGATACACTTTTAACCGTATACAAGGTGCAACCTGTTATCGTTACCATTAATTTTTTTTTAAAGAGACTTATTAATGATTACTGAATACTTAAATTGAGCCAACTGTTCAATTTAGATTAAAATATATATATATATAAGTTTCCAGTCAGGACCCCTGTTTTACAAGAGCATTGGTCCACCATGTATAGAGGCATTTTGATTGTGCGATTTTTACAATTTACCAAGATGCACCTCTCCTCCAAAAAGGAATGAGGTGCAAAACAAGTACGGTCATAACCTGCCTTATGCCTCTGTCACATTTGCTCCGATTCATCGGCCGGCCCCCAGCCGATTGCAGAATTTTGTGTTCAAAACTATGTACAATTTCTCAGGAGTTTACATCTGACCACGAGATTTGAACTTCAATTTTGAACAAAATACTCAATCGGCCGGTCGATGAATCGAACAAATGTGACCAAGGCATTATCTAAGCATGTGCGCAGGGGAGATGGAAAAAGGGAGGGGGATAAGGTTTACCTCTTGGCAAAGTAAAGAGGGGATATGTTATGAAAAAACAGCCTCCAGTGGGGATTGAACTCACGACCCCTGATTTACGAGAGCAGTGCTCTGTCACTGAGCTATAAAGGCATTTTGATTGTGCAAAGATTTACATAAAATATTGAAATACCACAACCAAATTAGTTTGGGTTATATAAAAACAGCCTCCAGTGACAGGCCTCCTAGACTTCCAACAACGCGAACATCAGTTCTGATACCGCGAACTACGTTCCTTGCACTCGAACCACGAATCTCATATCGCGAATGTGAAATCTTATGTCGCGCACCACCATTTCCTTGTTTCCGAACATATTTCTTGTACCGCGCACAAAGATCCGTTACCGCGAACCACGCATCTGATCGAAAAAAGTCCGTAATTTTGTTCGTATTATTACGCATAAGTTTAATTCCAAAGAGGTGTTTTCATGTGGAATGCGGAAGAAATATTTTCCCAGTTTTTCATGCATGTGAATGAATATCCAATCATTGACGATAACAGTATTTTCAAGCTCTAGGGAACACAAAATATTGGGACTACCTTGCAATCACGCGCATTGACATTTTCAGTGAAAGGGCTGGGTAATAACAACAAAAACCTGACTTATGAGTAACAACACGTATGGCCAAATTAGTGACATCTTCCGATCACAGGGCTTCAAAATCCAGAATATCTTCTTTCTCTTTACCAGCTTTTTCCAAATTTTGTCCATTTGAGCCGATGATTGCATCATAATAAAGAAATGAGTTACCCTATGTACAATATTCCTGATTTTATAGAATACTTGATGTGCTATATTTGTCGCTCCAGCTACTGATAATTTGAAGATGCTACCCTTTGCCTGTCAACGTTTTAGATGAAAACTTAACTTAAATGTTGCCCCCTCCCCCATTACGGCTTGTGGGATTAACTGTTTACATACAGTAAATATCATCCTGATAAAGATTTTAACACTTGGTTTTTGTTTCAAAACATATCAAATGACTACTAAATCGCAATTTTAGGGTAAGGGCTAAGAATACTTTATCTGTCTAATCTTTGACCGTCTGAAATAAATGTGTGTTGACGAGTCCTGTAGTTAATTAATCTTGGTTTTAAAACCGAAGCTTTCATTGTGGGCTGTTCTGCCCCACGCATGGGCCATTTTGCCCTACTCTCAACATTATTTTTCGAACACTCTGAAAAATCACAGAAAATGTGAAATATAATCCCTTCATAAGATGGAACATGAGATTAGAAAAACCTCTGCACGGATCAAACTATTATGAGGGCCGTTTTGCCCCATGTTCCCAAAAAATTCCTGACTTCAGCAACCAGGACGATATCTGACCCAAGACATATGGAGCGCTAAAATGTCGGACCCTTTTTTTCTGGGCCCATCTCAGAGGGTGGGGCGGGCCAGTGCATCTTCACAGAACACAGCCATAACTGATTACTACAATGTAGGTGTACTGTATAAAAGTAAACCTTGTAGTTAAAGGTCGCATGATGCAGTGTGACCAGGATCACACTGACCATGGTCAGAATGGCCTTAGACATGATGAAATAACTTTTTCAGTCCTCTGAAAATGTCACTTTAAGTAGGAGCATAGGAAAGGTCAATGAACAGAGTCTTTAGAATTTTTCAGAAAATGTGCCCAATATATTGCTCTAAATGATAAAATCTTTAAAATTTTAGAAACTTGTCTGAAAAAATGGCGGTCATAAAAAGGAAAAAAATATCGCTTTTACAAATGACATCTCCCATTACACCACACCGTGCGCAGATACTCTCTGATCCCAAAAATGAATGACTGTGGGACGCAGTGCTTTCCTTTGACACATCATTTAAAGCCCTGCCAACTCGGGGCGTGGATGTTAATCTTAAGATTACGTTTCAAAATACAGTGACGAATGGGTTATCTAACATGCAAGTGCATGCTTTTCATAGGAACGAAAGTACGGCGAAAGCGGAGGAGAAACTGAATTTCGTTTCCTTGTTTCACTCCGTTGCATGGTATATACATGTAACTCGGAATCCCAAACACCCGGATGTATTATGTACAAATTGTTCGCGGTAACGGATCTCTGTGCGAGATACAAGAAATATGTTCGGAAACAAGGAAATGGTGGTGCGCGACATAAGATTTCACGTTCGCGATATAAGATTCGTGGTTCGAGTGCAAGGAACGTAGTTCGCGGTATCAGAACTGATGTTCGCGTTGTTGGAAGTCTAGGAGGCCTGAGTGAGGTATGAACTCACGACCCCTGCTTTACGAGAGCAGTGCTCTGCCACTGAACTATAGAGGCATTTTGATTGTGCAAAGATTTACATAAAATATTGAAATACCATAACCAAATTAGTTTGGGTTATATAAAAACAGCCTCCAGTGAGGTTTGAACTCACGACCCCTGCTTTACGAGAGCAGTGCTCTGCCACTGAGCTATAGAGGCATATTACTTATGCATAAAACCTACACAGAATAGTGAAATACCACAACCAAATTGGCTTTTGTTATATAAAAAAACAGCCTCCAGTGAGGATTGAACTCACGACCCCTGCTTTACAAGAGCAGTGCTCTGCCACTGAGCTATAGAGGCATATTGTATGTGCATAAAAACTACACAAAATAGTGAAATACCACAACCAAATCAGTTTGTGTTATATAAAAACAGCCTCCAGTGAGGATTGAACTCACGACCGCTGCTTTACAAGAGCAGTGCTCTGCCACTGAGCTATAGAGGCATTTTGTATGTGCATAAACTTTACACAAAATAGTGAAATACCACTACCAAATCAGTTTGTGTTATATAAAAACAGCCTCCAGTGAGGATTGAACTCACGACCCCTGCTTTACAAGTGCAGTGCTCTGCCACTGAGCTATAGAGGCATATTCCTTGTGCCTAAAACCTACACAAAATAGTAAAATACCATTGCCAAATTAGTTTGTGTTATATAAAAACAGCCTCCAGTGAGGATTGAACTGACGACCCCTGCTTACAAGAGCAGTGCTCTGCCACTGACCTATAGAGGCATATCACTTGTGCATAAAACCTACACAAAATAGTGAAATACCACAACCAAATTAGTTTGTGTTATATAAAAACAGCCTCCAGTGAGGTTTGAACTCACGACCCCTGCTTTACGAGAGCAGTGCTCTGCCACTGAGCTATAGAGTCATATTACTTTTGCATTAAACCTACACAAAATAGTGAAATACCACAACCAAATTGGCTTTTTTTATATAAAAACAGCCTCCAGTGAGGATTGAACTCACGACCCCTGCTTTACAAGAGCAGTGCTCTGCCACTGAGCTATAGAGGCATTTTGTATGTGCATAAAACCTACACAAAATAGTGAAATACCACTACCAAATCAGTTTGTGTTCTATAAAAACAGCCTCCAGTGAGGATTGAACTCACGACCCCTGCTTTACAATAGCTACTGAGCTATAGAGGCATATTCCTTGTGCTTAAAACCTATACAAAATAGTAAAATACCATTGCCAAACTAGTTTGTGTTATATAAAAACAGCCTCCAGTGAGGATTGAACTCACGACCCCTGCTTTACAAGAGCAGTGCTCTGCCACTGAGCTATAGAGGCATATTACTTATGCATAAAACCTACACAAAATAGTAAAATACCATTACCAAATTAGTTTGTGTTATATAAAAACAGCCTCCAGTGAGGATTGAACTCACGACCCCTGCTTTACGAGAGCAGTGCTCTGCCACTGAGCTATAGAGGCATTTTATTTGCTCGTAAATCTCCACAAAATAGTGAAATACCATTACCAAATTGGTTGATAATATATAAAACCTCCAATGAGGATTGAAATCACGACCCCTGCTTTACAATAGCAGTGCTCTGTCACTGAGCTATTAAGAGGCATTTTGTTTGTGGTTAAACTCACAAAAATAGTGAAAAACTATTACCAAATTGGCCGGTTTGATGAAAAATTATAATATATAAACTAACATGAATACATAAAATACAAACACATAAATCTTACCTATTTTGATCTCATTTGGAAGAGTCCTAATGTCTGACACCAGATAGAACAACAGAATGACGATTACATTCTTCATTGTTCTTCCCTTTATTATTCTCTAAACGTGTGTGAAATTCTTCATTTATTTTGTGGTTTCTGAAATTAAAATTAAATACGCTTTGTAATAGCTTGAACTCTTGGTTTTACTCTGTTCACAATGTAGTGATCGCATTTGAAAGCTCATATCAAACCAGACAATCCACCATAAGTGCGAACATAAAATAAACCATCTTTTTGGACTCAAATAAAATCAGACTACGGAAAATGTCGAGTGTCTTAATGCATAGGGATGGGGATTGAGCCGTATTGAAATATGAAGTCATAAAATATAGACGTGTCGCAAAAAGGTGGTGCATTTGTTTTTTAAGGGTATCGCGTGAATGTAACTTTGATTCCCCGGATTATAAGATAATATTCTAATTAAAGTTATATATCATTTTAAAGCTGTTTCGATGAAGATTTTAGATCAACTACACTCCGTTCACATTTTTTGCGCGTTCGTTTTCAAAAAATAGTTTTTTACCAAAACATCTGGCAAATATCCCATGTTGACACGTTACATTTTGAATTATTTTTCGTCTTTAAACGCTCATAACTCAAACAATATATGAGTATTATACTTATTTTTCGTCTTGATAAGGGTAGATGGAAGTTTTATTTCAAAGGATGAATTTTAGTAAGCGTCCCATATTGTGACGTCATAGAGTCTGAAAAATAGAATCTGTTGACAGCGACCTTTTTTGCTCATTTTTTGGTACCTTCAACTTTTCAGGTGTACATTAAACAAAAAATACGAGATCAATTTTTAATAAATCATACATGATTATTTTGCTCCTAAACTCTAGTTTATAAATAAATAGTTGATTTTGTTCACAAAAGTATGTGTTTTCTGTTGTATGTGGAAAAGTGGAGGACGAAAGGTTTTCAAAATTCATTAAAATAGGGCTAATTTACGCCATTCGCCTATTTTCAAGCACAGTAACACGTATATTTATTTCACCTAAAATATCAATTGATTCGTGTTTTATGATGCTCCTAGCCCATTAACAATATATATATGATATCTGAGTTATTCGTCTAAAATGTTTTGAGATATAGAGGTAAATGTGGAGGACGAAAGGATTTTCATGTGTGTACATTTTTCTCAAAAACGTCACATTCTATCATGTTAAAAGCGAGGATCCTCTGGATTACTCCACAAATTGTGTAACAATGCGTGCGCGAGCTTTTTGCGACACGTCATAGCAATGATGTATACATCTTTTAATAAATCAGTATTCATTTTCGACATTTCAATGGCATATGAGAGGAGTATGACAGATCTAATATCGCACACCAAATAAAAATGGGAGTCAAATTTAAAATGAGAAAAGCATTGCTCCACCTATATTTGAGCTGAGAGTTGAGTGCATACTCGGAGGTTGACTACTTCGTCTTTGAAAAAACAATTTATCAGGGTATCAGGCATTTTGCTTAAATATAATGAAAATCACCTTTTCAATCCTCAATATGAAGGTCGTTTCTGATAACTATATGCAGCTCAGCTCAGGTAACCCCACAATACTAATTAATATAATCCATAGATTTATCTATTATAAGACAATGATCTGTTGATTGTTGATTGTTATCCCCGGTGTTAGCCGTATTAGCTCCAGTTAATTAATTGTTCTAAATCCGTTCCTTTTAACTTGAGCATGATCAATACAACACCAAAGTATTATATCAATACCAGTGGTCAATAATCAATATTTACAATCGGCATTCTTACACCTGTTATGTAAACTGAAGATGTGGTTACAAAGTGATAATTCTATAAATAAACAGACAAACATGAGAAAGTGTTGTGATCAAATACTGTCCATACGGGAAGCAATATGTATCCATGGCAATGGATTGTTTTGTATCACACCCTATATCCTGTCCATCTTCCCCCTTAGCCATCCGATGAAAAATAATATAGTATAGGGTCCAAACGGGAAAAGGATCAGAGTCAGACCAATACTAAAAGAATTGTTCATATCGTTCATATCTAACGCAGCAAACTAACATGAAATCGTTACGACGGTGAATGCTTAGAAATCAGTGATCAAAGATGAATACAGTACTAGCCAATCAAAATGCTTAGAAACTCCTAACCATGTGATAAAACAATATACCAGGAATGCCTCTTCCAGTTGCATCACCAGCGATGCTCATGTTTGGTTTTGATTTAAATTACAATCAAATGTTGCATGAGCGATATCTCAAGTAAGTAAATTTATAACCGGGTAGATATAACTATAACTGAAAACTAGATGTCTGGCAAAGCTAAACCCAGAAAAAATGCTCAGCCTTTCCGAAACGATCGTCCCATAGGCCTTTATCTAAGTCCTACATATAAGTCACTTTCAAATTATTGACTTTAGTCAATCAATGTCAAAGATAAGTAAAACCTCTCTAGATAAGGGCAACGTAATTGTACTATTATGTCACAGCGTCTCTTGGGGTTTCCTCAAAGATTAATCCACTTATAAGAAATGACTCATCATTCAGTTATATCATTTTGGTGTGATGCTATTCCATTTTATCTGACTAGGCCCACCCATCGTGTTCAAAAAGTTCCCACCAATTTCCACTTGGATTATCTTTTAACGATTATTCATAGAAATTATGGCACGTATTCGTGAGATGACGAAAAGAATCTTGTACAACAAAATGATAACTTGACTTTTCGATCCTGGGGTAAAAACGCCAAAGGAGAACATACAATCGGTTTACCGGTCATATTGCAAAATCAATCTTACGTCTCTGGCGTATTCCAACTATCATACAATTATAAAATAATAAAATAATAATGTCCTGTGGGTGCAATACATCGTCCGTTAAATAACTATAAAGCAAATCAAAACAGTCTGACTTTTTTCCCATCCATCATTAGCTTGCTTCACAGAGATAGTAATTCGATGTTCATTTATATGCAAGTCTTGTCCACTCACGGACATTAATGTTAACATTTCTATATGTTGGCACAACAAGTTTACTCCATTAGGGCGCAAAAATCAATTTTTGCTTTGACCACTGCAACTTGTGGCATGAAGAAAGTGTATTCTATCAGATTCAATGCTTCAATATAGACTAATATAGGAATAGTTATCAAACAAAAGGGTAGATCTGCATAGAACGTATCCATATTAAGCCTGGTGATGCAATGGTTAAACATGAAAATATGTATTGTGGTGCATCATGGAAGTACTAAAATAGTAATAACTGATTCGTTTCCCTCTATTTATATTCTAGTGAATAGTGAATTCATTTTTTATGAATAAACCTGTTATCCGAATACAATAGTGGCGCATTTGGAAATTCTCTCTTTGTGGAAGGTCACGAGTATCCATACTGACAGAGCCCTTATAGTATTCCAGGTGTCAAAGGCTTTTAAGAAAAAATGCTTAGAAAAGTCAAGATGTCTTGTATGACCTGTTTTAATCAATGTAGCCATGGAGATGTACAAATGTAATTGAAAAATTACTTACAAAAAAGTATAATTTCACATACAGAATAACGAATTCCTAAACTGTTTTATACTCGAGAGGCATTTGTATTTTCAATAGTATAGTTTCCATATAGCTTTTGAAATCTCGCTAAATCTCGTTTTTCGTGAGATTTTGAGAGACTTGCATATTAGACCTCTAATGACTTACATTACCTTCTTTTAAATGGCATATTTGAATTCAGTGAAATGTTTTCTCCTTTAATAGTTTTGATTTACACAGTTATGTAATTTGAATAATTTTCTATAACAATTTAAAAAAACTTGGGCCAAATGTCCATAGATGCAATGCTAAAATTCTTTAAATCCGTGGATTATTTGTATGTCAATCAACATTTGCATGTTAAATCACATCATGTACATAAACAGGGTCATCATGTGGTATATCATTCAAGTTTTATACAGATTCAACAAACACACTTTGATAAATCATGAAATGAATGAATGGAGCTCTAGCCCAAGTTAAAAGCTGAATAAAAGATGGCAGCACAAGATTTCATTGATTTTTCTGCTATTTAGAAACTATCCTATTGCATTGGTAGTTATCATCGCATCACTTGTAATCGTGTATTCTCACTTGGCCTGGTGTTCGGAACGTTTAAAGAATTTTTTCATCCCCAAGTGAGGTGTCGGCTGTTCATTTGCAAACACAATTATTGAGATTAGAATGTCATAATTAACTGGTTCATAGAACAATGTGTATCCCTTGCCACATAACTAAAGCTGGTTTTCGGGTCCTGAAGCACTAAATATAGAATGTGATTATTTTGATATTCATCGTGGCTGCTTGTAACGGACATTGAAATTTTCACCAGTATCGGTCATTATTTCAGTTAGTATAAGAATTTTATTAGTGTCCGGTGAAGAGAAATCCACACCTAATGAAGATGATTGCACGTTTTACAATCGAATTTTACAAATGATGAGGGATCGAAGACAACATAACAGGGTAAGGCACAGGTACCGGGGTTTGTGGAAAAATAAATTGCTGAATAGGGAAATATTTCCTTTAAAATGGAAATAAAGACATACAGTAAATAGCTCTCTTAGATCTTATGGTACGCCCCGAAATTGCATCCCTTTGGGATAAGTGACAATAGAAAGTGCATCTTTGATTTAGAGCAAACGTTAACGACGAGCTGAATGGACAATTAGTGCGTTAATTAATGCCATATGGGAATGGTCAGTAGTCCATGGGGAAATCTTTCTCCGATTCCTGATCGATGAGTTCATTATTTGAATTCAGTATGATTCAAGATTCGAACATAGGTCATCCTTGAAGATCGAGTTTCGCTGGGAAGAAGCATTCTGATACTCATAGTATCTTTCTCTTTCACTCGGGGCTTAGAAGAAATGAGATGTCATGGTTTATCATGATGGGGGGGGGGAGAAGTGAAAGTTATGTACTTTGGCAGGGATGACTTGGGCGTTTGTAACAGAATATTCTTAGATCGCATCCCAATAGGCTAGCAAGTTAGCAACACAACAGTCGCCTCTGAAAGCCTCTGAATATTTTAGAGTTTTAGTCCTGATAAGGTTTCAGTGATCTTGAACATATCCTTGGTCAGTTTTGAAGCATTTTACGTTGTCTTCGGTGATTGGAATGTATTTGGATGTTAGCTCTGAGAAATTAAGAATTATCTGTAATATAAAGAGCGCATGTGATGTTGAATTCCAGTGAACAGTAGTAAAATAACAGGACGTCGTTGTAAAGGAATCTGACAACTTAATTGAAATTGATAGTCCCAAAGCAAGAAGGCTAGTAATTGAAAATGTGAAACCAAACTTTTGTTGAGTCATCAATGCCTATTACCCTCATTAACTGACGTATTTATTTGAAAATTCATTATTTTATATCTCATATTTGAACAGACTGTTTTAGTATTCATATCTCAATTTACTTCACAGATTTGATCATTGATTTGTGTTTCTTAGGAAATTGAAAAATGTGAACAAGATAAGAATCTACTTAAAATGAAAAATCAATCTAGAGTATAGCAACAAAGAACAAAGATGCCAATTCCAGCGTGTTTTGTTAGACTAATGTCAATACTCTTGCAAAACATAAAGCTGATAAATGTCAACAAAACCCCGTGAAAAATTGATCTATGATCGATTAGTTTTTTGAGCTGGTTGTGGATGTACATCGTATGGGATATGGAGAAATCTGATCGCTTATATCACCATGTTAAACATTTGTTTCGCATTATCCGTGAAAACTAAAGGGTTTGCTATATACACATGAATCGAATGATTAGAATCACGATGGTAAAACAAATGCAAGTAATACTGTTATCAAAGAGAATCCTTTTATCATTGACAATTGCTATGTAATGAATAACTTAACCAAAGAGTAATATTTTTTATCTGTTCAAGAATTTAATTAGGTAGAAGCGGTACTCCATGAATTGTTTTAAGCATATTATTTTCAATTGTATAAATGTCTAAATACAGGTAGTCTTGATTGAAAACTAACCCTTTTGCAAAACAAAGAACAATTATCATCTTGGTTTGTTCAACATTATTTGGTGACATTTATACATGTAAGAGAGATTGTGATATTTCACCAGCATAGATATGTGTTTTAACATTTGTAGAGCATTAACTTTTCCGAGACCCCTTATCCTAGATTGCACTGCAAAATCAACTGTCTGTTCTCTACTATACCATGTACTGTATAGTTATTGGTACTACGAATGCAATAAAGATGAGATATAAGGCTTCAACTAACATGTTTTTTCATTTACAAGCGTTTCACAACCTTTGTTCTTTTGTATGGTACTCGTTCCCCTCATAACCACAGACGCTTCGTAGAGAAACGTTTCATTTAACTCTTTGAACAAGGAGCCGTTTGTTTTTCTATAGCCTTGCGTCCGAATCCGGACTAAAGATTCTTTCATCTTCAATTTAACTTTATATGAATTTCAGATGTATAATCAAGATAATCATAAGAAATCGAGAGCACCTATTCTGTTCCTGGTATAGCAAGCTTTGGGTTGTGTGTTTTGAAAATGGATCGAAATAAACTCACGCATAGATAAAAAGCAGCGTCACTATTTTAGTTCTATTCCATGATTCCAAACATGAATTGATTTGTCAGATAAATAATGCCATATATATTAGTTCAATTTATAACAATTGAGGGTCTTTGTTTTTCATTGTGTTAGGAATCTAGGATGAAGAAAGTAGGAATGCAGTAAGAATATGACCCGACGTGACCTGCTATGTTTTTACGGTGTACATAAATATCAAATAACTCACAACAGATATGTTAGATGCTGTGGCATTTCTAAATCACTTGTAGTCTGAGAATCAATAAAGTCTGTATAATAGTGTGTATATGATATTCTACAGTACGTATATAATGCGTTTTGTGTGACCTCCATAGAAGTTTGTCGGGTATTAGCTTCGGTTGTATAGTTTTTGGCGTTTTTCACGTGCTTGAAGGGTCTGGTACTTCTGGTTGGATTTGCAAGGACTTGGCAAACAAATTATGGAAATACATGCATTAGTGAGCTCTTAGATCCATGGATGGTTTATTTGACATGATGCACTTACCTTGCCATTATATTTACCGATTTATACCATCATTTACATATAAAGAAAATTTATAGGAAACCTTCACTATGATAACGTGGATACCATCCAATACAAATTTCAATATTTTGGAAAGATGTCAAAAATTTTGAAATAAATTAAAACATGATTCGTCATAATTAATTGTAAAAAAGCGGAAATAAGATATGTCCTATCTATCCTTATCGTCTAAATTTTCGTATCACCACTCAATAGTTTACTTCATTTTTAATATAAGTTTATCTTAACCTGTGTTGTGGTCATGAAATACACTTTTTATCGATAAGTCCACATTTCATGAACTTGAAGGAATTCGAAAGTTAACGTTCAAACCATGGGCTTTCAATTAGAGTTGAAAACCCATGTTCAAACTAAGTCACTCTTTGTCAGTACACACCTCTCAAAAGGTTTGTTAACCATCACTTTGGACAACATGTTGAAGGGATGTTTATGTTTGGTGATTTGAAAAAATGTCAAGTCATAAACCAAACCAAATCAAAGAAATGTAATTATGGAAAATGCCAAGCATAAGCAGGCTTGAAGAGGCTATCCAATGGGAAGTATCGGTTTTCAACCTTTGGAGGGGTCAGTAACATGTGTGGACTGAGAGAAAACCTCCAAAGACCAACAAATGTATGAGGAAACTTAAACACGCTTGACACTCCTTTTATACTCTATAAGATAGTTAAATTCTTGATATGATAAGTGTTCTAACGATATGTTCTAGCGAAAGAATACAGGTTACAGGAAAAATATCTGCGAAACAAGCTAACAATACACAGGAACACTAATCTAATAATATTAAATTATATTGCATAAATCTATATTTCTTTGACATTCCGATTGTGTGTAAGAGAAAATCAATATGATTTAAACCTCAATAATATCGAGTACATATAGAAATACACATGTATTATTGATAAACTATAACATATGAAAATCAAAATTCGTTAACAACCCAATATACATGTAGCAGCTGGACTTAATATGAACAGCATCATTTGATATCATTTTATATTACTAATTTACTCCTAAACGTTCGTGTTTTTGTTACGAACCTCGGGCATTATCATGCTCGTATAATAACACATCATGACCTTAAAAATGTTAACAGGTTAAAAACATTAGAATACGTACCATAACAGTGGATTATATCCCTCTTAACGTATACTCCAAATATATATAACGTTCATTAAGATAACAGTCTGGTAATTATTAGTTAAGTATATCCGATCTAAGGTCGAGTGTTGATAATCCTTCTATTAATACCCTTTTATGTGTAAGTCGTTCATGCTTTCCTTTTTCGTGAATCACATCCAGCTCTTGGTAGTGGGCGACCATACAGGCTGCTTGTGTTTACAGTATGGTATTGGTTAATAATTTATGCTACTATAGCCTCGTTCTCAACCCAATAATATAATGATTCGAACTGAGGAAATAATTAATGTAATGATGGCTTGTTCTCCTACATTAACAAGTTTAACAGATGGATGGTGTTAGTATTGTGGTGCTATCTGGTGTTAATGTGATTGACGTAATTTGTCTTTAGTTTAACGATCTTCACTGTTGAAATTGAATTGATCTGTGAGCTATTGTGCTTTTCTTATGCTACCTTTTGCGCTTTCTCTTCTGCAGTATATATCTCTTTATTCATTTTGGAAGATGATCACTGAAAAGTCAAGACAATACTTGCATACAAATCCACAAGTAACAATAAATGTAGTGTGGCCCTGTTTGTCGATTGTCGTGTTTTTTCTTCATCCTAGACACTCTAGCTAGATTGTGTCTATTGTTTTATTATCACACAACCAGTTATTATGTTCACATATTGCATGGTCAGCTACTGTAGTCACATAGTGCACAGCCACTCATTGCGTTCAAATTTTCCCCAACCAGTCACTATATTTACATATTGCAGAACCAGTCATTGTTTTCTTTCATTGCACTACACGTCATTATGTTCTTCACATCACATAAATCAGTCATTTTGTTCACATATTGCACAACACTCATTGTGTTCAACATTTCACCAACCAGTCATTGTGTTTATATAAATCACACCAAATTTTGTGTTATTATCGCACAACGTATACCACACTATAAATTGTGTTATTATACCACAGCAAGCCATTGTGTACACGGATTTCACACCATAAATTGTGTTATTATCGCACAACCAGCCATTGTGTCTACGTATATCACATCATAGATTGTGTTATTATCGCACGACCAGTCATTGCGTTCACGTATATCACACTATCGCACAACCAGTCATTGTGTTTACGTATATCACACAATAGATTGTGTTATTATCGCACAACCAGTCATTGTGTTTACGTATGTCACACCATAGCTTGTGTTATTATCGCACAACCAGCCATTGTGTTTACGTATATCACACCATAGATTGTGTTATTATCGCACAACCACCCATTGTGTTTACGTATATCATACCATAGATTGTGTTATTATCGCACAACCACCCATTGTGTTTACGTATATCACACCATAGATTGTGTAATTATCGCACAACCAGTCATTGTGTTCACGTATATCACACCATAGATTGTGTAATTATCGCACAACCAGTCATTGTGTTGACGTATATCACACCATAGATTGTGTTATTATCGCACAACCAGTCATTGTATTGACGTATATCACAACATAGATTGTGCTACTATCGCACAACAAGTCATTGTATTGACGTATATCATACCATAGATTGTGTTATCATCGCACAACCAGTCATTGTGTTGACGTATATCACACCATAGATTGTGTTATTCTCGCACAACCATTCATTGTGTTGACGTATATCACACCATAGATTGTGTTATCATCGCACAACCAGTCATTGTGTTGACGTATATCACACCATAGATTGTGTTATCATCGCACAACCAGTCATTGTGCTGACGTATATCACACCATAGATTGCGTTATCATCGCACAACCAGTCATTGTGTTGACGTATATAACACCATAGATTGTGTTATCATCGTACAACCAGTCATTGTGTTGACGTATATCACACCATAGATTGTGTTATAATCGCACAACCAGTCATTGTGTTTACGTATATCATACCATAGATTGCGTTATTCTCGCACAACCAGTCATTGTGTTTACGCATATCATATCATAGGTTGTGTAATTATCGCACAACCAGTCATTGTGTTTTTCACACAAGGAACACAAAGAGAAAAACAACATTCTACAAATATCCACAACATAATCTGGGATTTCTAAAAATGAAATTGTGAATCACATTTCACAATGATATACCTACAACCAATCAAATGATATGAATACATTTTTATTGAACCTTCAGATAGCCTTGATTTGCAGTGCGCTCTTAACATACCTTCACTCCTCACGTTCAGGGACGATGACGTCCATGACTCGTTGCACTAAAACATCACTGGCCTTCACCGGTAAGGCCTCCCGATGTCATGGCTACACCATCGAGCACTCGTATTGCACTGAACGTACTGAGATATGACCTTCATCAGCAACAAGCCGCAGTAGAAGTTACCTTGCATGGCACACCCTTGTCCTTGATCATATAAAACTGGTTCATACATTTGAATTCACTAGACTACAGGACTGTAAAAGGATAACTGACATTCCAGATAAAGAATTCGAGAGGCTTGCAAATAAGTCCCCTTCCAATCAAGAAGATGACGGGATATGGATTTTATGTATCAGGAGCCAAGACGAAGAAAATGTCATCGTGGTAAGCCACGGCCTCTCCATTTCTTTCCTTCATGCAACAGAGAGAGATGCTATGAGTATCAGAATGAGAAAATGTAGAGAAGGTAGAATTTTAATGGCTTTCTCATGTTTTTCCAGATATACTTCAGATGGGCCATACATGGTTGACATCTTTCAGTCTATGCAAAGTTTACATAAATGCACCGTGACTATTAGTTATGGGTCAATGATTAAATACTTTTTCCAATGTATGAAAATTGAGAAAATTCAGTGACCTACTTTTTAAAAGTGCAAAAATGTAAATCACTGGATTTTCTCATTCTAGAATATTTATCAATGCATGCTCAACTTATTATCTAGGTATATTTATGCTATCTTTGTGCAAAACTGAAAGGTGTAGCCCATGGCATGCACGTATGGAATGCGTTATGTGTACCTGAAAATAACATGGGACTCCAATGAGGAATTGCCATTGCAATTTCTGAATACACGGAACTACCATAAGATCAGCTCAGTCTGAGATCAGAGCCATTATTCAAGATTGGGCAGCTCATTGATATAAACTGAAATATCCTTGGACCAGTGATGATCAGAGAACACATGGAGCAAGGTATATCGGGTCAAGCCAAAGGCCAAATTGGATGTACATTGGATCATTGGACAGTGCCGATAGGCCTTGTAATGGCGGGGTAGGGCAGCTTGACAGAGTACTGGGTAGGGGACAACGATATGGAATGAAGTAGCCCAGTGATTCAAAGGCCTGTGGTATAAAACTATAAATGTAAAATAACTTTATTGTCACATCCTGGCATCGTCGAACGTGACACACTGTATGACGGCTTTCGCAAGGGACTATAATTTCTTGCGTTACCTTCTCAGTATTCTCGATATCCATTTAGAACACGCTTACTTTACTGACATCTATAAAATGAAGGTAAAGTTACATCTGTCTTTGAACAACTTATACTTGTTATAGATGGTGCTATTTTCAGATTCTGAATCCCAACAGACAGATGATACACTACACTGATGTATTTCTACAATTATTGAGATTTTAATGCTGGAAATTTAGAATCCATTAAAAATTAAATTATAGCATAAATCAGTTACGTTGCTATGATTGAAGTATTTAAGGTATCATCATATAGTAAGAATGTATGTAGCAACTAAAGTGCTAACAATGGCAACCAGTTCTACACCGTTATATTTGATGATACTGTGTTGCCGTATATCAAATGTTACTGAGGCATCAGTAGTCATTTTTTGTCGCTTAGATGTCAAAAAATAATTGAGATATGAACAATTTATTATTGGAATTGTTAGTTGGGTGCGTTTTTCTGGAATCCGCTTGTTTGTGTAAACTTCATCATAAACACGTAAATTACCTTCCTAACTTATAATTTTGCCAAGTCATTGTTCCTCTTTCAGTAGACAACTCTTTCCCAGGAATCGTAAGTTACGATCTTACCAAAAACAGGCCCCTCCTGCTTGATTCAATGAACGCTTATTCCCAAGAATTTTTGTCTTGTTTTGACCTGTTTAATCTGTCTGGGTTACTTTCTAATTGTAATTTGACAATGACAATTATATTTCTCCCAGCTGGATTGGTTTGAACAATGAACAGTCATATTTGAAAAATTATAAGCTGTCTGAGATTCAAACTTTTTGAAAAAATATTGATGAATGGATTCAATTGTAATGTTCCTCTCTAACATAACTAAAACATTTAGTTGAATCAATTTTCATATCTTTGGAAAGCCATAATGTTATGAGAGCAATCGAACGATCAATGTTTATCAAGGATGTTGTTCACATTTCTTCAAAATCCAGAACCTGTTTAATGCACACAAAAACCTCGAAATGTGAACACCTCCTAATCGGAACACTCAACGGTTTGTCCAAGCGGCGTTCGGATGAGACAGGTTTACTGTACTTAAGAAAAACTTCCTATTTTCATGGAGTCACCAAAATTCCAGATGTATGAGCAACTGTAAGATTGTAACCTTGTTTTCTGTCTGAGGTTTCTGTCTTTTTAAGATCATGTTGTTATTTTACCTGTCGTGTATTATATTTAAATGCTTTTTTGTACTTGAATTGTATTATTTCTAAAGAATATTTCATTTCAAAAAGCAAAATATTTTGTTCTCTCTGAATCATTGTTTGTCTTTCCCCTTGACTTGAGCATTTTGAATAGTGTCAACTTCAGAATAATTGGTATGGTGACTCACAAGTGGCTAGTTTGATATTTTCTGTTACATATAAATATTGCTTTGTTAAGTTAATAGCTAGTCTCTTCATAATTCTGTTCATATAATTTTTTTCTTTTAATAATTCATTAGCGATGCAATATAATTTTGAGGTTTGAAATAATGTTATCATTATACGTTTAATGTATGTTGTGTTTTCGAGGGTTGATTAAAAATACAAGTTCAAAATGTTGAAATTGTGAAACAAATAGGTCATTGTACACAATCATGTTTGTGTCCTGAAAACACAGACGCTGAGTAACGACGCAATTTATTTTATTTTTCTTCAAATGCGGGGTTGGGACTTCAGGAGAAAACGGGTGAAAAAATCAAAAAGATTCTCCCAGAGTCTATCACTTATATTATTGAGCGTCCCAAGTAAACTCCCCTCCATAAGTTTGGCAGCCGGGAGTCTCATTTTGGAAGACTCATTAAAAACCTTTTGGGTTTGGCGGTTTAAAAAAATCATCAAAGTCCATGAAATTAAGATTCAAACAGCGCCAGGCTTTAATTAATGTGCTATCCGGTGAATACTTCTGATTGACAAACTTATGGAGGGGAGTGTACAGTATACAATTGATCGAACAAACTAAAATATTCAATTATATTACTATATTTATCGATATATTTAAATGCATTATTCTGGTATTGCTTTTTACAATGCTGCTTTTTTTAACAACAGCCACATAGTAAATAAAAGTATAAAATGTACAAAAAATTAATATTTACAAATTCTATCTTATAATAGTTCTCATTTTAAATAAGAGTACAAAATACAGTAGAATAACAATTATATGGCCATATATGGAAATTGATCAATTCTTCAATCAATTCATCAGTATTTTGAAACTAAATCATCACGAGACATGTCCCTTATTACTCTCATAGTAAGACATATAAATTGTTATAAAACTATAAATAACAATACATAACATACATTTTAATTATTGAATGTGTATTTTTACATTCAATTGTTAGCACCTACAGTCTCTACATTACAGTCTCCGCGGCCTCCCACACTTTAAATTCGTCCAGCAGCAGGTAGAAATCGAGTAGAGGGGGGCACAGTGGCTCTATACGTTACAAGACTAATTGTACGTCACTCCTATGAGAGTGAGTTAAACTGGCCAGCAGCTCAAGGATGAACGACGTTAATTTACCGATCCAGGGTTCAGTTTCTAGTTTTCTTGCATCGGGTCACTGATACTCTACCCCTAAATTCTCTATCACTATTTTGTGATATTGAGAAATGGTGGAGTAACAACGACTCGATGCAAGACCAAAAAGGTATATACTGATTTGAAATATATTCTCCATAAATGCAACATCTACAATAATATATATATTTCTCTCAAAGATAATACTATTTTGATGAAATGTAATGTTTTTACTTATTGTGAAGCATGGACCCCATTTTAGTTGAGCAAAATCATAAATAATACATAACAAGCAATCAGTTACAGCAGTTTTTCTACAAAGAAGTAGAAGTCACAAACCATCACCATCTTTAGCCGTGCATTACCAAAAATTGCCAGCTTTATCGTGCATTATCGCGAACAACAAATATTGCATGCATGCATTATGAACGTTATCATGGGGCTTGCTTCCCGAAAATATCAGAATGAAATCATGATTGGTAGAATCTAAATGCTTTGTCAAGTGTTGTCATAGTAACATCATGTGACATCTAAAATTCAGGAATATTGATATTTTCGAGAATCGGGCCCCTGGAGATCTTAATGAAATATTTTGGAAAATAATTGATTTAGAGGTTAGTGTTTGAAAATGGAAGAAATCTGTCATACAGTAATAATATCTTAAATAACACTATGAGGTACATCATGACGTAACGAAACGTGACATAGAAATCATGGCGTCACCAGCAGAGTCAAACGATTACCCTACATTTGTGCAACACGTTGCTATATTTCGCCCAATCACATGGCTTTCCACCGAGATGGGAAAGAGTATGCGCCTTGATGTTAAAATTGTATGGCACCTCCCAAGTATGCCTCTTTCCTTCGAGGATTACTCTAAAATTGAATCTGTAAGTGTATCTTTTGCCATGTACTTTCGTCAGGATCATTTTATCGTAATAATACCTCAGGGCTCGACTGAGTTTATCGTAGTTCATATTTGGTTTTCTTTTACGGAGTCCCCACTTTCGGGCAATCTCATCTGGGTCGACTATTCGAAACTCGCCATTTTGATTTTCCCAAATTATGCAATCCTCGTTGTTACCCGTTCCTAGAAGTTCTAAGAGGAATTGCCACAATTGAATCTGACCCCCTGTTCCTGAAAAACATCAAATACTGATTAGTTACACAATGCCCACTTTATAAGCATAAGTTTTATTTTGAAAAAGGTAGATAGTTCCTTTACTTCAGTTTACACATAGTAACAATTTCTTACCAACATCATTCATGCAGACTTTCGATCATGGTACATTGTATTGTGATATCTTTGGCAATATCATAAAACAATTTAAACTTCACGAATCGAAAGTCATGTTTCATCTCCAGAATGACGTAATCGAAAGATCTAGAGTGGTCGAATATTGGTTTTATAACATGTATCATGTGACATCGAATTTATATCTAAAATGATTATACTTACTTGATATAGTTTTGAGTATCTCTTTGACATATTTGTTATTATTGCCTTCATCATCGAGTGGTACTTTCGTTTCATCAATCGGTCCCCAGGTGTCGCCACCAGACCATTGGTCGCACCTCATTTGTGATGACGACGTCATCGAGTGCCTTTGGTTGTATTGAGTGATATGTTCCTGATATGAGGGAGGGGGTGGTAGCATATTGTTCTCATTTGAATTAGAATTGATTTGTCCCTGATTAAATTGTCCATTAAATGCGTCCAGTTGTCCGGAATAGGACCCCGACTCCTGGTATAAATGGTCCGTATCGTTCGTGGACGACACCAGGCTTGCAATGTCTGAATATGAGCCGGAGACGCTACTGTTGTAGCCTCCCTCGGAGCTTGAGCTAAAGCTTTCTCCCAATGACTGATCACTCGCTGCCGAGCCCAGACTTTCGACAGACTGAGGGGGACTAAACATATCCTCTACGGAGCCAGGCGAGCTAAGCATCTGTTCGGTTACCTCTGCATTAACCATCGATAATACACTCTGAGTCAAGGGGTCATCTAGATCCTCCAGATCGTCTAAGTGAATGTCTGTCAGGTTCAGGTCATCTTTGAGGCTGTTCAGTAACCCCACGGTGTCAGCTGAGTCTCTTTGTTGCAATAAGTTTTGATAACTTGTAATGTGCTCATTTTGGAATATTGAAGCACTTGATGCATCTACTGTGTGTCGGCTTATCGAGCCGGTGTTCTCCATTGATTTGTAGGTTGAGTAGTTGAGATCGTTCAAGACAGACATATCTGAGCTGTGCTGATTTTGTTCACGTTTCCAGGTTATCTTATCGTTTCCATCGATTATCACTGAAAATATAATTACATTAAGTCAGTTTGAGTCCTAGAGTACAAGTTTTTCATGTAGTTGTTAACCTGTATGCGTACTAACTACTAAGTGCCTAAGTGTTCTTTGAATGTCTTAGAATAATTCTTATTTACTCTTGGAAGAATCGTGACCATATAATCTCTTCTAGGATTAGTAATAGCTACTTAGGTTAGCAAGCAGCTCCTACGCTTTGTTTTTACCGCCTGTGGCTTGCGTTGAAACCTACTATTTTACAACTACTGACTTAGTTATGTCGTGATTTGTGCCTTTTTGTTCCTGTTTGTCTTGCCGAGCCAAGTGATAACACTAAAATGAAATAATAACCTTATCCTATCGTTAACTAGCATCGGGAGCACAGGGAATGAATAATCCGTCTGATATGGTTAAAAATTTAAATGCTAATGGTCTAGTTTCAAGTTTGTTTGTCAAGTAGAGATATTACTACGCGCAGTTGTCATTTCCCCGTCAAAACATTGAGGTAACCGCTATTGAACATATGTCCGTAGTGCTTCCCACCCCCGCACTTAATTTTGCTCGCGCATGCGCACTCTTTATGTGTAAAATTTACTGAATTACGGTCCCATAATATTTTGAATTAAGCCCTCATCAATCAATTTGTGTTGCCTTTAGAGGATAAAAAATGGAATGTCTCCCTTTGACATCTATGGGAGGAGTAAATCTATTAACAAGCTTGTTTACAGTCTAAAAATAATTTTGGAAATTTGGAAAATGTAAACCCTGCCCCCAACCGAGGTAAATAATGGCGTTTAAATATGTAAAGTATTTTTTAATAAGAAACTCGTCGCTATCAATGGCTTGGTTGTATTATAAAATGGACGAAGTGCACTTGCAAGTGTTAAGCACATTCTAGCTTGGGTTTATGGCTATAAAACATAATCTCGGTAATTGTACATGTTTCGGAACATGTTTCGCTAAAGACATGTTCATTATGTCATGTGCATTTAGGGAAACGATTTATTATATACAGGATGGTGTAATCAATATAAGTAAATAAACTCATAATATCAATTAATGATTTATAAAAATTGGTACTGTGCCTAGGCCTTAATACTGAAGTAATTTTCAGAATAAAACACGTGTTGAGAATCAGCTGGTATGAGATCATTTTTACTATAATGTTTACTATAAAATAGACCTGTCAAACTGAACACCTATGCAGCTTTAACGTTCCTCCCCCGCATTCTTCCCCCGCAAATAAGGAGACGACCTTCGAAAGATGGCAACAAATCGTTAGATCAGACATCAAACAAAAACTACGATCTATTTTTCACCGGAACTTCTATTTTGAGTTTCTTAGTGAGGAAATTAAAATGACAAATCGCCGTAATTGTACACCTCTCCTCGACCCATCGTTGACACCAAACACATGTGGGCTAGACGTACATGTAAAACCAGTTATGGTTCAAAAATATGAATTTTTTATGTACTTATTTTTCTTTGTTGGTTTTCCTTTAGTATCCATCTTATTTGCACTTAATTTTTTTATTGGAAGTTCAATGATTTTACTTTGCTTTAAATAGCGTATTTAACTCTACCAATTAAAACACCATATAAGGATGTTTGTTTGTCGCTTTATCATATACAATAAAATGATTATATCATTTAGAACCACTAAAACCGCTATATCGCGATGACATAACACCAACGCAGATCCTGCATTAGATCATTGTAGTATATAAAGTATATATTTGTCATAATTTATACATATAGATTATCTCGGTTTGTACAGGTTTACTTACTTACTACAAAGTAAATAAACTTCAACCTCTGACTCATTATTTGTTTAAAACGCAGTGGCACAAATCAGTCAAGTGATAAGCTTTTGGTTAAATGAAATAAAGGAGCTAATCAGGGACGCCATTGTTATTGATCCAAATTGCAGATATCAAAGAAATATTTATTATTAGAACAAAAATGATATAGAATATCATCTTGATCCGTCTCACAATTCAAGTAGTAGGAAATAAATAGGTAACGAACAAACAAACAAACAAACAGACAATAAAACAAACAAACAAACAAACAATAACATCGTGAGTTTAAATATTAAAGAGAAATATACTTCACATTCGTGACTGTAGTTATTGTACTTGTTTCCTACTTAAAAAGACTCAAACTATATTTTAGGCCTAAATGTACATGTACAGTTTTGTAGACCACAGACATATTATTTGACATCAAAAATTCCCAATCTATTGTATTTCAGTTTGTTAAAAAATATCTAGATAAATCTTCTTGGGTCAAAGATCATACTGTGTATTCCTTCAGTCAATACCTTGAATGTATCAAGAGTGTTTAAGGTGACACTACAATGACTATGCGCCTATGGCATTACATTCCAACACTAACTAATTGAATGATGGGAAAAATCATCTCTTGATCAATCAATGAATTGTGAAACTGAGACTGGAAAACTAGTGAGGAATTCAACGAAATGGTATACTGTACATCAATGTCTTGGTAATGGTATGCCTTCACCTGTTAAAGCCCTTCTTCATGTGTTTTAATGTTTTTGATTACAATAGGGATAAGCTATGTACATAACTTTTACTATTTAACATGACATCAATCAACAATCTGATGTGGACTTATCTTCTGTATTTCTTGAACCCGGATTCTCACGAACTTACTTTGACCCGTGTAACTATAATACAGACTACACGAGGCCCAGATAATTGTACATTTGTAGATAAATTTCGTATTTATTGGAAATGATTCTATATCACAACACCATTGCCTGCATGCAACTCCATCCCATGAGATCATAAAAACGAAACTGACCCCTGGTGATCCACGCCATGGTTTGCAATGTTTTTTATGCTTAACCGAGGGTAAGGCTTTTTGTTGAATAATACATTATTGTATAAAGTTAATAATTATATCAGTTGCATTTGAGTTTTCAATTAAAATATTAGACGGATTATAGAGGATTAAATCCTCTTTTCAGAACCACAATGGTAATCAGGTAATCGTTCAGAAAGCAATGTGTCATCCTCGAATGTATGGCTTGCCAACTGGAGTATGGCTTGCCAACTGGACTAGCATGATGTTTCCAGATGTGAAGCACCTGGGCCATATGTACTGGGTGACCACGAATGCATGATAGCCATGACATTCAGTGTTTCCAGATTTCTTAACATATCATTTCAATCTTCCCACTCCTGTCGAGATTAAGAGAGAAACCAGTTCTTCGCCATTAAAACATTTACAAAATGTGTATTCTGCGCTATGTGATTGTTTTGCAATGTTTGAAAAATAGTTATAGACATATGTGCTTAAAATCCTAGAACTTTTGAAGTGCTCAAATGAGAATGTGACGACTCAACACAAAGATGCAAGATAAGCTCACTACGCTATACACACCTGTTCAGCTCCCTTGCTGCGATAGAAATTGTGAACCTTTTTTCATTCGCTTTAACCTATATTTCTCTGTTTAATGGATAACCTAGAGTCAAAACAATTAAATATTTAGAAACAGTTGACCACTACACAAAAGTAACAAGTGACCACTTTGAAACTGTCACCTATGTATGGGACGCGAGAAGACCACCGTCTCTGCCAAACACTTGAGATTTTGAGAGCTACTTATAAATACTTTTTGATAAGATAATCAATCGTGAATATTTTTTTGAAGATGAGCAGTGAATGATAAGATAATAAGATATTACAAGACTTAAAAGAATACCATCCTTAGTTTGGACTAGAATATAGATTTTTGATTTTATTTGGAAATTGGCCATGTTAAGTAAAGACCATTGGCGGTCACTGTGACGTATCATGTTTCTAGTCCTTCTCTCACGGCGAGCTAAAGGGTCCCAGGTCTGGCACTAAACATGCATTTCCTCATTCCTTTTTCAAGGGCCTGTAATTATTGTAAACAATAAAATGTGGCTAGATACTAAAGAATAAATAACACTTAATTTCGTTATAAAAAAGACTGTATACAAAGTTAGTTTCGTGTCATGTTTCTACGAATGACGTCATTGAGAGACCCTGGGCATACAGGTGCCACAGAGTGGTCCAGTAAACTTGACTGAAAGTTTATCCAATAAATAAATAAAAAAGGACCTGATTACAATTATTGATAGAATTCAATGAGAAATCTAAACAGATTAAAAATATGCGTCATTTAAGTAATCATGAGTCACTGCTCGCGCGATTATAACGTACCCTGGATTTTCACCACTTTGCGGTTTTAGGTATGAGAAGGGGCAAACAAAGTTGGTTTTGATTTATAGTTTAACATTTATGCTTGAAATTGTTAGAATACGACTCGGCTGATCTCTATAAGCTATAGACAAAAAAGTTGCTTTCACCGAAATCCCACAATATATCTAGTTCAGATGTTCAACGTTGCCGTACATTTTAGTTGTCTACCTATATTCGGGACTATGGCACGCAGGGGAGCCAGTTAGCTGTAAAACTAGAAAAAACAGTACGAACGCCCCCCTGTGACCTCTCTCCTCGTCATTGAAACATCAATGCTACCATTCATATGCCTTTCTAATCTTTGTAAACTAAGAAGATATTAATGATCTTTTTAATTCAGACAATTTAGAGCAATTTCTCCAAGACTTTTTATTTTCCCCTCGGACTGTACACGTTTAATTTTGGTTTTAAACATAGCCATCTGGAACTTTATTCATGGGTAAATTGTGGCGACGTTTGATGTACCCAAGAGCCACAAACAAGAAAAACGTATCTGAGAAGTGAAAACAGACGCTTTTAATTACAAACATATTGTAAATCCGTGACAACTAGTGAATCTTTGATATTTGATATGATCATTTAATATTCTTAAAATTGAACAGAAAAATGTTATCCATGAATCTCAAATTATTTTTTATGATTGATATGGTCAGATATGGTAGAGTAGGTCCTGGTCTCAAACCCTTCTAACGTGTAGTCTATGTACTACGGTCTACGTTCAGCTTAAATAAAAAAAAATGCCCTTGTCTGGTTGGGATGTGAGTTGTTTCTGTTTTCTAATGTTACCCTTTGCGCATATTATTACAGAATTAAAGTTAAACAGTTCTAACGGAATACATCTGGGTGGATTTGCGTTGGCTATTATGATTTATGTTGTAGTCTATGGTAGGTAGGTAGCCTAATAGAGGTGATAGACGATTAGACGTGCCCCGGTGAGGTGAAATCGTGATCTGATAATTTAGGGTGAACGGAAGCCAGATGTATCCAGATGTATCCTCCTGTATTCTCCTCCAGTCAGTTTTGAAGGACAATGTGTGAATGCCTTCAAATAGATATCTATTACATCACCTCAGTGATCACGTTAGTCTAACAACAGGCCCTTGTGATCCCCATCCCCCACTACACAAATCCCCCACAAAGCGGTGGAGGAGTAGATAAGGGAGGGGGTCCAGAAATTTGAGGCAAGACTATGATCATGTGTTCATATTCAACGGTCACTAACTTATAATGTTATAAGATTTGCTTTGTATGTGTTAGCAAATGTGTTTTACTTCTAAAATGTCTATGACATTTATAAAAAGCACATTTAGCACAAGTTTTAAACACATTTAAAACAAATGTAAATGCAAATATTACACAACAATATCACGCAAAACATACTCATGTAAACAAATCATGGAATATTAAAAGACTATGTGATTAACAGTCGACTCAGATAATAAAAAATATCTTATCCAGCGAAGTCCATCAATATGAATACAAAAAATGCCCTAATCAAGCCCTAAAAACACCAAAATACCCATTAGTTCATATGGCTTACTTCTGAAATAGGTCAAGCCGACAAGAACTTTCAAACACTCAATGCCAAAATAAAAAAACGTGTGAACAAAATATTGAACAGACTAACACTGAAAAGACTATGATACTTTATTAAACATTGATAAGTAATACCTTTCTTATAATACTGGAGGTCTAAGATCGAAAATTGATATAATGTGTCTCCCCCTCCTTCTTATCTTTATTTCTTAAGCCAGATGAAATCGATGAGGGGGGTAACCAAGGGACTGGATTGTTAAGACTAACAAACTAACTAAACTAAGAAGTATCAAGTTCGAAACCAGCAGGAATAAGTGAGTAAAGTAGTTTATAATTGTTGTTTGATTTCATTGCTTCTATATCTTTATTTCTCAGATTCTGGGAGTCCAAATAAACAATTACTTCTGTGATTATTCTATCCGTCTTCTAATCCACAATTGATCTGGTGACAAGTTTTAAGTGGTTACTTTACATTAGTATTATTTCGCAAAATTTATTTATTTGAGGCTCTCTGTAATATCAACTTGTGAACCGCATTGTTTCCAACACAAAAGGTCATAAGGTACATGTTCCAGTAATGTGCACGAACTTGGGAATTTCTCAAAAATTGTGAGATATTTGACTGGAGAATTTTTTCATATATTGAGTGTGTTTAGTGTCTGGTACAACACTACGTGCAGATCGGAGATAGAATTTAAGACATGTATTTACCCCATAGAGCTTTTATTTTGGGAAAATTAATTCACATTGTTTTTTATTGCCATTGTTTTATTGTTCCAAACTTTAGAACGATGATTGGGGTAAGATTTGCCGTGTGATAAATAAAACAGACGTTCAATTTGCAAATATGGTAAATATGGACACCCACAATAAAGACAGTGTTGCCATGTCTACGGGTTTACCAGCATGCGTTGATAACAATTGAACAGAAATGAATAAACAATAAACTAAAAGAAATATAATACTTTTTCAGAAAAATATACTGTTCTTTTTAAATTGGAAAATATTCTTTTTCAATTTGGACAAATGTTTCTACCCATTTTGAAAAAGCAGCTCAAAGAAAACGATGATATTTGTTGAAATTGCTTCAAATTCATGTGTTACTTTGTGGTACTTATACAATATAGACCCTTATATGAATAGGAAACAAATATGATAATAAGAAATGACCAATATATAAACAATATCTTATTGGTTGTTTTTGTGATGGCACCCATTGTTGATAAATTATTGTACATGATATGTTACATGTAAGAGTGTGTATATCTCAACCTGTTGTTTTTTGTTGTTTTTCGAATGAAAAAAAAAAGTATTGTTTTGTTTCTTTAACATAAAAAAACGCACTTCGTGTATACTTAACCCGTATCTTTGGGTGCGAATGTCACAATTTGAAAAAATGATAATGAGAGTTTCACTGTCTATACATTTTGAGGGTATGTACTTAAGTCCAGGACCAAGTCACATTATTAAAAACCATCAAATATCATATTAGACATATTTGTTTTGATTTTCATAGGATGTTCTGTCTACATATTTTCTTAGTTCATTTAGTCAGCGTACATAAACACATGCACCCAGTTTTAAAGAACCACCCGGGCCACGATTTATCCCTGGGATAACCCTTTTGCGAAAGACGAGGTCGTTTTTCAACAATTTCCATAAAATCAAGAGTATCAACTACGAGTTTTACTTAAACACATTTGAAGATACTGGCTCTCATTTTCGATTATTTTGTGTTAGAAAGCGCAAGCAATTCGATATTTACGTTAGCGTTTTTGACTGAGATGAGCCACAAAAACTCGGTTTCTTACCCGACATGACCGACAGCCAGCAACCTCAACCACTTCCAGAACTTTCCGCAAGAATTGATGACATGTTTTTAATAGCGAAATAAACAATATATTTATAACTCATATTACTAATGTCTAGTGGGCTTTCATCTTAATACTTATATGTTTTGATTTTTTCACTTAGAAGTCATGGGGTTAGTACTGAAGATGGGAAATCTGTTTCGGGTTTGTCGTGACGTTGTCTCCCATTTCGAAGACCCCTGTAGATATATCTTATCACTGAGAATGATCAAGCCACTTATTCATGAGGATCTACCAGTTCAATCTAAATATAACTTTTATGTTGTTTTAGGGTTTGTCTGTATGTATGCGTATTGGATAAATCTTCAAAAAATATAAAAAACGGCTTTTTCAATCGTTTCCCCAAGTGACTGACAATATTTGCATTATTATACAAAATATGTAATTATGTTTTGATTAATTAATATTGTTACATAACATTTAGTCTAACTGCACTTATCTGTCTAGTTCATTCGTAAAATAATTTGGATTACCTTCTTTTCCTTTTGGCTGACAATGGACGGGTGTCTTCCGAAGTGAAACTTTTAACAATTCTCATTTGTTGAGAGATAAATACCAAGCATGCAAATAAATATTGCAACTTACCATGAAAATATGAATTTCTAAAATTAAATCCTGTTCAATAATTTGCTAAATTAATCATATATATTCTAATGATGTAAAATAATGCACATTATGTCATATATTTAGTATTTTCGAGCCACCATTTTGTTTTAATGGCGCGATCAACAAAGCCACAAGTTTTACTTACCTAATTTTTCCTAAACTTTTTCTCTTGTTTCTAACATCAAGTAACTGCTATGGCCTCCAGTCTGGTCAAAATGTGAAGCCAGAATCCCTGTCAGTAGTATTATAAGTTAGTATATCAATTATAAAAACTTCCGTTTGACCTCGGTTTTTGCTACTATTTTGTATACAAAACCGCGAGATGAGTCATCGCAGTTGAAGAGATGCGGGGGAGGCCCGTCTGCTTTGAATGGTACTCTCATACTTTAACATTGGCATTGTGGTCAAGCCATTTTGAAAAACAACTGATTTAATAAGTATCCATTTTCAAACAATTGTAATAAACTAAGTAGATTAACTTAAGAATCAATGAGCTTTAAGTAATAGGAAAGCATAAAGGTAATAATAGAAAACCCCAAACCAACTTAACCCCATCATACCAATCACTCTATGTAAAACACAATTGATCAAATATAAACTTTTGGTCAACCTTAATAGTAGAAACATAACATGTAAAAAGTAGAGTTCTAGTTGAATTGTAAATCAGACAATTATAGGTAAATGTTATAACGTATATTAATCATCTGTGAAAGTAATTTTGGTTCGCATTTCTCACCTCACCCGTCTCTTTATTGCCCCATTCCTCAAATCCATACGAATTTTCTTGTTTCTTTCATAAAGGCTTAAACCTACTTAGAACACATGATAATGTTTTCATCTTTAGTTATTACATGCAGCGGATTCATTAAACTGGATTTGTTGTTCGATCGACAGGTCAGTCCCGGTATCTGTAACTAGGTCATTATGCCATAATGTAAAATATCAGTAGTCAGTGGGTTCACTTAAATGTCGACGAATTGACACAGAAAAACTCATGTTCGTGCCTTGAACACTTTCTAAACATTTCGAATGGGCAACGAAATTTTACCAATCGAATTCACATGATACATTTTTCTGCTTAAAGGTATCATTTTCCGAACGCAATGCTGGAGAACTCGTTCCTTCTTCATGAGACAAAAACGATACTCTGGACCTTAAAGCCCTGCGATCGTAGGACGAAAACGTCTTGCAATTTGTAAAGTTTTATGAGAAGTGACATTTAGGTAATTTAAAAAGCACCTGGCACAGCATTGAGCAGTATTGCTGTAAGTGTCAATTCGAAACGTTGAATTCTCGACCATTTCTTTTAAAGTAGGACTTTTCCTGGTAAAAAAATTAATTGGTTAATTTATAATTTTGAACTCTGTTCTGAAACAGGTGTGTAAATATTTCATTTGTTTTTGAGCTTGGTCAATAAGTACTTAAAACAGAGAATCTTTGGGCCATTGCCTCAACGACTCCCATTATGTACTTTTAGTCAGGTCTTTTTGATCATTTTGTCTATTAATTAATTCTTCTCCCTATTACTAGATTAGTATTTTAGCATGCGATTTTACATTTACATATACGTCCTTGAAAAATACATTTTCATCATTGTTTTTACTAAAATGATTTCTATCATTTAATTCCTGATGTTCTTTTTAAGAAGAGAAATGTGATGAGTAGTAGAATGATACATTTTATATTTTCTCGCTTAATGGCAGAGTTAGCTAAGCAATAAGAGTTTGACTTTGCGTCTCCAAGAGGGGCACATTTTATATAATAGCAATGTAAGCCTCTAGCTTTCGATGTATTTCAGGGAATAGAATTTACGATCCATTGGCAGTCTTTATGTTTTCTCATTTGGCCTTGACTACGATAGATTAATATAAGTATAAAAATGATAAATATACGTATAAAAATTATATAAAACCAATAAAAGTATAAATTAACAAAAATCTTCAAAATTCTTCATAACTTTTCGATACTAGGTAATTTTTAATACTGACCTTAATGCATGTGTTTTCCCGTGTTATTAATGTTTCTAGTGTAATAGCCTATATGTTCAATGTGACACCCTATAAACATCAGAGAATATATACAAGAGTATAATACAAATATGACAAATTTCACATGACGTCATTGGGCATAATCTTACGATCTTTCTATTGTAAATGTGCCATTGGATTATTGAATTGATCAGTCCATTGGAATTTACAACAAAATATTTACAATCTATGATCGAATTATGAGTATGCCCAAAACAGTAAGAGGAAATACACCAGGACCTTATGTATAGTTGAAACATTCACATTTTTGATGGCGCAAAATAACAAAATACCTGAATTCTAAATACTATTTTATTGACATATGCAAATTAGCCCAGATGGCTACCGCAAAATACAATGAAACTTTTTATAACAAATCAAAAGGAATTAAACGTGTGAAAAGGAAGTGGAGTTTTCTTTCAACGGTCAATTATATGTTATTAAAAGCATTGTTCATCTTTAAAAATACAGCAGTGAATAGAATTAGTTGTTTTTATTCATGTTTTGTTGTTCTTTACTTCCTTGTCAAGCATCGCGCTATTCAGGTTTTCAACAGACCTTACATCAAGATTGGCAGTTCACCAACATACCAAGGACCCACACTCCCAGAATCCTTTATCTTTCTTACATCACTCCGTATTGGTTGATCAAGTCAAGTGATTCAGTGAACGATACATGGGAATAAGCGTTGCGTGATGATGAACATAAGTTTTAGCATGTATCATCTTCATTATCGCCCATTATTTCAAGTTGGGTGGTATATGTTGACCACGTGTGTGGTCTAACAATACCGTGATCATAACTGTCATGAAGATCATTAAAATGCCCAATGTTTTATTTTATTTTGTATGCACTGCCAGATCAATGACTTCATTTCCATTTGATTGGCTGGTTGTTTATTGCTTTATGTCAAGTATTTCTTGAAGTGTCTTTCCAATATTAGCAGATTATCTTTTTAGAGGGTAGATTGCGTCTCCACGAGATCACGATTTCTGATTACAAGTAACGTAACTCTAGTAAAATCGTACCTTATTAAGGAAAATACATTCCATTTGACAAAGCAATCCTACAGGCGTAAAAGGGTAGGAGGTCCTATCAAATCATGGTCCTACTTTCCAATGATTTATATGGTGACCTAAATACAATTCTTTCCCTTATTATCGTATCCACAATCAGGGCCAGTAAGGGCCTTTAAGAAAAGGGACCATAATCCCCAGGGGACCATAATTTCTTTTACACCGGTACTTTAAGTTTTAACTTTTGAATATATCCTTGTTCAGGCATACGGTTGTTGAGAGTGCTGACCCCCTCCCCCTCTTCTAAACCCCTAAAACTCAACTTACATCAAGAATCAGATATAAAAAGGAGGCTAATAATGGGCGCTTATATGGGGTACAACTTGTCTTCAAAATCTGGAAACACTCTAATCGACCAGGTGTCTTTGTAGTCCATGAAGATCCTACGATTTATTCATGCCATAATATTGGTAAACATAGCAAGGCCTGACAGAAATCAAACATACAGGTTTACCAGACCCCGTATTGTCTGCTGCGTTTGTTGAAAGTTTAAGACAAAAGGGAGCGCGGGCATCACGATGAAAATCAAATGTCTTGAACAATTTTAAAGAAAAGCATGAGCTAGTTATCTTTTATCAAGCCTGGTGGGATTTCTGACCCAGGGTCTAGTTTGTTATTACCCTTTGCATTCGTTCAAGTTCACTTCTTAAAATAGAGCTTATTAGTAGTTTTAACTAGACTGCGCGCAGGGTAAGTTTGTATTTAAATGAACGAGGAAGCTCACTTTTAAGATGCGAAGTCAAAGAAGATTTCTATGAATTCTGGAATATTTTCGTTTTGATAAGTTATTCTGCTCGATGTAGTAGCTGCATAATATTGCAGTAGACTGAATTATATTGTCAATTATATTTTTGGGAAATATACATTTTCGTAATACCTATGAGTGCAGAAAATACAGTGACAGCAGTGAATTTGGCTGCTTTTTGATCAACTAAATCATAAGTTAAGGTACGGATCAAAGGATTATTTTTCATTCAAAAAATATAAAAATTGCTCTCTTTTCAACTCTTGAAAAGGTAATCTGGTGCAACATCCGTCAATCTTTTATACAGTAAAACCTGTCTTCGTGAACATCTCTCTGTAGTGGACACCCTCCCTTCCTCCGCATACTCTACTGACTTCTGTATAAACTATCCTCTCGGTAATGACACTACCAATACTGAACCACGCCTTCCTCGGCAAAGATGTTCAATATACACAGGTTTTACGAATCGATTCAAAATAAAGTGTACGTTATATTCATCACTGAACAATATATCTTTTAGCCGAAAGAAAATGAAATAAACTAAGTAGAATGTACTTGATTTGTGTTAAAGTTTTCTGACAATTTCAGATTCGTTTATCATTTCAAGATAAAGGTCCCCTCTAGTATCAAAAGCTATAAACATCCGCCTAGGTTTATTAATCTTTAGATTTTTAGCTTGAATCTGCTTAAAGCCATGTAGAACAAATGTAAAGGTAGTTTTTTCAAAATCTAAATAACATTAGATATACTAGATTGTGGAATCATAACATTTTTCTTCTGTTAAAATCACAGTCTCGTGAACACCCTTGGTATACGCAGCTAACGAAAATTGACCGGTACGGGTCAAAAGCTGGACCTGTACGGGTTAACGGTTTTATTTGAATTTAAAACAGCCATAACTTGTTCAATATTGACTTCCTCGTGTCTAATTTGAAATATATGATGCCTCCCGATGCTTTTAAGTACCCCAATTTTTTACAGATTTTTAAACAGACCAAAACTCTCTAAATGCGCATTTATGCTCTTTTCTCTCGAGAACGACTGTCTCATTTTCACGATAACTTTTATTTAGTACTTCTAAAATATAAGATCTATTTTTCCCTATCAAGGTATGATGTAAATGACATGCCATTTACATCTTGTGAGTTTGAATGACGCGCTTTTGATTTTATAAAAAATGCCAAACTTTGTGACAAAGAATTTCATCCTGCTTGCAGCGAGAAGACGGACCGGTTCGGGGCAATCTGCTTGTAGCGAGAAGAAGGACCGGTTCGGGGCAATAGCTGATGAAATTCTTTGTCACAAAGTTTGGCATTTTTTATAAAATCAAACGCGCGTCATTGAAACTCACAAGATGTAAATAGCATGTCATTTACATCAAACCTTGATGGGGAAAAATAGATCTTATATGTTAGAAGTACTAAATAAAAGTTATCGTGAAAATGAGACAGTCGTTCTCGAGAGAAAAGAGCATAAATGCGCATTTAGAGAGTTTTGGTCCGTTTAAAAATCTGTAAAAAATTGGGGTACTTAAAAGCATCGGGAGGCATCATATATTTCAAATTAGACACGAGGAAGTCAATATTGAGCAAGTTATGGCTATTTTAAATTCAAATAAAACCGTTAACCCGTACCGGTCCAGCTTTTGACCCGTACCGGTCAATTTTCGTTAGCTGCGTATACCAAGGGTGGTGAAGGTCTTACACAATGCAGATTATTCAAACCCTAGTAGTGGTACACCAAATTGCCAGGGACATCTAAAATATTACTTTAAAGGGAATGAACTAATCATCCGCTTTTGTTACAGGAACGAAACTAATCATGCAACAAGGGGAACGAGGGGAACAGGTTTTTCAAGTCTGATACTGTAGAACCGATTTGAACAATTTATTTAACTATGAATTCAAAATAAAGTAAGCGCATGAATTTTGGGCAAAATGTTCAAATGATATGTTCATGCATTTTGAAAGGAGAATGCCCCCCTCCCCTCTATAGCATAGATGGCGCATCGCATCCTAGAGCGATCGCGATCTGGTAAATAAAACTCTCAAAGTAAAAAGGGCACATTATTGTGTCAAATTATTAAATTCAATGAAGGTAATCAATTCAAATGTCGTATTCTCGTCAAATTAATTTTTTCATTCTTACATTGACATTGACCTTTATAGTTAAGACTACTAAATGCCAATGTCATCTTGACTTTGGCTGAGTATTAAATACCAAATAGTTCAATTAATCAAAATAATTCTTAATCAAATTCCGTATTGAATTCTTATTGGAGTACGTCCTCCAATTACCGAGGCTTTGTGTGCGTATTATGACAAGCTTTTTCAATATGTGAAAAGTATTTTTATCCAGTATAATAATGAACATAACATGAAATCATGACTAATACCTTTTGAAGATGTTGTGGTTGGTTTATGATGACTTTGATTACCAAAGATCAAACCTTGTAGACCTGTCAATTTTGTCTGGTCGCATTATGTGGTACACCAAGTGAGGTTGAATAGAGCAACAGATAAGAGAATGCTTGCTGATGTTATGACGACAATGGGGTATGGTGTTAAAGGGGCAATATTGTGGAAGTTAACTAGATATTATTTCATATATGATTTTACAGTGGCAATATGGGGAATTACTTTTAATGAACTCATATAGAGTACATTTACACCAAGTGAGGTTGAATAGAGCAACAGATAAGAGAATGCTTGCTGATGTTATGACGACAATGGGGTATGGTGTTAAAGGGGCAATATTGTGGAAGTTAACTAGATATTATTTCATATATGATTTTACAGTGGCAATATGGGGAATTACTTTTAATGAACTCATATAGAGTACATTTACACCAAGTGAGGTTGAATAGAGCAACAGATAAAATAATGCTTGCTGATGTTATGACGACAATGGGGTATGGTGTTAAAGGGGCAATATTGTGGAAGTTAACTAGATATTATTTCATATATGATTTTAAAGTGGCAATATGGGGAATTACTTTTAATGAACTCATATAGAGTACATTTACACCAAGTGAGGTTGAATAGAGCAACAGATAAAAGAATGCTTGCTGATGTTATGACGACAATGGGGTATGGTGTTAAAGGGGCAATATTGTGGAAGTTAACTAGATATTATTTCATATATACCTTTCTCGATGTGATTATCAATACATGTAAATTTATAATTCCGCGCTTTAGCCATCTTCGACTTCCAAAGTTATAATACAAGTTGGATCAACTGGAACCTTGTGATTCAAGATACGGTTCCGCTTTGACAATGGACTGTAATTTTAAGGTGGCAGGGAAGATTTCTAAATTATTGCTTAATAATTTTGTGATTCTGTTTTTGACTGGTATGTAAAGTGGCAATTTAAGGAAGTTCGCTCTCGATACTTGTATTGTGATTGGCAAAGTATATAATTTTAAAGTGGCAATACTTGTAATTGTGATTTGCAACATTTATTATTTTAAAGTGACAATGCATATATTGTGATTGTCAAAGTTTATGATTTTAAAGTGGCAATATGGGGCAGGGGCGGATCCAGGAACCAACAAGGGGGGGCCCAAATTTCAGGTCAGAGAAAAAACGTCCGCGCTTGCGCGGAAAAAAATGTTGGGCCCCTAAAATCCAAAAGTGGGCCCAAATTTTGAAATTTTGAGGCCCATTTTCTTCAAAATTTGGCCTGAAATTAACAAATAAGGCCTTAAAAGGCCCAGTAATGACCAAAAAGGCCCACTTTTTGGGGCCCAATTTTTTTTTCTGGGCCCACCCAAGGGGGGGGGGGGCCCGGGCCCCTGGGCCCCCCCCCCCCCCCTAATCCGCCAGTGTGGGGAGTTACTTTTAATGAACTCATATAGAGTACATTTAGAGACCTTTCTTGTAACTAACAATGGTGTATGGTCTTTAAATGAGACTTTCAGAAAAGTTGTTTAACATTGCCTTTTGTTTTAGCTTTTAATCCAAACATTTATTTGGTATGGCAATAGAGTGGCCACACGGTTAGGAAAAGCTTACATCAAACTAGTAAAGGCCTAAAACTTCAAAAAACAATGTGTGAACAAAATGAAGATTCTTTAAAAGTCAACTTTTCTCATTGAATAATTGAAGTGGAAGTTAAGTAACAAAAACAAACAAGTAAAGAACATACAGACAATGAATACTCCAACAAATAAACATAACTATAGTTATTGTTTCTTACACATCCAGATGCATGATCAAAGGATCATATATTGCTGGTTTCAAATTTGTTCTTGTCTGATGGACTTTGGATTTAATTTTTCCCTGGTACTTTTTAGAATAATTGCCTGTTCTGATTTCTGATCGACATGTGTGATTAGTTTCCCACTTGAACATTTATCTGGCTGTGGTTGAACATGTAGTACTATCCGTCTGGCTGTCTGGGGTTTTGAAAAAGTCATAAATGGCTCTCAAAAAACATCTAAAGATGGCAGACATGTCTCAGAATGAAACTATAGTTTTGCAATATATAATATGGGACTTGCGCATACCTACATGTAGTAACGATCGATCTTACTTATGATGGGAGTGATCTTATCATAAACCGTATTTATCACGTGATAATTGTATTTTTATTTTAAAATACAGCTTGACCGTGTCGTTCTTGCTGTCGCCGGTCGCCCTAGTGCAGCAAAGTATTCCCATTGTGGCGAACGGTGAGTCCACGGGATCCAGTGTAGGTTTTTGACCGGGGTTTTTGACCTACATAGCCTACATGTAATTGCTGACATAAAGATGGCAGCAAGGCAGCAATGTTGTTTCATTTATTTTATCCCTTTAATAACACTGCCATCTTTTAACTTTAGCCTCATAAAATATTTGAGGCACCTTTACATAAAGATACATTGTAGGTTCATCTCCCAGGTCCCAGCTATTGCCTATAACTTACCCCATATTTTTCATATGCGTACCTCTGGCAGATCCAGGGCGGGGGCCTGTGTTCTGGATCCGCCAGTGCGCCTTGTCTAGCCCACCCTGATGAACCTGTGTTTGAGGGTATTCTCGGGGGGGGGGGGGGTTAACATATCATGATCCTTAATCAAACCATGGTCCATGATCAAACTAAACCAGCAAGGTAGATATAAACCCGGTTTTAACGGCAGGGAATCCCGGGAAAATCAGAGATTGGTAAATTCAGAAACTGTGGACCTTGTTCCATGAACCGCCACAAATAGAGGAAGTGAAACCAATATTCTAGAAAAATGGTAGATTATAGAAAATGGGATCACATTGAGGTATAGTTACTGTTGTTGTACATTAATTTTGTGTTACATTAATCATTTAACTGTATTGATGATACATTCTTCTATAGTTAAAATGGTGGATAATGTGATGAAGTATCGATTATTCCGAGATCCAAGACTTCTTTTGTGAAATAATTTTCAAAATTTTTTGAGTCAGTGAATCGTTTTGCGTTTCATTTCGTTTTTGACTTGATAATTTATTGTGGTATGATCATATCCTAGTTTCATAGCTCATGTTGTAGTGTCATCGCGATTAATCGATACATCGCGATATACATCGCCAAAGCTGATTCTGGCGATGCATCGATGTCTGAAACAAAACATCGATGTTTTTTAAAAAAAGTCATTTGCTAAAAATCACCCTTTCTTATCTTATTTTGACGCAAATCGCTTAAGGTGCTATGGAACTTAACAGGAAATGACAAAACAGGAAGTGACAATTTTTTTTGCATTTTTAGATATTTTTTGAATAAAGATAACAGAGTTCTGGTTTGACCTCCAGTCAATTTAACTATTGCCACATATCATTTACATGAAAAGGATCACAATGTGCATGGTCAGAATGACCATAAACATGATGAAATAACCTTTTTAGCCCTTTGAAAGTGTGACTGAAAAAAAGCTAAAAGTAGGAGCGTAGGGAAGGTCACTGAACAGAATCTTTTGAATTTTTCAGAAAATGTGCCCAATATATTGCTCTAAATGATACAATCTTTGAAAATTTGATATCATTCATAGAAAAAGAAAAAAAAATGAAAAAACTGATTTGAAAAGCGATCTATTTTCCTTTTTATGAATGCCATTTTTGTTTAAGACAATTTTCTAAAATTTCAAAGATTGTACTAGTTAGAGCATTATATTGGGCACATTTTCTGAAAAATTCAAAAGATTCTGTTCAGTGACTATCCCTACGCTCCTACTTTTAGCTTTTTTTCAGTCACACTTTCAAAGGGCTAAAAAGGTTATTTCATCATGTTTAGGGTCATTCTGACCATGCACATTGTGATCCTGGTCATGTAAATGATATGTGGAAATAGTTAAATTGACTGGAGGTCAAACCAGAACTCTGTTATTTTTATTCAAAAAATATCTAAAAATGCAAAAAAAATTGTCACTTCCTGTTTTGTCATTTCCTGTTAACTTCCATAGCACCTTAACTTTCTCATGTCTTATTTCATTTCCCAATGTTTCCTGATATTATTTCGCTTTAAAACTGTTTTAGCTAGTCGAAATGAACCATTAATCTAAGAAAAATTACTTTACTTTCATTTCACCGTTACTAGAAGTTCCTGGATGAACCAGCGTTCTGTATTTTAGTGCATTAGCGTTCGGTATTTCAGTGCACTTTTCTCGGACTTTTTCTCGATGTACATCGCGATGTGCATCGATGTTTACTACTGAAAATTGCCGATGCATCGATGTACGATTATGGCACATCGCGACAACACTATCATGTTGACAATTATAATGTGTTGCAAAGATAAAAGAAAACAAGAACAAAAAGATATTGATATCGATATAGCAAGTTGCTGCTACAGTGTTCAGCGAAATCACGATCCATGCGAGGAAAAAACATGGCTTCTCACTAGATAGGAAATTAGAGCAATTAACAACAAGGTGTCGAAGTTACCCCACATGTCGAAGTTACCTCAAGATGGTGTCAACGTTACACCCATTTGCCCTACTTTGTGAAAAATAAGACTTTAGCTAAAGAATGATACTGTCACTTACCTTCCAGAAGTTAGTAAAACATTCAACCAAACAGCACTTAAACTTTTTCTGCGTCAACCATTGAGCAGTACTCGAGTCTCTAGCTTACAGCTAGATGTAACTTCATTGATTTCGTAAGTACTCTAGAAAAAGTGCTACATGCATCTAGAACTCATTTTTAATAAATATTTTTATGAATATTAATTATATTTAGGATGGAGCGTTGCTTGTCTGGATTAAGATATTTCAAAATTTCTTTTCGGAGTTTGACACATGGTGAAACTTTCTCGCTGTCTAAAAAATGGCTTCCGGTTCCGGACGTGAATTAATGGAGGAAACTTTGAAATTATTCTCACTTAACTCCGTCATGCCTAATCGATCATATATGATCGATTTGACGGGTTTATGACGTCACCCGATAAAGAAAAATCTTACCAAAATATAATTGCATCTTTCCACACTATTTCCCTATAATTGTTATATAAAGTTGTGAAATAAATATAAATACATTCATAGAATACTGCTTTGTTCACTTATTTTGACCAATTTTGTTGTTATTGACCAAAAAATAATGCAAAAGAAAAAATTCAAATATTTTTGAAATTATTGATTTCCGGTTCGACCAAGAGGCTGAACTGCGAAATTTGAAATATAATTATTGAAATATCAAGCCATCTAGGGGCAACAGATGCACTTTTTGAAACTAGTTTCAAGTATAATAATACTAGGGGTATCAGCGAACGTAGAGAAGATGAGCTAAATGGATGAAAAAGGTTAGAATATGTTCGTTTTCATTCAATTCAATCAAGGCCCGATTTCTGAGAAAAATTCAATTTTCAATTAGATTATCTAAAAATATTTTTTCAATATCCATGCTTTGTGAGATCAGTTCATCAATATTTCCAATTGAAACACATATATAGGGTGTAAAGGGTTACTATATTGTTAATTTTACTACCTTTATGCACCTACAAAACCTTGAATGGCAGATGAATTCACTCTGTTAATTTTTTCACTATTTTTCGTCTTTCCTCACTCTTATAGCTACTGTAAGATGTCATGGCACATTAAAATCTTGTTGCAAGGTGTGTAGGACAATCAACACAAATATATTATGAAAAATGTTGAGTAGTATAGGGAGGGGGGCATAGGAATTCAGGGGGGAGCATAGGGATTCAGGGGGGGTGTATCAGAAGCCTTTGTTGGGGAAACCCATGGAAGGCCAAGCAGTTTGAGGATTAATTGCATGTTCATGATCTATCTGGTTTATTAGCAATCAAATATAATGAGTACATGAACAAACAGACATTCACAAGCAGAAATTTGCTTTTAACACATCTTTATACATCTATTATTTCTTCAAAACATTGTAGAGTCATGATTTTCATCGATTTGTCAAATATCAGTACCTTATCGCAGATCGTCTTTGGTTTATTCTAGTGAGTCGTGACAGTGACAGTATATTATTTTTCTATGCTTCATGTAGTTTATCATTTTAAAGCTGTTATGAAACAGAACTGGGTTATTAAACATTTATCAACTGAATCTCGGGTAATAAAAATTATTTATTCCTGAATATGGAATTAAGTTGACGGAACAAACCGTTCTTGCGTCATCTTATGACATCGCTATATTTTCATAATATATGCAAATTAGGCAAAAACAGTATATGAACAATCCCCCTTAGTATGGCCTATAATATATAATAAAAATTATTCAATTTAAAAGTTTTATTTGTTATAGATTACATATTTCAATTAACATTTCGACATAATTTTCCTAGATTTTCCACGATTCCTGGAATTTTTGGCTCGGCATCGCAAACTTTAGCATAATCTAGTTACACCAAATCATCCTTATACCCATCATGTAATATACCATTTTAAAGCTTAAATCAAGACAAATCCATGTTTTTCAAAATTGCAATAATTGAACAGTATTTGAGAAAAACTGTATTGACTGTAGAGATATGACTCAATTTAATGAAATAAAATGCTCAATTTCAGCCTTGTGACGTCACTATGACATCATTATTTTTGCATAATTTATGCAAATTAGGTAAAAATGAGAAATATGGGTAATTCTCTTCATTTTGATATATGACAGTCATATATTTATATAATATTAAATAAAAAGCATTTAAATTAATATTTAATGCACATTTCACCAATTTTAACCACTTTAAGGATCAGGCGTTAAGGAGAAATCAAATATAACAATAGATTCAGACGGGGATGTGAGCTGATGTTCTTCAAATCTATACATAGAGGTATATTTCATATTATTATGCCATATTTACTGTGCGTGTGACACAATGATTTACAATACAGTATTTATAATACCAAGACAGCTCAATCTTTCTACTCAAAGCCAGAATACAGAGACACGCCTAACCATCGCGTAAGCAGGCGTCACCGTACAGCGTCAAAAAATACAGTAGTACAGGTTTCTGTACGGTGACGAAATTAACTGAGTTGAAGCAAAAACTATAATGAGGGTTTTAAAAAAATTAATTAGATGAAAATAAATACGATTTCGGGTGTAATAAAAACAGCATTCTCTTAGAAGTGGTTTTAACTTTCTAATTATGATAAAAGTTTTTCGACCACTGCTCGGATTTTTTCTAACTGGATCGGCCCACAATTGTTTTTTCGCTTTTTGTTTGGTTATTATTTTTCAAAACTTGCGAAAAGCGCGAAATATAGTAGCGCGCAAAAATTACCGGGAGTACATTAGTATCAAGGTTACTAGAGGTCATTCACCAAAATGGTTTTGAGTAAACAGTAAAACTTGTAAAATCCGAATGCCCAAGTTCACTCAAGCCATTATAACCAGTTACCAAATGATATTGTTACTACGTCAATTGAAATACTCAATTCTGATTAGTTGATGATGTACTGTTGACCGCTACTAGGTACTGTTGACCGCTACTTTTGAAAAAATGTTTTTTTAAATGTTTTTAAAAAATTGAAAAAATAAGTTGGGAAAAAAATTACAAATATTCGACAGTTTGGGGATTTTTTTGCTAAAATATGAGACCTACACTTATCAATATTATGTTCATGTGATATTCAATGATATAACCTTCCATTTATTATATTCTTCAGACTAACAAAACAATTGTTTTACTTCTCTATTCGGTCAACTGGCAAAAGTGTATACCTGAACAGTAAACCTTGAGAGTACTTTCAAGGTTTACAGTATCAGTGTACAATTTTGCCAGTTGACCTCAAGAAAGGTCTACAATTGTATAATGTTAACTGATATGCTTCTTGGATACATGAAAGAAGTTTTACAATTGTATGTACTACTTCAGAATGTACTACTTAAAAATACTAATCCAAGATTCTTGAAAAATGGTATTTTAAAGAAATGTTGAAAATATTTGAAAGGATATGTAATAAAGTATTGTATACAGGCACCATTGTTTATTGAAAAAACAACAATTTGAACAAGACAGAAATCTATAACTACTGTGAATAATAAAAGTCTCTCTGTTGCAGGTATCTGATGATGAGGATGATATTCATCCGAACATCGATACCCCAAGCTTGTTTAGATGGCGCCACCAAGCACGAGTTGAACGCATGGAGAAAGATAAAAAAGAAAAAGAGGAGTTTGAAGGAGGTTACACAAAGTAAGTGTTTAATCAATCTAGTGTGGCTAAAAAATGTAGTAGTTCAATATATTCTCTGTTGAAATTCCAGGCTATTTAAATTATATAAAAAATTGACCATTTTGAAACTTCTTTGTTTATCCCTTAGTTTAAAAATCTCTGTGATAACTAGAGTAAGAGATATACGTGGAATGTAGAAAATAAAAGATAAAATATTAAGATTAAAACTCAGGCCATTGTGCTGTGACAGAAATTGCATTTACTTTAGTTATTATTGATACGAAGAAAAGAATTCAGGGAAAGGTATCTCTCAACATTGTTTACTTATTCCTTTCCTAAGAAAAAGATGATTGTTGATTATCACAGATTCAAAAAACAAAATTGCGGAAAATATAAATAGCTCAGAATTATATCTTGGTTTATTATAGAGATCCATAAAATGTTTTCCTAACATCTATTGTCATTGATTAGATGCGTATGATCAACAAAGTTCCATTTATCAGCGCAAAATATGATATACCCAGGACAGCAAAACATTTCATGAAGAATGTATTCCATCGCTAACTCAAATACCAGTTGAGAGATTTGGTCCAAAATTGAAAATTTATATGCTGATGCCTTGGGACCATGGGACCTCTGCTAAGGAAAATTTTCAAAATATCTGCTGAATTAAATTGGCCACAATTGCTGCTACTAATCATGCTGTGTTTTTACCTGTACATGACAACCACTAATGAGGCTTTTTATTTTTTTATTTCTTTATACTTCAGCTATCAAAGGAAGATGAATGAAATGAGGAAAAAGATCAGAGAGGCCGAACAAATGGATGTGAGTAACACACAAATTACAAATCAATATCTCATTTCAACATGTCGGAAACCAGGATATATATTGGATTTATGCCACTTTTCACCATTTACCCTCAAAATATACAAAATGTGATGTTTAATCTGGTTACTTTTTTCACTTAAACAGAAATTGTGTAAATTAGATTGAAATTAAAAATCTTAATTTCTTGTCATCACTTTAAGGTATTCAAGAGGTAAAAAAATTACCTCACAGAGGTTACCAATTTTATGACAATGTACTGTACATGTGAATATTTCAATTATAAGACCTGTGAAAGTATTTTCCATCCTTTTAATTAACACATAATTGGTTAATTAAAGCGTACCTCACAGTGTTTCTTGTAATACTCAAGTTTTATTGATTAGTTCTTTTATATTGAATACCTATTACTACTGGAAAGAAAAGGAGTGAAAACATGGGAAAATGTAAAAGTAATGCTGTTTTCATAATTATGAAGTGCTATCCCCACGATTTTTTATGGGGAGGATTTTGCTATTTTTTGCTTTTTTCATTTTTTGTTTTTGCACATTTTAGAATTTTAAATATTGTGTTACCTTTTAAGATATTTGAACAGAGTCTCAATGAATAATTGAGGGGAGATCTGGAAATAAAGAATTAATTGCAGGTAGACTGGTTGTGATTTATGCATGTTAATCTGGAAGACAGACCAAGGAACCCCTTCTTAAATGAGCCCTGTATTATTTTAAGTGTACCCATCCATGGAAATACAAGTACACACCGTGGCCTTTTGTACGAGTCATGTTGTATTTCGTTTCTAGGAAATGACAGGTGACCTTCAAAAGATGAAGATGGAATTTGCAGAATTGGAAAAACATGAGAAAGAATGGAAAGAGAAAGAAGAAGAACTAAAGAAAAAAGAGAGAGTAAGTTGTATATTGTGTTATATTGACAGCCATATTTAATCAGTTTATGCTTCAGTTAATGTGTTTTCTATTGAGATTCATCTCACATTTGTTCATAATTTGAACTCATAAAGCAATGTTTATAATTCATCATTATGGTTCATCATTTCCTTTGTTTCATCAAGCCTGCATTTTCATTACCAGGTAAACATGATACCAAAATACACAAACTTGCACATACAATACTAATTTATTTGGTATTTTGATTTCAGCTGGCACCACAGAATATAGACACACTTTGTAAGGAAGGCAAAAGTAAAACAGTAAGTGTTACGATTTTCTAAATTTTACTAATATGAGGAATGTAGATGAGCTTTGTCAAACTACCTTACACTGTAATTCAGTCTATGTGTACATATCCATGTATTCTTGCACCAAGTCCTTGTAGGTCCTGCCTACATATACAATTTGTACAACTCAAATTTCAGAAATACTAAGCTTTAACTTTAACCAGAAATGAAATATTCAGAAGATTCTTAATTTACAATGAAGTGCAGAGCCCAACTAAAAAACTTGATGATCTACTGATTGACCTAAAAGTCTGTTTACATTTACAGATTGTTTAATAACCGTAAACATATTTTTGGATCACCCTGTATATTTGTTTTCAGATTATAAACAAAGTTGAGAAGCCAAAGGAACTTACAGAAGATGAGAAGCTTGATAAGCAGGTAACTAAAGAGAAAAATGCTTTACAGCATATTGATGAAATTTGGATGTGGGGAATGCCAAGTACTGTCCCCACAGGTGTTTCTGCCATCACAATTCATTTCCTCAAAATCAGGTGTATTGCTAAATAGTAATAAAATTCTCTAAAAATCTGTGACCAAATTGTAGTAAAAAATAAGTCTATTTTCTGTTTTTTATAAGAAAGAAAAATGTGAGCCAAAAATGTAAAGTATATATTTAAGAAAGGTCTCTGATACTTATTCCCTATTGTTCTTGTTTTTAGGTTGAAATGCAGAAAAAACATGAAAAAGACATGAAAAAATATGGAATGTTACGTAAATATGAAGACAGTCAAACTTTCTTGGTAGAAAACCCACATCTAGTTTGTGAGGAGACAGCTAACTATTTGGTGGTCTGGTGTATTAATCTAGAGATGGAACAGGTATAAGTACAGTACAGATAGTAGTCCATAGTAGTTGAAATAGTAGTCGACCCTCAAGTCAATTTATATCAGTTCTTGATGATGTTAGGTCATGCTACAGTTGATAAGTTAATGGGGAATTAAAAGAAAAGTGAAATTACATGTGAGATGAGCAGAAATGTTCTCCTGATAATTCCCATACTTTCTTTTTATGATTTTATTTAGAGTGAGACATACTGACATAACTAACATTTAGTCACTAAGCTTGTATGCCCATTATGGGCAGATTAGAATTAGTCATCTGGAGCAATATCTCTAAAACATTGTGCATAACCTTTTATAAAATTCTGAATTTATTTGCATTTTAATATTAAATTTTGGCAGAATTTTTAGCAATTGTAATTAACAATATTTATGAGAGAGGGGCCATTGACTAATAAACTTCGACCTTGAACACTACATAGACTTATACAAACATGCTAAAACAGGTCTTACAGTTGTCCCCAAATTAAACACTTCAACTAACTTCACATTTTTCAATCTCAAGTCATCTCACCATGCCTTCCCTTGTGAGTGCAGTTTTGTTCACATTTTCTTGTTATATTGCAGAAACATGATCTCATGAACCATGTTGCCCATCAGACCATTGTAATGCAGTTCATCCTGGAGTTGGGAAGACAGACAGAGGTTGACCCCAGAGGTTGTATCCGACCATTCTTCTCTAGGTACAGAGATCACGATAGTTGAAAAAACTTGTTAGCCATTGTGGCTAAATCTTCCAAAAAATTTTTCGCCAACCAAAATATGAATTAGCCATTTTGAAAAACCGTAAAAAAGGGAACATTAAAATGATCCAATGTCTGATGATGACAGTTTCACTTTCAGTTTCACTTTTCAAAATCATATTCAGAAATAAAAAAACGTCAATTAAAATTGAATGTAAAGCATCTGCCGCGAATGTGATCGGCATTTCACATAGTCTGCACGGTGTAATATCACCAATTCGTTTATCTTGTGATATCGGAGTCCCAAAATACTTCCAAACTGCCGACTTTTTCGACTTAGATGCCGGCTCGATTTTTCAATTTCTTTCCTACATCCGGCATACTGATAATGCACTCGATTTGCGAACGACGATGAAGAAATTTACGAACAAGTATTACCATCTACCTGAAATCGCGGGTCCGTTAATAACACTTTTCAATGCAAAGAAGTGTAATCTAGGTACGAGGTAAGTGAAAATATTTAATTTTTCAGAACGAAATAGGAGGTGTTCCTCGCTATTTATACACGTTTTTATGCATTTTGGGGAAGGAATGTATGTACCGATATTAACCCTTTCTGTCCCATGTCCCGAACCGAAGCATCCGGACCGAAATTCGGTCCAATATCGGGAAACCGTGACACTCCTAATTCGCCATAACTGCGAAATACCTTTACATATTTTTCGCCACCTCTTTCGAAAATTCGCGATTGGCGAATGGCGAACGTCTACCGTGATCTCTGCTAGGTATGAATGTAACGCACATTAGATATATATTTCATCACAATAGACCTTTCCAATATACCTTTTGATACATCAAAAAAGTTAATACATTGAGTAGATTGTATGCAGCAATCTGCAAGCAAAGAATAAGATTACCTTATTATTAATTTAGAAAATTTTCAAATTTCAAAAGGTGGCAGGATTAATTGAAAAGAACGATTAGAAGGGGTCTTAGTTAGCTTCAATTTTCTCCACTAGATGGCTAACTTTGGTCTGATAACCTTTTGAATTTAATTGTATAAACCTTTACTCTGGCTTTTATTTCATAATCAAACAGGTAGAAAACATATCTTAAGAGTCATGTGACTTGATCTAACAAGTCATATCAGTCAAATATGGTCACATGATCACTCAGATGCATGATGGGAACATAAATCCAAGTGCATAACTGTGTTTAAATAATTGTTTACTTCAGAATCAAGCTGGCAGAGCAGACATATCTTGATGCATTCAATGATGAGTTGAATAGCTTTAAAGAGAGGATCCGTAAGAGAGCTAAGGAAAAGCTTGACAAAGCCATGAAGGAACTAGAGGAAGAAGAGAGGGAAAAGAGACTGGGACCAGGTGGTCTTGACCCTGTTGAGGTCATGGACTCACTGCCTGAGGTATGAAATTAAAGCAACATGTTTTGATACTTTTAAGTCATAGTGTTGAAGGAGGCATAATTAATGTAAAAATTGGAAAAAAATCAATAAGCATTTGGTGGCCAATTGTTCAATGTTGCCCTTTTTCCAAATGCAAACTAATATTATTGAGAATGGAGATGGCATGTTACAAATGAACTGCTTTAAACATTAGATAGGTTTTAATGACAGAATAGCCTGATTCTATCCCCTTCTGAAAAACCTGATGATGTAGATAAGGGGTTGAAGCAAGACTGTAGTAGTGCATATTTTGCAAGTTTGTCTATTTGATATTGCAGGTTTTACAAAAGTGCTTTGAGAGCAAAGATATTCAGCAACTACAAGATGCCCTGCTTGCAATGCCTAAAGAAGAGGCAGAGCTTCATTTAAAACGCTGCATAGACTCAGGACTTTGGGTCCCCAATGCCAGGGAAGCTGATGAGGCTGCATCAGGGGAGGGGGGACAACAAGAATCTGAGGAAGGAAGAGGACAATAAATCCTGGGACTTTTTATGTTGAAAATGTGAACTGTATTGTTCTAAAGTCTGTATTTTGTAGTCTAATATACAGGCTCAAAAGATGGACCTCGTGGGTTCAGTGTTTCTTAGAGTCTGCAGTGGACTAAATGCATATTCTATAGATAGGCCTTTGTACATTATGAACTGAAATGAAAGTTAAGCCAAAGTTAATGCTGCCACATATAGAATTTAAGGTGATAGGAGACCATCGATCTGCTATTTTCTGTTATGATTTTTTATTTCAAACAAAATTGTACGCCATTTATGACAAATTGTGGAACTCAACGCTTTATCTAATGTGTACTCTTTAAAACTGGCTTCTTTGTTGGAATAACTAACTTGAAGGGTCTGGGTGCTTTTATAAGATAATTTCAATGCACATGAGTAAACTGAAAACTTATAATTTGTCAAAGCATGTTTTGTTATTATTATTACAATATAAGAATGGATGTGAATAGTTGTTGATATTCAACAATTTTTTACTTTTAACTCAAAAATATTTCAGCTTTCCATGTTCAGGTTATGTATAAATTATGTACAGTATGTGTATTACAATGAAATTCCTGTTTCTATAGAAATACAATTTAAAAGAATATAACAATAAATAAGTTTCTGTTAGTTCTGCTTGATGTTGATATTCATGTCACCACCAAAATATTAAACATTTTTAGCACCCCTTGTTCTCTATTGGCATCTGTGCAATGTATCAACGTGTAACATTTTTTATGCCACCACAAGAAGTGGTGACATATTGTTAAAGTCCCAACTGTTTGTGGACAGTATTTTTGTAGTTGGTGTCTCTAACAAATGGCAGGTGGTGACAATTGTAGAGGTTATGTCACTTTCGTAGACCTTGGACATATATACCCAAGGTTCTCAGTAATATGACCCGACCTTGGGAGGGCCATTGATCTCTAAGAATGAGGGCATATGTGCCACATGAGTGACAAATGATTTCCAACATACCTATGATGATGTAGACTTGTCAGAGAATGTTTTCTTATCTAATTGACTAACACATGGGGAATTTGGTGGCTACTTTATCTGGTGGACAAACAATTTGGCAGATCCATCAAATTAAAACAGCCACAAAAACCTGTGTAGTAGTCCCAGCACCTTGACCAATCAGAAAGTAAGCAGCTACAGCTTTTCAAAACTTAATTTTAGCCCAGTTTCCATACATCATTATGTGTATGTTATAATGCATGATAATGTCTTGTACTATACAATGCACCAATTATTCCCTTAGATGATTAGTCAGTGTTCATAATACCTTTGTCATGTATTATTCAGAAGTCATTCAGGCCAGCTTGTTTGAGCAGCACTGGGAATAATTCTTGATTCAGTAATACTATTTCAATCTGACTGAACATCTGCTCTGCATAACATATTCAACCTTTATTATAGTAATCACTAAACAATACACATTATTTATATTTTATATACATTCTATTTATTAGTAGTTTATTTCCATGATTGTAAGGCAGTATGAGGTATATTTGGTATGCTTCTAAAGCAGGGACAATATCTTTGTAAACCACAACTCTTATTAACAAACTCAGGAAGTCTTGTATCAATCCCTTTTTCACCTGTTTACACACTGCAAAGATCACATGCATGTTTTGTTCTATTGTCAAGGCAACTTAGTATTCATAAATGATGCGATTGTTTGTTACTTCATTGTTCTATAACAAAAACAACCAATCACAACAGTTGTATAATTGCCCATTTCCTAATATGGCCCAAGAGATTTTTCTCAGGTATTGTGATTGGTCTATAATATATCATATCTCCTATCACAAGAGTATTGATCACAATACCCCCAAAGGGTGCTAAAAAACATAAACGGACAAAGGGTATACTGGGATATTATATGAAGATTTTGTATAACATTTGTGAACCTTTAGCACAATGATGGAAAATAATACAGATTCAGATGTGTCAGGTTAAGAAATGTTATACAAAACCTCTTAGAAAAGGATTTCTTAAGCACTACCATGGTTACAAGTCATCTCATAAAATGAAACACTACTGTACACGCATAAATTATAATGTGGATAATTACAAGGAGTACATGTCATTTATGTACAATGATTTTCTGCTAAATATTTACTATTTATTTACAAGTAAGTAAAAGAAAACACCCATTGATGTTTGGAGAAATGCTTAACTTTAAAACAATGAAAATAAATTATGTTTTACCTAAAAGGTGATCCAAGGAATGACAACATTTATGTAGCAATTCAAACAGTACTTATATGCTGCCATTTCTAAGATGCATTTAAAAATGTTATGTCGTCACTCCCGCATGTTTTATGCATTTAAAATGTACAATTTTGTATTTCCATAGTTCTGAAACCCAAACTTTGTCTGAATTTATGCATAATTTTCATTTAGTGTCATTAATACAATAACAATTGATGTGAAATTAAATTCCCATTATATAAAACTATTTAAATATTATCAAAAATAACATCACATTCAAGTAAAATTTAAGCACAGGTGGAGCTTCCCGATTTTCACATTTTGGGATTTTGTGTACTTTATCATAGAATCCGACACTTCATATTGTCATAAATGAAACCAAACGTCATTTTGAGAGATGATTTACAAGATCTAGAAAATAATCTTTATATACTAGAGGAAAGGACTGCTCCTCCATTCACCTCACATATTATGTTCTTCATTGGGGACTATAAGATTCAAATAAAGGCGAGTCATTTAACCAATCTATTGACTTCATCTAGGCTCTAAGCTTCCATATTCCCAAACGCCTCAATATTCCTATTTCAACCACCAAAATACATTGGTATTTTGACAATTTCAAATGTAAAAGTAATCATACGACATGTAGGTCATTTATCGCCTGATCACTAGGCCTTTTAGCACTAGATTTCTCATTTAGTTCATTGTATTGCACTCAGAGTGAGACTGTCCTCACCAATTGTATTAGGCAATGGTATTAACTTTCCAATATATCACCACTTAGCAAATCAAAAATGACAATTTGACTATAATCTTATCAAAAGTTGTTGTGGTATTATGTCAAAAATAGAATACATATTTTATTGTGACATTTTCAATAGAATGTGACATCAAGAAAAATTAATTCATAAAAATATATAATTACTTATGACTCGTCATTAAGATTTGTTGACTGTGTTGAACTTGAAGAGTACAACTGCCCTGGAACTCTGTATCATCCAACTATAATTACATACAGTAAAACATATCTCCAGTGAACACTGTTTGGACCAGCTAAAATTATTCACATTTGGCAGTTATCCCGTTAAGAAATCCACTGAAGTAAGATTTAATGTGATGTTCCAAATACACATACTGGACATTGAGTGTTCACAATTTGTCATGTTCACTTTTAGAGATGTGTTCATCTGTATTTATACAGGTTTTGACTTTCTTATGTATGTCTAACATAAACAACAAAAATGACATGCTCCATATAAAGCACACTAGATATCACTCACATGTTTCCTCCCTTCCAGAGGTACATGGTCTGAATTTGGAGAGTGAAAAAATATAATATTGATGTGTCCAGAAATACAGCCGGAAATTTCATTCTAATTGAAGATATACCAATTACATTACACCCAAATGTACAGTGTCTAATAATGATGACCACATCAATTTAAATAGCATTGTGCATAACTCATTATATTATATATGGCTTATGTAGTATTGTACAGTATATGTATGCATGTATGATATAATGCACATTTCAAAATTCAAAATTATTTTCATAAATATCACTGATAACTCATAAATTCACCTCTAATACATGGCATTTTTGTGTCACCCTGTAGTTAGTCAGCTCATAGACTTACAAAAACATACTAAAGAGACACATTTCTTAAAATATTGTATAAAATAGTTGTCTTGTTTTTTTTTACCATGGAAACCATACACTTGATATTCTAATGATTATATTATATCAGGATCTTCTTCCATCTATCACATAACTTGAACTGTCTAGGCTTACTCTGTGTACTAGACCACAATTTGTGATTTACTGCATATTTAAAGAATAGATGAACCTTAACCCAAATAACCAACTACTTATATGGTGTATTCACTTATAATTTTATAGAATTTTTTCAACCGGATGTTGAAAAACTAGGAAGTTAAGCTACATGTTTTTAAAGATTTCTACTTAAACATATACAATTATGGTTCTCTATAGATCAACTCTCCCCTTTGTAGTATTTACTTACCCTAGCTGATTTAGGATAAAGGTTGAAAGAAATTTGTTAAACTTAGGTCCCTAAAAACCCAATTAATAGAACAGTGTACTAGAATAAAGTAGCACTTTTTTTTTACTGCTTAGCTATCATGTCTGCTCAAAACAGGTAAGCATTTATTAAAGATCCTAAATTGTATCAGGCTATTGATGGTGCAGGTTTTAGATCATTTAAAACAGTTTGAAAAGATTTAGGATCAGTATTACAGACTAAGTAGAGATAACCTTTTTAAGTCCTTCCTTGACTTACAATTGTATAGATCTCCCTGGATCACTTGTCTCAATATCTAGTAATCATAATAATTTCTGGATCTCTAGTGTTGTGGATCTTTTGTGCTGATCAAATTGTTGATCCAATCCCCTGAATCTCTTGTGCTGGTTCAGCCTCCTGGATCATTTGCCTTAATCCCCATATATCTCTTGTGTTGATCAATTCCACTGACTCTATTTGTATTGATCCCCTTGAATCTCATGTCTCGATCCCCTTGGATCTCTTTAGCAACTCCCTCTTAATTACCAGTGTTTATCCTCATATTTTTAAATTGCACAATTGAGCCATTGTAATATAATTGCTTTCCACAGGTTCAAGCTTTCATAGATTTAGGCAATCACAAAAGTGAATACAGCACATGAGCAATATTGTAGGATATTTTCAAGAATTCAATATTCAATTCAATATCAGATTTTTATCCAGACTTCCAACAAATCACATCTCAACAAGAGTTATTTTTATTGGTTCACTTCACATCATTTTGCGATGCATTCTGGATACTTGAGTGCTCCTCTGAGATTGGCAACAATGAAGCTGTACGATGAAGTCCAGGACCAGGGGGGCTGATGGTCGGACTCCTCCCTTGGGCAGCCATTGAGGGCATTGAGGCTGTTCGCCGCACACCAGCAGGGGGAGGGAGAGCAGCAGATTGAACAGTGTAGTCGGAGGTAGGGTTGTACATCTGGCGATATTTATTGCGCTCATTCCGAGGTGGACTGAACACGGATGTGTAAGTCTGGAACAAAAAATAAAATAGAGTTGAAAATAATTAGGTTAAAGGCATCAGGTTAATATATGAATTCTGTCCTAAAACATTATTTACATGGCTGTTTCCCAAAATGGATTGAACTGAGAGGGTGCTTCCATCCTTTCAGAAATTGATGTACGAGGGGGGATTCATAAGTAGTGAGACAAATGCTATAACTTCACTTATATCAACCAGATTTTATTCAAACTTGGAACACAGAACCACAAACATGTGATAATCATTGTGTGAAAATTTCAAAAAGTTACACCCAACTTTAGTAAAGTGAGAGTTCCAATCATGACGTCACAACAGGGTCCACGGAGCACATTGTTTGTCACTAATTGCTAGTTAAATATAAAAGTCTCAACTGATATTCAGGACATGATCTAATCCGTGATTTTTAGCGAGTCCTTTTGAGGAGCACATCAATTCTATGCAAGACTTTTGATTTCTTATCCTTCTGGTGCAGTCTCACTCTTTCTCAAAGTATTCACCATGACAATCAATGCATTTTTGGCATCTCCTCAACCATTCTAGGTATGCACCCTCAAAACCATATTTTCCAAGATTAGTCATCTCGGCTCTCACAGCATATTCAGAATACATATACAGAATACCACCTATATACTGTAGATTTTTTTACTTCTTGTTTCCCATAGATTTCCAACAAACCTCTATAGGTCTCTAATACTGAAAACTTCTTCAAAGCATCAAATTTAATCACAACACGGATGTTTATACGTGATTCTTGCCTTTTTATTGCTATTTTAATCAAATTTTGCTCCATCCAAGAAGGACTGAAAATGGCAGTGTCCTGATGTCAATGCTTTGTGTGACATGATGTGTAGCATGATGATGTAATATATGTTACAGTTGTCATGACTACAAGGCTTGAGACAATATGAAACCAAATATTTGAAAATAACTGTCATTTTGAGATATTTATGAGCATATTTATGTTGATCAAGCCCTTCATTTTTTAACTGCTCCGTTAACCCCTACTTTTGGTTACCATAGCAACCGTTGTTGCTAGGGAACAAAATGAATTAAATTGAAATTTCACAAAACAATGCCTTATATTCTAGTCCGTTCATGTGCCAAATTTGGTTGAGATATGTACACAGGGACTTGCTGCCTCAGAAAAGTCCCACTACTTATGAATCCCCCCTCGTACGTATGCTGAGAAGTCATGAGGAAGTTTTACTCAATCCAAAATCTTATTCATTAAGATCTCGTAAGCAGCAAAACAATATATATTTCTTTTTCCTATTCAAAGGGTGTCGGAGGGTCTATGTGTCTCAGAGTACAGTGTACTTCATATAATACAATTTGATTTGCTTGGTTATTTACTTTTGCATCTTAATTATACACTAAATATATCATGAGTGGGAAATAACCTACCCCATCCTGACTACGAGGTAACAAGTCCTCCTGGTCCTGCGGGGATGACTCTATTGGGTGAAATATGACCAGCATGACACCTATTGGCAGGAGGAACTTAATCACCATAAACGTCCCAAACACTGGTGAGTAGATTTCCTGCATGTGATTCTGAAATGGTTAATATATCAGTTGAGTATTGGCAGATTCCAGCATTATTCATCATTATGGATATTACCGTTGTCTCATACCGCAACTTTGATTTCTTTTGTATTCATTTCTTCATAATCTAGTGGGCATCACTGCATGACACAAATTGCATGCAATTCTTTAATGCAAAGAGGTATATCTAGCAATTTAATTTCCTACTCATTTCACCTCTGTACAATTTTGTATTGATGATATTTATCTTTAATTTTGACATAATTTGGGTTTTATACATGTTATCATTGAAGCTATCAAAAACTGCATCAAAAGAATAATTAAATAAAAGCAAAATTGAATAAAAAAAATAAGATTTTATCGAGATTCTTAAGAAAATGTTCCTTTACTTACAAATATACCACTGCAACCTTTTGTTTCATCCCCCACTGCAAATAAAATATTTACAAATAAATGATCATTCACTTTAATCTAACACAAAATGATTTGTATCATTATGATTATTATACTTCACTCACATGATATCAACTTGCCTATATTTACATAAGTTCTTATACTTTGAGTTTGAAAATATAAATTAGGAATCATACTACTGTTTTGAACAATTTCTTTCGTTCAATGTTAAAAAGATTCCATTCAAAACTGACCAAAATATCTGAATATTATATGATGTCAAAATCATTCTCAACTGAGTGCAAAAAGCTCTGCTTTAATGCCTGGAAGATGAAAACTATATCTTTTGACTTCATTCCTTACTACAATCGTATAATAATGATATCTGCATTTCACTTACATGCTTGGAGAACTATATCATAGACCATCCCAAACAATGCAGACAGCTCAAATGCCCCAATTATGCTGCAAAAGAAACATAATGCAATTATGAATACGCACAGCCCTGGTCAGAAGTGACAAAGGTTGGCCAGGGCCCTCGTATGGGGGCCATATTGAACTCGGCATAGCCCTTGATTAATACTGTAGAAATAAGATGCTTCGTGCACAAAAAAGTTATAAAGTTGTCACAGTTTTGCTCTGATTTGGCACTTCCTGAACATAACTATCCATTAATTTCACTCTAGTTTTTTCTTACCTCCACAAGTCACGTTTCTGTGCCCTTCGTACAGATTCCAGCGTGCTTATCTCATTGAGTCGACGTGTTATGTAGAATCCAGCTAACATAAACACCTGGACAAGAGCAAACTCTGCTGCCGACATCATAATCCAATATGGCTCTAGAATAATGTAAAATTAAAGACTGTCATGTAATAATGAACTGATATAATAAAATAGTTTTCTCTGAAAAAATGAATAAAGCTGTTTAAAACTATTATATAAACAGAGAGATGAACTTACATAGGACTGTCAGGAAGTTTTCATTGATCTTATATACAGTGGTAAAGAATTCCTAGGACAAATTAGGTAAATAATTTCAAACAGTTATACCTTGTAATGTGAAGATTTTCTGACTTTTGATCTAAAATTACTCGAAGTTTAGGTTGCATGACGACAGGACTCTTCCTCAAATCATCTCATTTCTAGTAATTATATTGTCCTTTCAATGCCTCATGGGCAAGAAGCTTGTAATACAAAAATATAAAATAAAAGTAAACAGAGAGAAATTTAAATCTCACCTAAGCACTCTACAAATGTTGTCTTAACTTGTGTGATACCCAGTAGAGCTACAACAGTGAAGTATATATAGGCCACTGTCAGACATGGCAGTAACACCCTGGAAAACATAAGCATCATAATAGATCATACAGGGTGCTTAATAAGGATTGCAGGCCAACTGATCAAAACTGAAATTGATTGGAAACTGGGGCTTTCTCAACAAGACAAAAGGAATTAAATTGTATGTGATGTTTAGAAGAAAGTATTTCATGAAGTGTAAACAACTAAAGGCAGCCAGGGCCTAAAGACCTGTTTAAGACACGATTGTCAATAAATTATAAAATAAAAAAAATATATATATACAGTAGAACCTCCTAAGTGGAACACCTCTGTAAGTGGAACACCTTACAAGTGGAACAGTGTTTTTAAAGTCCCATGGCAAATTTATTCCCATAAGTGAAATACCTCACAAGTGGAAGACATTTCTGTGGTCCCAAGGGTGTTCCACTTAGACAGGTTCTACTGTAGGTCTTACTCTTTAAACTCCTTACCAATTAGTGAGCCTCTCGCGCTTTAGCACTCTTGTGGCAAGCATCCAGTAGAAGTGAGATACAACAAGAAACTGTGTCAACTTCAAATGCTGCATGACAAAATCCATCTGAGCAAACTTTCCAAGCATCCAGTGTACACCACTGCAATTGAAAATTCAAATTCAGATTTTCTGAGATAAGACAATTGTTTATTTTCAATCACCTTTGCAATCTTTTTACATATGCAATCTAGCCTACAAATCATGATTCCTTTGGTTTCTTTATTATAATTTTATACTGTTTAGGTGGATGAATTTTACAAGCGAGAAGTCAATTTTTCTAGTTGATAATACAAAGGGGGTTTGATAGATTAAAAATGGAGGAACATTACAGTATAGAGAATAAAATAGACAAATCTAAACAAAAAACCTCGTGAATAGTGTTTAGAGATGATGTCACACATGATGTTTGTATGAATATTTATATTAAATAAAAATGTTGTAAGTCAACCTAACCTAATATTTTCTTCAGACTAACAAAACAGGTATAACTGCATTCAGTTGAATGTCGAAACTAAACCCATTTTGTGTAAACCTCAACATGCAGTCTCAGTTTACATTGTCAGAAAATAATTGTGTACCGTATACTCACCAAATAGCACACTCGACTGCGGCACAATAGAATATAATATACTGGTGTAGTGTAGGATGGCGGTTCATATGCAATGTATACTCACCAAACTGCACACTCGACAGCAGCACAATAGAATACAATATACTGATGTAGTGTAGGATGGCGGTTCATATGCAATATATACTCACCAAACAGCACACTCGACTGCGGCACAATAGAATATAATATACTGGTGTAGTATAGGATGGCGGTTCATATGCAATTGTATACTCACCAAACAGCACACTCGACTGCGGCACAATAGAATATAATATACTGGTGTAGTGTAGGATGGCAGTTCATATGCAATTGTATACTCACCAAACAGCACACTCTACAGCGGCACAATAGAATATAATATACTGGTGTAGTGTAGGATGGCAGTTCATATGCAATTGTATACTCACCAAACAGCACACTCTACAGCGGCACAATAGAATATAATATACTGGTGTAGTGTAGGATGGCGGTTCATATGCAATGTATACTCACCAAACAGCACACTCGACAGCGGCACAATAGAATATAATATACTGGTGTAGTGTAGGATGGCAGTTCATATGCAATTGTATACTCACCAAACAGCACACTCGACTGCGGCACAATAGAATATAATATACTGGTGTAGTGTAGGATGGCGGTTCATATGCAATGTATACTCATCAAACTGCACACTCGACTGCGGCACAATAGAATATAATATACTGGTGTAGTGTAGGATGGCGGTTCATATGCAACGTATACTCACCAAACAGCACACTCGACTGCGGCACAATAGAATATAATATACTGGTGTAGTGTAGGATGGCGGTTCATATGCAATGTATACTCACCAAACTGCACACTCGACTGCGGCACAATAGAATATAATATACTGGTGTAGTGTAGGATGGCGGTTCATATGCAAGGTATACTCACCAAACTGCACACTCGACTGCGGCTCAATAGAATATAATATACTGGTGTAGTGTAGGATGGCGGTTCATATGCAATGTATACTCACCAAACTGCACACTCGACTGCGGCACAATAGAATATAATATACTGGTGTAGTGTAGGATGGCGGTTCATATGCAACGTATACTCACCAAACAGCACACTCGACAGCGGCACAATAGAATATAATATACTGGTGTAGTGTAGGATGGCGGTTCATATGCAACGTATACTCACCAAACAGCACACTCGACAGCGGCACAATAGAATATAATATACTGGTGTAGTGTAGGATGGCGGTTCATATGCAACGTATACTCACCAAACAGCACACTCGACTGCGGCACAATAGAATATAATATACTGGTGTAGTGTAGGATGGCGGTTCATATGCAATGTATACTCATCAAACTGCACACTCGACAGCGGCACAATAGAATATAATATACTGGTGTAGTGTAGGATGGCGGTTCATATGCAATGTATATACTCACCAAACAGCACATTCGACTGCGGCACAATAGAATACAATATACTGGTGTAGTGTAGGATGGCGGTTCATATGCAATGTATACTCACCAAACTGCACACTCGACTGCGGCACAATAGAATATAATATACTGGTGTAGTGTAGGATGGCGGTTCATATGCAATATACTCACCAAACAGCACACTCGACTGCGGCACAATAGAATATAATATACTGGTGTAGTGTAGGATGGCGGTTCATATGCAACGTATACTCATCAAACTGCACACTCGACTGCGGCACAATAGAATATAATATACTGGTGTAGTGTAGGATGGCGGTTCATATGCAACGTATACTCACCAAACAGCACACTCGACAGCGGCACAATAGAATATAATATACTGGTGTAGTGTAGGATGGCGGTTCATATGCAGCTTGATGATCTTCAGTACGCAGAACAGACCGATTACAGTTACAAATAAAGTCATTACACCATTCCTGGAAGATAAGATCCAAATAACATAAAATAAGAGTTTGGGACAAAAACTTTGAATTTTCATCAGAGACATAATGGGGGTTCTGAATAAGAAATAATATGATCTGAAATTATCCTGATTTGTGGCATCTTTTTGAATTTTAAATTAATTTTTTCTTAAACACAGAACAAGCTACAGAAAGTAAATAAGAGACAACTGGGTACAAAGCAACTTCAGAGTAGCGAATCCCACCAAACAAAACATTTTCTATCAAATCACTCCTCTTTTAAACTTTTCATGATAGTAAAAAAATAATATACAAAGGAACAATGGAAACAGTGAGACTTTTTCGATGTTATAAGTTCTTGGAAGTCGAAGATGATCCGTACCCTAGTGATAACATCTTAACATTTCGCTCCAATTCTGACATTTACATGACACTTTCACAACAATATTTTTGACATGACATTTATTTGCAACATATGTGACCTTAAATTAGGGTTTAGATACAAGATTATTTCACAAAAGAAAACGTATCTACAGATGCTTAATACATACTTTACTTAAGGCTAAGCTGAGGTTGCCATGACAAAAACACCAATAAAAACAGTTTCATATTACTTACTAAAATTATAGAAATTTGGTAAAACTTGTCAAATAAAACCTGTTCAATTCAACATCTGATCTATTCAGTCTGTTAACAAAATATCTGAATAGTTGGAATTTGATGTTACTAATATTTTCAATATAGCCATTTACAAACTTACAACTTTTGAAAATTGTGGCTCGACAAGCTGATCTTGTGAAAGTTCAATTTAAAGTTCATTATGTTCATTACTAAAGCAAAATGATGGCACAGTGATTTTCAATGAAGTCTCACGACCTCTGTGCTCACATAATAATCTCTATATGCAGGGGTTACACTAGAATTTCTCACAACAGGCTAAATAAATGAAAACAACAAGTCCATCAAAACAGGTCCTGTAGCCAGGGGGTTCGACCCCCCGCCCCCTCCCGACAAAATATCCTTCCAGAATCATGCAGTTTTTCACCATTCTGAGCTCTTTTTAAGTGATTTTTGCCATTTTGGACCAAAATTGTCAAAAGGTGAACCCCCTGGAATTTTTCAAAAAGTGAACACCCCTTTGGCAAATCCTGGCTATGGGCCTGAACACACTGACAGCCATATCAAGAATCAACCTGGACCCAGAAGATCTTTGAATAAAAAGTGTATGTATATGTATACCTGATGCATGCAATTGTATGAAAGTTGTCAAAGCAGCCCTGTCCCATGATGTCAGCTGTATTGTTGTTGATGGGTGATAGGTTCCTTGCAGTGACAGCATCCTTCCCAGGAGCCGATGTAACATGGGATAGCAGCACGTCCATTTTTTAGTTAATCTAAATACAAAAATTGCAGTCTCACAACATGTAATACTATGTGTGGCCAAAAATGCTGCTTCATGAGAAGTTAGAGGCAATTTCATGCAAAAGATTAGGACATTGGTTTATTTTTCATGTTTGTATGTTTACTGCAAATAAATGAGCTAAAAATATAAACCAAAAGTTCAGTAAACATCTAATAGATTTAAAACTGTCTTCGGAAAGCTTGGGTCCTGTGATGTCTTTAGCCTAAAGCTCAGTGATACTCCATTATTGGAATATCAAATATTAGTGTACAAGAGAAGTTATTAGAGATTTCTTAATATTTTGATATTTTTATGTACTTTGTATGTCTTTTTTATAGTCTAAATTTGATAATTGTTATTGTATTGGAAAAAAGAGAAAATACTTCTTGCAGAGGACCTTCTAATAATAATAGAGAGGTTTTACACAAGTAACATTTAAACGTATCTGCAACTGCATCTTACTTTAAATGAACTGTTACGCAAAATCTTGTGAAGGCTTCACGGATTCTAGATACCTTTGAGCTAAAAACGTTATGTGAAACCTCTCTAATAGCATATTATTTAGTGCTGATAAAATAGAAATGTCTTCATTCCTACCATCATGCCTGTCAAGTCATTTTGAACTGAATGCATACCTTAAACTGTTAACGTCAAAGAGGATTCTTTATCTCGATATCATCTTCAGCTATTTGTCTGTTAAACCATACCTGTAAATATATAATTTTATACTTCAATTTTACGTCAACTCGATCATTTTATGCCAATTATGGGATGGACCCGCAAGGAGAATGCATTTAATTACTTGCTCTTTTTTCGAGGAAAATAATAACTTCAGTTTTCTCTCAGCATTATTGCCCGATGACATTTTTGTTTCCAACTTTTTTGTGAATTTGTAGAACTACCTTAAGGATAGATCATTACCAGACCAAACTGCATCTAGTCTGTCCTAAAATAAATTGCTTAAAATAGCATCTACAGTGATATAGTACTCAGAGATTATTAATAGTCATTTTGCTAAAATTGTAAAGAAAATGTTACAATTATCTCAATTACTTTTTCTTCTACACCAAAATCCCATAACACATGATAGTGTTTGCTCAGTAATTACTGATTCATTGATTCCTTAAAAAACATAGACATTTTTATGAGTATTTACTAAATGACTCTGTATATGTGTGATGCCCCTTAATGCCAATCGGTGCCTCATTGTAGATAGGCCAGTTAAATCCAGTATTTCCTTAGCATTGATACAAGCAGGCGATGAATACTATTGGTATTCACATTATTTTTGAAAATAGACTCACATCAATTTGAAAACCTTTGTGCCAACTTGTAATTTTTTACTAAAATCAAAATCATATGGCACATTCTAACCAATTAAATTGAGTTTGAAAAGAACAATTTTCTCTCATCTACCTACAAAAGTCCTGTAGCGTGGGCCTATCTCAAGTCATGCTAAGCCCTCCTACGCCTTTCTCCAAATCTACTGTACTTCTACTTAATATGGCGCTACTTATTTTGGTGGATTTATTTTGCTGTTTTGAACATTTGGTGGCTACTTAATTTGGCGGACTTGGAATATTACAATGTACTAATGTTACCAAGTTACACTAGAATTACAGGGGAATTTGTCAGCGACTTAATTTAGTGGACTTTAACAATTTGGCGGATCTGCCAAATTAAAACGGAAATTAAGTAGAAGTACAGTAACTGAGAAAATAATGCTTGTGATTATTTGCCATCGTTTATAAATTGGTAACACAAGCTGAGCTATTTAGGATAATAGGTAGGAGGTTATTTCTAACTGAAAACAAAAAATGAGTATGAGAAATCTTGCATCCCACGTAAACATTTTAACTCTTATTACCCCACCCACCCCCCTTGAGACAGTAACCAAGAAATATATCCTACTGTGAGATTTTCTGATCAGCTTGTAATTTAATAATAAAATCGTCCAGACGAAATAATTTTGATCAAAATAATTATGCCTGTTAGGAAAGTTTAAGTGTTATTCTAGGAGTCAATGACTGATCCTCCATGATTCCTAGAATATGTGAAATAGGTGTAATAGAATCAAATTCCAAATTTTGCTACCTTATGACGTTCCCCATATTTCCCTAGTATGTCTGAGGAGAGAATGATGTGAATGGGATGATATCATACTTGGACAAGTGTGAATCTTGCAAAAACAAAACACAGTACATGTAATATAGTCATTGTTTATCCGATTAACATTCACCTGACTTAGCTTGCAAAACTAAATTCTATATGAAAGTGAAAATGACTTGTTTTCAATATGTTATGCCACTTTGTGGGAAGAACCACCTACACATTTGCAAGTAAATACACACAGTTGACATGCATTTTCCGAACTGATGGAAATAAAATGAAGATCACATGACATGGGAGCAATTGGGAATGATAACAACAACCCCTACATAATATATGTTTCATCTTTATATAGAAAATTAGATTTCCAAATGTTTTTCTGACCTTATATAGACATCATTTACATTTCTGATCTCATTTGCCCTATAGCAGAGAGCCTAATACAAATTGTCAAAATATACATTAAGATCTCTGTTAAAGAAATACAAGGCACAAACATGCAAAATACCACCACATACCATTTGTTACACATGCAAACCACCAAACATCAACTGCCAAACACCATCAATAACAGAATAGGAGACTATAACCACTGGCTGATCTGGGGGGGGGAAACAAGATGAAGTTGTAATAAAAATCTGGGGATTGTCATTTATAGGTAGAATACTTAGAACTCATGAAGGAAGTCAATTTGGAAACCTGCCAATATAGTAAATATCCCTACTTTTAAGTTGCATTCAGATGATGCAAAATCTTGAAAACAAAACATTTCTCAAACATATTTTCACATATTTAGTATGAGTATGATAAATCAACACAGAGGTCAAGTACACAACCTTAACACCAAATACGGATACGAAAACGTTTAGCGTGAAAAGAAAGCATCAAACCAGACAAATATTACCATTTAGAAAAATGTCACGGTGACACTGCCAGTGCTATACACTTAATTTACTCTCTTATATTTGAAACAAATGCCTGATTTTCTCACATTTCAGTGTTAAATGCATAATTGTTTATATATCATTACACATCATTACTCTACTCATCATACTCACTTACTCAACTTTCTACTCAATTTTCAATCATAAAAACAGACGCACCATGATTTTTTTTTATCTTTACTGGTATAAACAGAGGTCCTCAAATAACCCTGAATAATACACAAACCAATAACATAGGAATGTTTCATGTTTATATATGCTATAAAAAGAACTAATAATGAAATGCCAGGATCAACTCATTTGAACCTGTGTGATGTTTTGAAACACAGTGTGAGATGAAAATAGCAGAAAAAGCAAGAAATAAAATATACTGGCTTGGGGATAAGGTAGTTCTGAATGGTTAGATATTTTAATGGCTTCTTGATTGTTGAGTCCCAGGTTATTTTCAGGAACACATAACTACAATTGTCAGTTTTGCACAGAGTGCACAAATATACCTAGATTTTTAGTTAATAATTTGGAAAAAGAAATGAAAATATCAATGACCCCACATTTTGTTACCTTAGAAATGACACAAAATTACAAAGAACATATATATAGACTTTTCTTTATTTGACAGGAACAAGAGGTAACATCTCAGAATATTTTGAGCTGCGTAAATAACTCAGGTTTGATTTTGTATAACATGTTAATCCTAACTGGGTTCTATTCCCAGCACCGACAAAAAGCCAATATTGGCAATAACTACAGTTGTACAATTCTTATTCAATGTCAATACAATGTGCTTCTCAAGTAGCTATTATAAACTATAAATACCTATATATTTTGTGTATGTCAAACAAATACATGTATATAATAAACCATCAAATCACATAAGCACATCTATATGGCTTTTTACTCCCTCATCACAGCGAGACATTGAAATTGATTTTGATTAAATTCAAAATAATAAATACAGGTATAAGCATTATAGTAATAAAAATACCTGTATTTATAAAGAACTTAGAGGATGTGAGAAATAAAATCTTTTTTTTTATTTTGCATGTTACTGAGCATAATTTATGTCACAAGAAATAAAGGGCATGGTGACCCTCAACCATGACTATCAGATCAAATCTATCTTACATCACTAATTAAATAACCATCACTTAAAATATGCCTTTTTGAATCTTATTTGCAATCACTGGCTTCATGGCTTCACTTTTTGAGAAAATTTGCCTTTTGAAAAATAGGCCTCTAATTTCAAAAACCTCATTTTTAGATCATTCTAATTCTTGAAATTCCCCCATTTTTTAACCGAACCCTTCCATCTGGAAAATTCTGGCTACGGACCTGACACTTGTTCACAATTTGATAATTCCCGATGTTTCCAGCCAGTTCAGTAGCTGTCATAACCAACATAGGAAAACATAATTTAGCACATAAGCCAGTCTGCCAGATAATGCCTAACAGCGACAAGATAATACTGAAACAGGATATTATAATTTACATTGTATCAGTTATAAACCAAATTATTATAATGATTAATCAATAACTTGTCAATTATATTAAACATCTACCCTAAAGCCCCACTTGGTTACTTAGTATTAATTAATGTAGACAAGGCTCTCAAGAACTCAAATTCTTGAAAAGGGTATCAGACTTCAAAAAATGTAATAATATAAAAACAATACACGTAATTGTTTATGTTAATGTCATTCTCTTTTTTATATATTACATATAATTACACTTTTTGTAAAGTTGATATAAATAGGTTATATGCAAAATGCTGGTACTAGATTATTGTTTTTTTACAACGTCATAATAAGGATTATGATAAAGGTAAACAATAAGATGTAATATGTATAACATGTAATTTATTGTATATAAACCATCTGCAACCGTTACTCTATTAGTTTGAATAACATTTAAACAGTTGGGAAGCTGATAGTTGACAAGGGGGCCAAAAAATTTATTCATTCTATTTTTGCAAAGGACTGGTGTCGATATGGTGATCTGAATTCAACAATGTTTTTCTCTTAAATCAATTATTGAAAACATTCTGTAAAGAAACACGGTCGTTTATGTAATGTTGACTGATTGACAACAATTTAATACAAAAATAATTTATATAAATTTTATTTAACTGTTTTTGTTAACATTTTTTGTTTTTTAGTGCAATCGTTTTTTGTTCCTTTTTACATATTCTTGTGAATGAAATAAGATATCTTTCCGAAGCTTGTTAGCATATACATCATTTTCTTAGACCTCTCAATATTATAGTTATACAAATGACATTTTGGTTGATTTAACAAAAAATATTCAAAAATTAAAACAAAAAAAAACAAAAATAGATAAAAACTAAGATAAACCTTTTATTTCACTAACATAAAAAGTATCTTAGATACTTTTTTCAAATCAACCAAACTTTCCTTTGTACAATTACAAAATTGAGAGACCTAAACACATTGTGTTTATGTCATTTTATTCCAATGAGGTTCGGATAGACGTTTCATTTCATTCAGAACATATGATACCAAGAACAAAAGAAGTATCTGATGTGTTTTCTAAAACAATATAGAAAAAAGTATATATATTTATTTCAACATGTTTTGTTACCATTCAAAAGATGACCATTAAACTGACAATGTGTAAAAGTTTCAGAATTTTTTTATGACTGGTTTAAGAGGAACGTTACCCTGCGTGCAGAGTCTAGTTAAACTACACTCTGCCTAGTAGAGACCATATTACAGTGTAGTAGCCCCGCCCCCACGACGGGTACCAGTGACAGTTTGGGAAATAAATCACTTCAGACCTACGCGCTGACCTTTCTTCCACTTATCAGCGAGCTTGAAGAAACATACGCCAAATGCGTTCTTATTAAATATGCGCATGTCATTGGTCAATTCCGGGCTCAACGATGACGTCAGTTCTAAGGAATGACGTCACCATATATAGAACGTCGGTCAAATTTGGCTGACGAACACTGATTGGCGCGGTGAGTTCACAGGTTTATTTTAGTTTGAAAGAGTGAAGACGAAACTCTCTTTTAAGAAGTGAAGTCAAACGAATGCAAAGGGTAGAGAAACGTGTGTTCAAAAAGTGCACCATATCGATACCCATCCTTTGGCCAACTTCTCAAAGATTTAGGCTTGAATTTTCAAAAAAATCTACCTTACCTCCATTTAAAAGGGTAAATTTTTGAAATTTATATTATATAGCCCATTTTTTGGCAATACCCCAACCCCGGCAATGTCATTCTACTCCTTGCATTATTAAAGTAAGATTTGCCATGTAACCCTGCATCATAACATGACCAACCTTCAGAATGTGGGCCTCATAAAAAGTGGTATCTCTGACAGCTTTCTTATGATAGGTCATACACTTTATATATTGCTTAGAAATGAAACAAAACATCTCCGGATATGGCTTATCTCTTCCTGCAAGTAAAAACAGCTTTTGACTTCTTATCACCACAGTATTGCTTGTATACAGTGGTAACCAGGATTAGAAAAACAACACATTATCCATGTCGCATTCGTTTATTCAAGTACTGATTCAACATTTTGAAAATCGAACATTTTATAGGTTTCTCTAAGTCTTCTCAGTTATTATTGAGGTACTGACACTAGAGAAAGAGACAGCACATTCACTTGAAAGCCAATCATAGGCATAGCCAGGGGGATGTGACGGGTGCGAACCCCCCCCCCCTCCCCTAATCCATAAAAATTCAATCTTGAGAAAGAAGAAAAGAGCTTAAAATGTTTTTTATTTGAAGCTTCTAGCTCTATAATGAAGGAAGTTGCATTCATTTCTAGACTATACCCATTTACTTCGGTCCAAAGCCTTCTCTATATTCCGGCTTTGAGGAGGAAGATTGAGCTGCCTTAGTATTATAAATATTGTAAATCATTGTGTCACACGCACAGTAAATATGGCATAATAATATGAAATATACCTTTATGTATAGATTTGAAGAACATCAGCTCACATCCCCGTCTGAATCTATTGTTATATTTGATTTCTTTAAGCGAGAATAATTTCAAATGTTATTCACGTCCAGAACCGGAAGCCATTTTTAGCTACAGCGAGAAAATTTCACGTTGTGTCAAACTCCGAAATGAAATTTTGAAATATCTAAATCCAGACAAGCAACGCTTCATCCTAAATATGATTAATATTCTTAAAAATATTTATAAAATTTATTAAAAATGAGTTCTAGGTGCGTGTAGGTGCGTGTAGCACAGTACATACGAAATCAATGAGCTAGAGACTCGAGTAAATACCCATGATTAATCATTTGTTGTTGTCATGTTCTATCCAAAAACACAGCGACATACTACGTGTAACACATGTTCCGTAAGACTTGCACTGTACAAGAGAGTAACACAGACAAAACTTTATGTCAACAAAACACTATTTTCTCCTGTAGACACAATGACCCTCTTCCAGACACAATGTCCCAGTTAGCTTGACCTTCAAAAACAGAAAAATGAAACAGAAAAATGCCATGCTTTCTCACATCCAGTTCTGTGAAAGTGCTAGATCCACTCCGAAAATAAATCAAGATTGAGTAAATGGACTATACTACAATGAAATTAATTCAATTGTCTAAAGTCTTACCTTCAGTTGATTTATGGTTGCCTTGTTTATGGGAGTTCACTCGCATTTGTTTTTGATAATTTTCCAAAATATGTTTGGCTAGACATATACGATAGATGGCAGCAGGTGCTTCTGTGACACGACCCAAGTTTATTTACGGATTCCTTTAGTCTCACACCACAGTTCAAGAATAATCCCGGGAAGACATGATCATTATTGTTTATTGTTGAATTATTGTCTGAATATGGCAATACATTTGCATTTCTTCATCTGATCGATAAGGACTTTGAATTTGTGAAGATATTTGTTCTATTTTCGTAATTAAGAACTACTATCTATCAAATTATGTCACTTTGCACCACACGAAATCTATATTTTATAACGCTAAAGCGAGTAAATTTCTAGATAACATGTGCTTGATATTCTTATTAGAAAATATAATTTTGCAGACACCAACTTTCAAAAGTTTGTTCAGCGTTATCGATTATCCAAATTAGTGTTTTCACGCTATGAAATAGGTAAGTAAAATCCTCATGCTTTGTTTTACACCAATTTGAAAGCTGAACAAATTATTTATTTGGGCTTTAAGTATGATTTTGCCTGACTAAATTGAAAATGTAAAAAATGACGGATGAAATTCGGCCACTCAGAATGCGAGTCACATGCAAGTTCTATTGATTCAATAATACAGTTTATGATCCATCAGTCCAGGGTTCATTAATTTATTATAGGATTTACTTAGATCTACCAATCTTGACCTCAGTGTTGACTTTGTCTATGCTTTGGCCGGCTTTGTATGAGCGCCCATGCCTCTGTACTTGACGCCAATCTTAACAAACTTCCCATAATTGATCAGTAATGTCTCAAAAATCTTAGCCAATGATAATTTCATATGTCAACTTTATTCTCTACAGATCTCATCTAGGCCACTGATTAGTCTGGTAGCGACATCTATTCATAGGCGTAGCGCCCGGTACGCTGTGTACGCACAGGAGGCGTACCAGATGCTTGCAAATTCAATCCAGATACAAGCAAATTTTAAAATTTTCCTGGGGGGAGAACCCTCCCAGACCCCCCTAAATGCTTGTATTTTGCTTCGATTAACTCTTGTTACCGCGGTGGCGTACTACTTAGAAATATAGCGCCATGCCCATGCTATAAGTATTGTTCTGAGTCTGAAAGTATCAATGGAGAATAGTGAATTTAATGACAACCAAAAACACCTCCTGAAAAGAAAAAGAAAACAATGTTTTAGTATAATCAGAAATTGCTCATCTTTCATTAAATTCCTTTCACTACTCTCTATAGTGGAGCATTTCAGATTCAGAACAGTACTAATAGATGTCACTACTTGTTTCTGTGAGCAAGGCAGATCTCAGCGTCAAGCTGGGAATAAGTAGCTTACATTATTCCATAATACTACTGTTTTCCCAGGGAAATATGAAAGAATAAAAATTGTATCGGATCGTACTACATCATATTACACACACATTACACTACATCATATTACCCTTCAGTCAATATCATATTTTCCCTCGGAATAAACCCCAGATACAATCCCTCCCAGTAAATAACCTATATATACTGAATTTCGTTGTAATACAAATGTAATATAACCTTGCTTCTAGACCCCCTCCCTCTTCCCCCAACAGTAGAAATAGTAGTTGAAGGGATGGTCCAGAGTCTTGCAGCAATAATGTAATGTGGTTCAAGCTCAAATGCATCTGTCAGTTTACAGTTTGGTGCAGTGTCATCATCTCAACATTATCCGAAGTAGGTCAAAGACTTAAAGAAGGCCTAATGTTGTATCACCATGGGTGTAGCGCTATTTTTCTTAGTAGTACGCCATCACCACAGGAACAAAAGTCAAGAATAAAAAACGAGCATTCAGGGGGGTCTGTGGGTTCTCCCCCAGGAAAATTTTGAAATTTGGTTGTATTTATATCGAATTTGCAACCATCTGGTACGCCTGTGTGTACCCAGCGTACCGGGTGCTACGCCCATGATCACTTTTTAGACGGCATAGACCTAAAGTTTTTAGAAATGGTGAGATGGAAGGGATGTAATGGCCTAGTCACATAGCCCGACCGATGAGGTTACAATGAGCCAGCGATGCAATTTTCACCGAACTCGGCCGAACACCGGCCGGATACCGGCCGGACATCCGTGGCGTTTGTTGCTTAAAACCGCATCGGTGGTAGCTCGGTGAAATTTTAACTTCGGAGTTAAATTTCACCGGGCTCTCACCGAGCTCCCTCATCATGTCATCGCAGCCCCATCGTAACCACATCGGAAAACACGTCGGCCGGTGCACGGTCGAGTATCGGTCGGTGTCCCGTACATCTGAGACAACCAGAGGACGAGGTTTTTTAACGGACAGCGGCCGAGCTCCGACCGAGATCCGGCTCTGTACGGTCACCGGCCGGTGTTCGGTCGGTCGCCTGAAGATGTCCGGACGGAGTCTGTTCACGTCACCGAGCTCTGCTTCCGATGAGGAGAGCTCGGTGGCACCAAAAAATCGACCAAGCTCTACCGATGCCGGACATCGGCCGGGCTATGTGACTAGGCCATTACATAAGATGTGATAAGTTTTTCAGGAAATTTTTTTTAACAATTGTGAAAAAAAAAATTAATTTTGTTATTGTTTACCCGGCCTCTCTCTCCATATTGATATTCACCAAAATTTACAATCTTCATCCCCCTCAACAAAATGAACCTTGTTCTTAAACTAATGTTGACAGTCATGTTCCAACAATTTTTTAAACATACAGTACTTAAAACTAAACAATTGCACAAGCGTGATTTAATGATTTTTGGCCAAATGCCATTTTGCAATGTTTTTAGAATAGAATTTTTTCTTACACACTATACTTGCCCGTAGCCAGCTTTTACCAGGGGGAGCTTTTTTCCAGGGGGGGAGCTTTTTCACAATTTTGGCTAAAAATCATGCGAAAAATTCTCAGAATGGTGAAAAACTGCATGATTTTGAAAGAATATCTGGCCGGGGGGGGGGGGGAGAGCTTCCGCTCCCCCAGCTCCCTCTCTGGCTACGGGCCTGCTATACTATACAGTATATCAAAAACACAACTCACAAGTCATAAAGTGGCTTTGCCTCGTCTAGTTTTTTTCCTCGGATAGATATTCTGGCATATCTACCTCATGGTCATCCAGTATTTGTTTAAATATTACTGATAATCTCAAAAGATAATTGACATTATTGAATCTTTTATCATATAAGAATAATATCGAAGAAACATGATAAATTTAAAAAGTTTAAAAACAAAAGAGTATATTTATTTTAGGAAATTTTAACTTTTTAGAATCAACCTGCTTGGTCATCCAAATTTCCCCTATGACATAAATATACACAAGTATGAAATAAAACATCAAAAATAGTTCTATTATTGAAGTCCTACTTTGTCAATAAAGTTTATATCAGCTCCATTTATAAATAATTAAAACAAAATATCTCTTGAAAGCCCATATTTTAATCTATATAGGGTGATATATGCAACATCTATCAACTTTAGTAAAAAGCATAAATCATCCAGTCAAACAGCTATTAGAAATGGAACGGCAAACGCTATCTCTAAATTGACTACAGGCAAACCAATTTTCTCCCAAATACTTTGTGACTATTGATTTTCTACCCTAGCTCTTTATCAGCTAGCCACACTCTCTATCCTCTGACTATGGCAAATGGTTACATAGATTTTATATTGCTAATGCAGAAAGTAGAAAAATGTAGTGTTATGCTCTAGGGACATACTAGATATAGTACCCAGGATTTTTCAAGGGAGGTGCGTTTACATCCCTGGGTCTACATCTATATCTCCACATCATTGTTCTTTCCTCCCAGTTTCTTTCTTTTCAGCACCTGAACAAAATTTCCAGGAATTGACTCAAAAGGGGGGGGGGGGGCACGGTTGCACCTAATGCCAATGTACCTCCCACCTTTGGTACACCTACACCGCCAATCCACACACTAAAGTCACTGTACCATACAGTACATTGGTATACTGTTCAAGGTACTGTACAATACCATGTTAGTCTACGGTACCAAACGGTACCATGTTTTAAAGAGTCAAGAGAGAATAGAGTACTGGTATTTAGGTATTGATTTTTGCATCACTGTCCAGGATCCTCTTTTTCTAATAAGAAATCAAGTCTCAAAGGACCCATTGGGAATGAAATGTTTGGCTGAGATAAATGAGAACATGATTCTATTAAAGAAGGTCCTTTAGCATTAGTTTATGTAGCTAAATGTCCCAACTGTTCTTATATTGCTATGCAGGTCTTCAAGGTTGTCAAGATCTAGGTTCAAACATCAAAAAATGCTTAAAGGGGCAACAAGGCCTGTAAAGAGAAAATGGAAAATTTTAACTTTTTCTGAGCTGAAATAATGTTTATCTAGGGGGTTTCTTTGTAGATAATAAGTCTTGATGAAATATCCAAACTTAAATATATTTTGATACTGGTCCATGATCGTTGAATCATGAGTTGCACCCTGCACTAGTTGTTGCAACAATATTGCAACACAAAGACGTCAAGACGTCTCATAGTTAAAATATCAAAACTTATTTTACGAAATCAATTTACGGTATATTTATAAAAACAATTTCTTCATATGGTGTAGCCCTATGTAACAGTAAATCTATGGGAGGGAAAAGAACATAACACTGATGAGGAAGAGAGTGAGTAATTCTAGTCATAAAAATCATAAAAAATGTTTGCTGAAAGAGACTGCAGAAGTAAATGCAGCCTAGGGCTCCCCCTTTTGTGGGCCCCAAACAAAATATTTACCCTGAAATGAGCCTTGAAAGTAGATACACTGTGATAAATATGTCATCTCACAGACTCATAATTGCTTAGACAACAATACAGACATACTCAATCCCTATAGCTGTTTTACTTCATATAATGAAATTGGTACAGTCTGACCAAATATTTTAAAGCAGTTAGCATTTTGTTTTATTATGTGGCTAGATTTAAAGTAAAATGTAATAGACCAATAGAACTTTCGGTCAACAGCCAGAAGGAAAATAAGTAATCAGTATAATAAGAAGCCCCATGAAATGTAACAAATAAATCACAATAAAATAATAGATCCTTTATATCATTTTTATAATTCTTATACTTC